CCAGCGGTGGATTGACCGAAGGGCTGTGCACATACGTCAACGTACCGGCGTCAACCCAACGAGTGGTGTTGGTACACTCGCAGGCCGTGGAACCACTGTGTGCATGAGAAACGATCGGGAGCAGGGTCCAGCTCCTCTCGCATGAAGGGAGAGGCGTTGTGGGTGGGGCCAGAGGGAAGTTTCAGAATCGGAATCTTGATTTAGAGTGCAGGGCGAGGAATCTAATGAGCCGTGAAGCTCTTTTTTCACAGGCGGGCCAGCAAGTTACAACGGCAAGCAATCCAAGAAATGACGGAGGAGTGCAAAATAGAGACAGTGGTAACGAAGTCACTAAATACAAATAATAAATAAATACATCTATTCTAAAAGTCAGATTTATCAAGATTGGGCAAGGCAGCAAAAACAACAAAACGGTCCAAGGCCACGCCAAGATAACACAAACCCCTCAACAGAATGGCACGTGAAACTATCGATACACGCAGGTAATTATCACATTTCCAAATCACATTTGTCAATGTGACTGCATCCAGCACTAATCTTCTGCTTCAGGGTATTTTTTTTAAGGAAGATTTTTACGATGATGGTGCCAGGGCCCACCATCAGAATCCCTCTAGCGCCAATCCGTAACCGGGAGGCCATATGGGAGCATCATATGTTACTCTACCGCTGAAAAATGCGAGGGGTGCCGTATCGCCGCCTGAGCTTAATTACTACAGACCCCGCTGCGCTTATCACGGATTAATGCGGGCGCAGGTGACTGCCGTGTCGTTGTCGCTGACGCACGTGAGCGGCCTGGTGATCTGAAAGCAGGGGAGCGTGGCTTAAGGGGCCGGGATGAAGGGTGGGTGGGTGGGTGGCGGAAGGAGGACGGAGGAGCTGAAAGGTTTGGAGAAGAAGAAAAAACGATAAGAAAAAATGTTCCAGAAAATTTTGGAACGCTCCATAATCAATGGCTGCACATGTACGCCCTGCGGCAGAGATGCGGAGCGTTCCATTTATTTTGTAGGGATGCATTTTTTTTTGTTTGTTGCAGTTGTATTTTAATTTGGCAATTGCTGTACTACACCTCTGGCAGAGTCGGATTTTGGTATCACCGCCCCCTGGGACACCAGAACATAAAAGACACCCCCTTCCTCGCTTCAACTCGGCAGGGTTAATGTTTGTCATTTGGAGAACATTGTTGTTGGGTGACATGAAAACAACCTCATAAAACATAAATTAATGAAGGTAGGATTAATTACATTGCTCACATTAAAATAAAAATTTAAAAATATCGTTTTTTCTTCGGCCCCTCTGGAGTTTTGGGCCCTGGACAAATATGCCGATTATTGCCACTCTACCGCATAAAGTCCGGCCATAACCGCGGGGTACGCTACTCATTACGACCCTGGTCAAGGACGTCTAGTGGTGATGGGTGGAGTAGCTCACCCTGGCCACGCTAGAGCAGCGTAGCATTTAGCTACAAGGCCTGTCTGTCTGTGTATGTAAGATGACAGCTCCCCGCTCATTGCCGGAGCTATGCACGCCTGTCACTAATGACCCGCAATGATCACACTTGAGTTGATGTTGCTTGGGGTGGTGGCGAGAGGTCGTGGGTTCGATCCCGACCCTGACGCCTGTGTAATTTGGAGTTTGCGTGTGCTCCTCGTGGTCACGTGGATTTTTCTCTGGGTCCTCCGGTTTTTCCCTTCACATTTAGAATCAACGTGCGTTTAGAGTATTTGGCTGCTACAAATGTCCACGTGGTAAGCCAACTTTGTTGGCTTAAATAAAGTTTAGTTTATCTTAATCTTGCCGTTTAACGAGCTCGGGCTGAGATTTTCAGATCGCTGGCCCCAGTCACGTGGATCAAGGCGATGCCGAAACCAACTCGAGGACGAACAACCACCACGAATTCAACTACTTCAAGCCAGACCAATAAATTAATTTAATGTCCCCGGCACGATGAGACGGCACTGCGCTTGAGAGATGTTTTTTTTTAGCTCGGATATTTCGTTTCGTAAATGGAAATGTGCATTACATTACAAGCGTGCCTCTCTCTTCTGATGCACAGTGCATGTTTCAAATTACCACACTGAGGTTGAGAAACAGCAGGGGTTGTCTGTCATTAGCGGTGGCTTTAATTGTGTGTATTTCATCAGCACAGCGGTATATATATAACAAAGCAACATCATAGAGTGGTGACTCAAAAAAATCGCGTACCTTATTTTCACATCTCGTTTATGATGCAAACGGGGCAGCGCAAATTGCCCACCGCCTAAAATAAACCTGGTGGAACCCCGGGGTACCATATCACCCCGGCTCTCGCATAATGTCCGTGATGCAGTCGTTTTGAGTCTGTTGATGGTCGGCGATGCGGCAATCGACTCATCTCGACGAGCTGTACACGATGCACCGCTACAGTGCGTACCGCGAGCGTTCAGGGTCTCGGCGCAATCGTCCTCGCTGCGTTTCGACATCGCGGAGTGTGGCACTGATTTCGGATTGATTGGTACCCCAGTCGCGGAGTTAAGTAACACCCCTGGAAAAAATAGTGTCCCAGAAATAAAATATTTAATTGCCTCGGCCAGTTTGTATTATTTGGTAACCATGGATACCGCCATGAGGATCATTTAACGGGCAAGCTGCTCGAAAACAGAAACTAAACTTAAACGAAACCATTTTTTTTGTATTTTGCCAGGAAAGGCCCATTGAGCTATATAGCTATCTTTTTTAGAAGCGATCTGGCCACAAATGATAGCTCAACGAAGTGGCTTATCACGTGGAAATGTATCGCGGCAAAATAATCTCAATGCATTTTCTAAACGTGGAGGGAAAAACCGCAGGACTCGGAGAAGAATCCATGCGAACAAGGGGAGAGAGACACGCAAACTGAAAATAATCAGGCGTCAGGGTCGGGATCGAACCCACGGCTTTCATGTAAACCTGGCCAGGTAGTTAACCTCTCGGCACCGGCGCGCCGAAGACGACGGCGGTTTTAAATTGGCCAAAACGCCGGGGTGGATTCCGAACAGACCGGTCGTATGCGAAGCCTCCCCCACCCTGTTTACGCGTTTGGGTGGACAGATGCCGATGCTTGCGGGCATTTGATTCCGTGCCGCGGCGTTATCGGTCCCTCCGACCCGGGCGGCCCCTCCATCTCATGCCACGCGTGAACCCCCCCCCACACCCCACCCCGAGCGACGATTGGGCAGTCCCGGGCGGAGCGGTTCGACGGCAGGACCCTCCCATGTGGCCTGGGGGGGGGGGGGGCTCAGATTGTACGCATTGTTTATTTATTTACTTACACGGACCCACCACCGCCGCTGTTGTCCGTGACTCATGCGCGGCTGGCGCCATTTCCGCAGCCTCTGAGGAACCCGAGCGGGTTGCGCAACTCGCTGCCGCGTTACGCGGTTCATGTGCCCCGTGGTTCACGCGTCCCGTGCGCGCGCGCACGTGGCAGGCGCGCGCGCACGTGGCAGGCCGAGTCGCTTAAAGCACGAGCGAGAGAGAGGGGGGGAATGCAAACAGAAACTGAATTATTTATGGGACCTTTTTTTGGCAGTATCCAAAATGATGAAGAAATAAGAATAGTTTTTGAAATCTTGACTTAAAGCTTTCGTCACTGTAGGAATTCATATTCTTTGGGTCTTTCGGTGAAGTCACGTATATAGGTTCAAAGAACATAACAAAAGACCCAAAGAATATCAATAGGTTTTTACCCTTTATGGCAATGAAACAGGAGGTGTTGAGATGCTCACACACCAAACGGATACCTTTTTGGAAGGCGACACGTTACTGCATCAACCACACACGATGCTCGTGGCAAAACATGCAAACAAACACGCTCCGATCATAATCAATGTATGCATTATCGTGGAAACACACCAGAGACAGCCTTCTTCACGGCCTAGCCTCACCAGTGTTGGACCAGAGAACGCCGAAAGGCAAGCAAGTACAAAGACAACGCAGGTATCGGAACACTTATAGCTCGGGACGAGCGGTTGTTCAGAAACCCAATCGCCGTCGCTTGATTCACCTTCCGTTTGGCTCAGTCGCGGGGATTAAAACGCGCGCTCGGGCTGTCGTGAAACGATGTCGTTCCATCGCTTGCAGGCACCCGCAGGGTCTGGGCGAGCTGTTGTGATGTGCCCCGAAGCCTGCTTTTATAGAAGGGGCGATACTGGCGCGTCGAATAAAGGTTGATTGATTGATGGAAATAAAACACCGAGGAAGAAAGTCGTGCGTACGCTAGGATTGTCTAGCAAACGCTTTGCAACGTGATTTCGTCCCCGGCAGTATTCAATTAAGGGTATTGTATTCGTCAAACGGATGGTTCCGATTTGCCAGCTGCCCAGCTGTTGTACAAGAGAGATGCGTCGTGATGCGCGAGCTATAGCAGCAGCGACAAAACTAAAAAAGTGAATATTGCATAGTGCGAGTACAGCGTACTCGATGAATATTGCACGGCTGACAAACGAGGTATCTAACGGTCATAGGTTAAATAAACGAGGAATGAAAAAAACCGTGCAAATGTGAAAAGGTTAGGTAGACGCGCAAGTAAGCGATATATTTTAGTTTAACAGTGACATAAACACACGATAATGAAAACAAGAGGACAATGACATTGCAAGCACCGCGACGAAGTCACGTCACATGAACGTGAGATAGTCGGAAAGGCAGGAGAGGCTGAGAGTATGCTTCTGCTGCCTTTTGTGGCACCTCATAGTGATATTTTTGATAGTGCAATTTTTTCCGGGTTTTGGGCAACAATTTATTACATTTGACCAATTTTCTCTCAAGTAAGTCTGTAACAGCAGCACAACTTTCCACTAAGGTTTGATTCATGCTGGATCACGTTTTCGTGCACCACCCTGTTACAGACAGGTGGACAGATGGAGCTGATGGATGGTTCCAAAGCATTCAAAGGTCCAGATACAGTCTGACCCCTGGGCTGTGGAAAGGGGATTGCTCTGGGTGAAGTGATGGACGAGCGGTGTGTTCTTGTTGTTCTGCAGGGCCAAGTTCTTCCGGGGTAAAAAGGTTCTCGGGGAGTACGACGTGAAGGTAGAGCAGGTGAGTGGCAGATGCTGCCGGATTATCTCCTGCACATGCATTCCGTTCTCATCTGCCGTGGAAATATTTGGTTATAATTTTTAGGGATTTTTTCTCTCCAAAATGTTTATGTCGTTTTTGCTATCATCAGCATCATGCCGTGAGACGAATGAATGCAAACTCATAATTGTCGCAGAGAAGTGCATCTTCCCACATGTCAGAGAATTCTCTGACGGAAGTAGCTATTTCAGAACTCCTTCCGAGATCTATTCAAGTAACCACCCCCTTCTCAACACACTGTGGGACCGCTACACTTTCTCGCACATTCTGCCATATAGATAGGCTCGTCTTACTGAAATGTTTAAATATCAGAGCTGAAACGTAGTCAAATTCGCTGACCAAATTTTACGTGAAGCCATTTATTTTGCTGTCAAGGGTGACCTGGTTCTGACCATCATCTCACTGAGAACCCGCTAGCTGGCCGAAAACCCGTTCGGCTAAAACCCAGATTATATTTATAGTCTGGGTTCTCAGTGGCCCCAGCTCAGTGCTCTGACCTCTAGGCCACCCGGCCAGCCAGCCACCTCATGCTATGGTGTTTTTTTCATTTTAAAAAACACATTTTTAAAAACCATACCCCTAACGTGGAGGCAATTGCGTTATTTCACAAGCACACGTCCAATTACACTCGGCCAGCCTCCACTGACCTATTGGACGAGTTCTTTATTTTTGTTTTGTTTTTATTTGCCTCCGAAGCCCGCGTCGGATCTTATTGTGCACGCTCCATCGCACCGCCATTAGCGCCGATGCATCAGCCGCAAATGACATGCACACTGTACCCCTACAGCCGTGCGTGCGTGCGCATCGTTCCGCTGTCGGAAGCAGCAGCGGCGCACCTTGCCGCTGCAAAACGCTGGCGAAGGAAACACAAATCAATAAAAAACCTTTTTTTCCGCGTGCAAAAAAATTCAAGAAAACCTCAACATTGCAACCATAAATCTGTGGTTTGCTCGGACACTCACGTTCAGGACATATCTGACGCCGTTTAATTCGAGGCGAGACGCTGCCACAGTGGGGGGTGTCAAGGTCGTCGCCCTCGCCTTGCAATCCAGAGGCCGGCGATTCCATTCGATCTCCTGGCGCGGCAAACAGCTGCGGCTACGGAAGGGTACAGCAGGTCGCGTGCGGCTGGGGTAAAGTGTGGGTTACCCTCACCTTCTGGCGAGAGTGTGGAAGATTGCTTCCACTCTAGTGAAGGCCCTTTATCTTTACAATAAAAAAATTTCCGTGGTCCGTGTGCTGCTGCCGCTGTCTGAATGTCAGCTGCTTATGAGGATGCTGTTTATATTTTTTTCTTTACATTCCTCGTACACGTCTCGATTATGCATTCCAAGCTTATTCAGTTACCCGCTTAGCAAACGTGCTTTGCAGTTGACCCGCGTGATTTTGGCAGGTCGTGGTATTTGATGTGCATTTTTATTTGTTTAGAAGTATCCAAAGATAGCTGTGCACCTTTATTAAACAAAACATTCCCGATCGGTGAATGTATGGCTGCGAAATACTCCTAATCATAATTCATTACATACAGCCCCTTGTTAATCCACCACAAGATGAAGGCCTCCCGCACACCGTACTTCAAACCATACTTCACCACGCTGGTCAGTTCAGGAAGTTTGAAGGGAGGGTGTCACAGGAATCATCGACGATGCCGATGTCATGGAGCAGTGGGAACATCTTAAAGAGCACGACATTGGGTTTGAGAGACGTGACAGTGGACCGATACGGAACATCACTCGCCACTGATGCGATCCATGACGGAGAATAAAACTCACGTTCCAAAAAAATATATAAAGTGGGGCCATTGTAAGCCTCCAAAAATGGACGCCGTGTTCAACCTAAAATCATCTGAAACATCCCTGCGGCTCTGCCCTGCCGCCCTGGATGCATCAAACGTTGCCCCCCCTTGCAAGACCATCGTAAGGCGGTGGCGTCAGCTGCTCGCGCTAGATACCGCTTTGACATTGGGCTCGGGCGAGGCAAGCACTCTGCCACTCCAGCAACCCCGCCGGAAGGTGGGGAATAGCGTCAAGCGATCGCTCGTGCTCGGCGTCAAGTGGACGAGCCTTTCGCCTGGCGGGATTATCTGCGAGCGTCAAACTCATGGGGGGCGGGGGACGACCAGACGATCAGACGACGAGACGATGGCGCCGTGCGGTCGGGGGACCTGCCGCTGATGGAGCCCAAAGCGAGCGGCACTCCTCTGGTGGGAATGAGCCCGAAGAAATTGACCCAAACGCAATTTTTATTTTGCCCTCCAGCGACGTCGCGCGGCGCACGGCGTTCGCGAAGGTGGAACGAGCGGCGCAATTCCCCCGGCCCTGTTTGAGCGCCCGCGGTGGAACGCGGGCGCGGTGGTTGTGGCAAACCGTGACGGGAACCAGGCGAGCCTGAGTTGAAAACCCGGGTCACGGCTCACATCAGTGGCGGGTGTATATCTTGAACCGGCCCTGGTTTCCATTCCCCTTTCCCAACGCGTCGTGGTTTTAATCCCGGGGTTGTTGGGAAATTTGCAGCCCGCACATTTAATTCCCAATCGGCGATGTAATGGCAATCGCTTAGGAATGGCCCACAAACGAGATGTACTTGTCACATCTTGGCTCCGCTGACCGGATACTGGAGGGGAATATTTTTTGACCTGGCAGCAGCGCTTTGTTTCTAATTTAATCGCGCTCAGTCTCTTCTGCCACCGTTGGGCACTCTCGCAGTGGCGGACGCGGTTGAAGTGCGTGTTCATAATAATGTGCAGGCCGCTAACAAATTCGGCAAAGTCCCATTTGGCCCTCATTAAACAAAAGGTTCTCACCCCCCCCCCCCATCACAGACGTCAGTTGCGAAGTTTTAGTTTTTTAAAGATATCTCACGGCAGACTGTGTGGCTCACCGCCAGAGGTGTTTTAAAATCATGTTCATCCCGCGATAAGGAAAAGGATCCCTCCACGTAAGTTTGAACCCCCGTCCGTCCACGCGCTGCGCTATGAACCAAACAACCCGCGAGTTCGATTCCCGCTCACGGCCAACACCCAGTGACGATTATCTGAACCGGTCCTGGGCCTCCCCTAGGACGACTCATCCTCAAATGAGTACCTGGTGCGATGCGTAAACTTCGCCACTCAGGAGACAAAGGCGGCCGGGCAAGGTGCTAGCCTCCCCCTCGTGTGCCCGTGCCGGCCCCTCGTAGGTGCTGCTCGCTAACAGCACTTGCCCCAACAGTCTGTTAAGGCTACACGGAGAGGAGGGGTGGAGGATCTTTGTCTTTGTGTGTGTTCCGTCTCCCGGGCGATCAGGCCGAGTTCTCCGAGTTGAACCTGGCGGCCTATGTGGACGGGGGCTGCACCGTCGACATGCAGCTCTACCGCAGCGGCACCAAGGTCGTGAGGTAAGAGCGGGCAGCGGAGGGCAGACTTTCGCAGCCACACGCGCAACCCTTTTATAAACCCATTCGCACGTTATGAAGATGGGGCCATTGCCCGGAACATCGCCCGTTATACATTTTGCATTCCGTAAGTACGTATGTATGATGTTGAACTTTTTCTTTCACACAATACATAGCCAACCGTGCTAATTGACGAATGGCCCATGTGCCTCATCAGCAGAGTCAGGCCTTTCTGCTTAAATGCTGCCGGGTAACTCAGTGCCATGAACGTTATGTAAATCAGGTTATCTTTTATGCTGCTGCTGTTGTCTGCTGTTATCTGCTGGCCAAGCTGCCCTTAGAAAAGAGCGGTATAGTTCGATGGGCTTCACCTGCGAAATAAACTTCTGGTTCTGAAACACATTTGACAAAAAAAAAATAACCCACAAATGAAATTGTCTTTAAACATCTGGCACATCGTGGCCTCGTCGAGAATCTTTGATATTTAAAACGGGGCTTTTGTTTACATTTAGTGGGTTTTGTATTTTCGTAAATGGGGAAGTTGCCTTCTATTTTGCGTGTTACCAGCAAACGACTTGCACAACAGTACTCTTGCAACTCTCCATCATATCATATTCAACTTCACTTTTATGACACTGTTGCACAACTTCTTCTGCTAGCCACTGCGGTCTAAAGATTAGTACATGTGACCCACAATCCAGAACATCTCGGGTTTTAATATTTCTCAATTTTTAACACCACCACCACCACCGCCGTTGCCGCCAGCGGCGGCACCACCGCCACCACGCGCTGCCTCTCTTTGTCTCGGATTGAAAGTGATTCACACAGGCTCCACAGCCTTCGGGGTGAGCGATCACGTTGTGGCTGCCCAGGTCACGAAGCTGCGAGGACTGAGCAGGCTCATTGGCAAATGAGGTGGCTTTTGTCATGAGGACCGGACGAAGAGAGGCTCGGAGTGCACTACCCCACTACCCAGGGCCTTGCTTTCAATGGTCACCAATTTTAATTGCTCACCCTGAGAGTCTAATTTTGCAAATATGGTCAAGCATAGACACACTCATCAGAAGCCATGATTTATCCACTGCTGGATGAAGACCCCCCCCCCCACCCAAACCAATGCTATTGTTGCAGATCTTGCGGTGTAGCAATCCACTTAGACCAGGGGTCGACAACCTGCGGCTCCGAGGCGGCGTGCGGCAATTTAAGTGACTGCTTCGTGATGTGGGGAGTGGTAGTGGAAGTGTTAGCGGTGACTGCTTCGTGATGTGGGGAGTGGTAGTGGAAGTGTTAACGGTAAGCGCGCTGCGGTACAAACCTGGCGACCCGAGTTCGATTCCCGCTCACGGCCAACACCGGTGACGATTATATCTGAACCGGTCCTGGGCCTTCCCTCGGTCGACTCAGCCTCAAATAAGTACCTGGTGCAGTGTGTCAACATCGTTACTAGGGAGACAAAGGCAGCCGGTCCTCAGTCTGTTAAGGCTATACGGGGTGTCTTTGTCTTGCTTCGTGATGTTATCTATTAAGAACCGCCCCCTCGTGTTCACCACATGGTGCATTGGGGCTCTTGAAATATTGAGGGTTTTTTTTGCCGAATTCTAACTAAATTAATCTTCTTGTTATTTTGGTTGCCGACCCCTGACCTGGCTCCTGCACACGAGCTGACCTCATCACTCCATCTCCACGTTGTTAGTTTTGACCATCGGTCATCATCCCTTCTAGCAACATATCCTATCCAAGCCCACTTCATTTTCTTAATTTCAATATGAGATGCTTCCAATCGGCGTTTGGTCTCTAATCCACGTGTGCCTAGATACACTGGAGTGGAGTGAATTGTAGGGTTGCAATGATTTCTCCCCCTCATATTAGATTAATGGTCATTAATTAGGGTCGATTCAACATTATAATTATTATTCTTCTATATATTTTTTTAAAGTTATTTTGTGGCTGGACTGGTCATGTGGACCCATTACGAAGGACATTCACGATTCGATAAACTTCGATTCTTAAACACACACACAATTCGAAGCATTTATCACAAGTTTAGGTGTCAGTATTTATCAAATAACATCGGATGGAATGCGCATTATAAATTTGAATAAGTATTCGATCACACCCTTTGTATATGGTAAAATGTTGATACCGTCTTCATGGCCTGATTCTCCTCACGTGACCAGCCCTGCAGCATGACCTCGTTTAAAGAGGGGCGACGTACAAAATCTCAAGGAGGGTGGTGGGGGGGGCACGGCACAGTGAAATCGTGAAAAAACTTTCAACAAATGTAACAACGCGAAAAGGAATGAGTACCAGTAGGTTCTGCGTTCGTCCATCGTGCATTATGCACAAACATTCACACACTGTGTGTACGGGGAAGGGTGTTGAGCATTATATCAAACGAACTCATGATCCGTTGCCGTGAGGAATTATGGGTAAAATCATATTTATGCATCTCTCTATTTTGTATCCCCACCTGCATGTAAAAAAATATTTTTTATTGAGTCAGCCTGTTGGCTTTCCAGAACAATACTGTCCAGAGAAATTTGCCTCAGTGAATTTTGGACCGGTTTGAACCTTCTGAGTCTCATCACCAGGCAGGTTAGTTAAACAAATTCTGCAGATGTTTTTTGGCAAGAGCTCACCCATCGAAACTGTGGGCCCCTATTCAATACAAAAAGCAATATTGTATACAAACTCACGAATAACACACCATTATACATTTAATCCTCACAAAATGTGCACGCGAAAACACGGAATTGAGAACTGAAACGCATTCGGGTCGGACGCGTCTGTGTGGTCGTGTTTGCGCGTCCAGGTCGCTGAAGCCAGACTTTGTGCTCGTCCGCCAGCCGGCCTACAGCATGGCGGGCAGCCAAGACTACCGCAGCATTGTCATCGGGCTCCAGTACGGTGGCGTGCCCACCCTAAACTCCTTGCACTCCGTCTACAACTTCTGCAGCAAACCCTGGGTGGTGAGCTGGCCTCACACGCCTGCATGTGACCGGCCGACCCCCCCCCCCGGGATCTCTCATCTCACTGATCGCAAAGATTTCCGGCAGATGCCGAATCCCGTACCCTACATTGATCGCGCTGTGGGGCGCGGGAACCCGGTGGACGTAAGTTCACCACCGGGGTTGAGTATTACCGCGCCCTGCATCCTGCAGACGTCCCGGGAATGGGAAAGGGTTAACAACGTCGTTTTCTTTGTCTCCATCATTTTGATTGCAGTTCTCCCAGCTGATTCGTATCCAGAAGAGCCTCGGTGCAGAGAAGTTCCCCCTCATCGAGCAGACGTACTTCCCCAACCACCGTGAGATGGTGAGTTGTCGCCCTTCTTTATAGAACAAGGGTATTTGTCTGAAATGCCACCGTTAATTTTGTCGTTGTTGTTGTCGTTGTTACTTGTGCTTGTGCACCACTGCTGTTGCAGCGGCACCGGATGATCCAGTCAAATAAGGATCGTTTAGCTTATGTTACTATATGCAGTGTGGTCGCAATGTGTTTGCCTTCAAGATTGTTCAACTTAAATTGACGCTTACAAGATGAGTGCAGCAGAGCAGCGGTAAACCAAACAGCCATCACACCATGAAAAACGCTCGTGTACATTTTATTTGTTATTTTAAAAGACAGAAAAGACGTCCACAAGAGATTGAATCCATCACGTCGCCTCCCCCCCCCCTCCGTCCTTGAAAACTGTTCGTTTGGCATCACGTCAGCTCGGTGCACGAGGTCTCTCTCTCTCGCTGTGCACAACCTCAGCGTCACCGTCTCGAGCTGGCAGACAACTTGTCAGAGGCACAGCGCTGAGCTCCCACGTTGCGTTCGTGTTTTAAAAGCATCGTTTTCTTAACATATATATTTTATCATTGTCTCAGATTAGTCGATCAAAAAACTTGTGGGACTTCTGCCAATTCTCAAGTCTGCGTATTTTGTTCAGTCATTCTGTTAGTCTGGCACCACCGCAGTGACCGGATGTTATCTCCCAAGCCTGGTACGCAGGAGGTCGTGGGTTTGATCCCGGACCCTGACGATACCTGCCGTTGTATATTTGGAGTCTGTGTGTTCTCTCTCCCCCGTGGTGGTCGCTTGGATTTTACTACGGGTCCTCCAGTTTTGCCGCCCACCATGTTTAGAATCAACACACGCGAAGATTATTGAGCTACTACTATAAATCCCCAATCAGGATGACGATACAATCCGCTTGGGTGAGCTCTCAAGTGTGGCCAGGTCGTTTCTGAAAAAGAGCTCATAGTTCAGCGGGCTTCATCTGGTCATAATAAAATAGTATAGTTTCGTTGACCAAGGACGTAAAAAATATTGCTGACCCTTCATTATTAAATATTGGTATGCGTGGTACATGCTTCCCCAACTCCCCAATATGTTCAAGTCAGCCAATCGGTGAACTTTTATCTCGACATATATATAGCCCAATAACCATATTTGGTCCCGCTAAATGTACTGCTGTCTCCAATAACATTAATGTACGGTCTCTCGGTCTGCGTATTCAGTCAGGCACGTGAATTTGTCTCGTCACAGTCGGCCGTGCTTAAGTCTATGGGTGGGGTCGCCGCGGCCATCATCGATTCATATTTTTTTGGCCACTGATTTCGCGAACGGAAAATTGATCTCGGCCAAGTTTCTGAGGTGTGACAAAAATTGCAGTGAAATAGACAAAACGTCTTAACTCGTTTTTGCCGATCGTTGGGTTATGCCTGTCACCGGGGGCGACACACTCGCGCAAAATCATAGCTGACGACTCGGGCGTTCCTCGTAACAACTCGCCGCGTGGCAGAGTGGAGATGGGGGGGGGGCTATATATACTCTCGACTGGCAGGCTGTCTCTCTCCAGAAAAAAAGCCTTTTTTATGAAAGCGTGACATTTATGCGAAAAGCTCGGAGAAATCGTTTTTTTCTTTCTACTTTAAATCCCGGGGATCACGCGCGCTGGCTGAGTCTCGGTAGCAACACTGGCTGCTACCGAGTCAATGATTACTGTTGACCCCAGGTGAGGAACCAATACTTATTGTTTGCCCTCTGTGTCTTACCTACAATTATTTGGGTTCTGCGAGGAAAACATCAATGCAGGGCAGCAGGTTTGAATTAAGTTAGGTTCGGTTGTTTTTTCTTACAAAAGCTGTGCTGTAACCCGCCGTTGCAAAATAAATGGTCACCTTTGCCTGCCACCCTAGGGAGGACGTATTTGGCGAAGGGTGACGCATGATTTGAACGCTCGCCCACACAAGTCCCAACAGCCAGGACAGAGTAGTGTGTACGTGCACAACATGCGCTCGTGTGCCCTGTGCAGTTGTCATCACGGCGGCCACAGCGGAGCGTCCAATCACCGTCGGCGTAACCCTCGCGGCTACGGTTGCCACCTCTGATGTACAAAACACCGGACCATATAATGGAAAGAATAATATTTCACAACAGCAGAAGCGGTGAGAGCTGCATATGCATGCATTGTTTTGAGTGATGTGTTAACACCCAACTGACATATTTAAAAAAAGGTCTGGATTTTCAATCTCCCGGAAACACTTATAGATTTCCCAAGATAGCTGCCTCAACATTATTGTTATGTTATTCACAAGAGGATGATCCTGGCAAAACCAGAACAGGTGCCAACCCTAGATAGGTCGTGGGGTCACTGCCCGGCGAGTGGCACCGGCAGCGGAGTTGCTCAGCTGGCCGTGCCACGTTCCAGGATCGTGGCAGAGTGGGTGGGAAAGTGCCCCCCCCCCCACTCCCTCCCTCCCCCTTTACTGAGAGGACCAGAGGCCATTTGAAGAGATCTCAGAAGTAGCTCTGTGATAACAACTGCCGCGGCCCACTCTCGAGTAATGGGGCAATGCACTGCTTTGCGGGACACCCCGAGTGCATTCTTTATCTGAAGACATGACGGCGACAGCACAATCGAGACACAATTGGTGAAAACCTTAAATCTCTCTTATTGAAATCAAATCACCACGCATGCACTCGATGTGGCCAAATCTCGGAAGCCAAGCGCAGTTGAGTCTGGTTAGTACTTTGATGGGAGACTGCCTGCCTGGGAACAGCAGATGCTGTCGGCTCGCGCTGCGAGTCCGCTGCCTCTGATCCGCGACGGCACAGAACGGAAAGGAAGCATAGCGATCGCCCGCGAGAGACGATGGCAGCAGCTGGTGATGGCGATTCCGATGGGCGGGGGAGGCGCAGCTTCCCGCCGTCGTGAGATCGCGGCACCGGCGGCGCCCAGAGACCCCCCCCCCCTCCCCCCAACCCGCTCTCCTCACTCGCTCTCCTCGGAACCGTCGCAAGCGTTTAGCAGCAGGCGACCGCACGACGTGAGAAGTGCGGTCACCGTGCAAGCCCCCACCCCCCACCACCGCATCACTACTGCAGCTGCTGCTGTGGCACGGGCTTGTCGAGTGGCTCGGCGGAGCCGCTGCCGTTGATCTTGCTCCACAGGCAGCCATCCCCCTCCAGCGCTGGCAGGCAGGCCTGGGTCTTGGCCTGTGGCCCCCAGCGCCGGGCACCCTGGTAGGTCGACGAGTCGGTCCAGGTGCACGCACGCGCCTCCGTGGGCTCGCACGGCTTTTGGTTGCACGTTGAAATCTGTTCGCACGGCGGAAGAGAGATGTGTGTTGGTGAAACGCATCTTTGCTGCCCTGCATTAGCACGCTGGATGGGACGGTGGTCGAGGCTAACGATGGAGTGGTGGCCCAAGGAGGAAAACCGCGAAGACGGAGCGATGAAATCAGCTCACGTGTAGGAGCCTGATGGATTGTTGAAAGATGGCAGCGGCTTGGCGCTGGCCATCCATCGTGTAGTGGATAGATCAGGGCTGATGGTGATCTTGATGATGATTGTAACTTTTTCTGTAGCATCTTAAGTCTCATGTACGGTGCGAAAGAAGATCAACAGGGACCGTGCATATTACCAAAGTGTGTACATTTCGTCTCGGCCTGGTCATCTGCTATCCGCTGGCCTTTTGTCTGCATGATGGGATTTCCACACATTCCAGTTTTTAAACTCTCATTTGTGTCAAGCCAAACATTCCATAATGGAATTGGCCAAACATTACAATCATTGCAAGGCCCTCCTAGATATAAGAGTATTGAGTCTCAGTGAGGCCTTGCTGGGTAAATACATGGCATTATTATCAAATAATGCCCTCTGTTGACATACACTTCCAGAGTGAGCAGTCATTAGCGGTAATAAAACTAAACTTGCACCGTTGCATTTTTTCGTTGAAGGCAGTGCAGTTGTAATGACCCCAAACCATTAGGGGCGTGGGGAGCCCGTGCAGAAACAGCGTGCAAAGGGGCTGGGGTAAGATGGGGGTCAGCCCCGGGAGCTCCAGGACACTCGTGGCACAACAGGGACGGAACCAGCCCCACGGCAGCAGGAGTAGTTGACAGCAGGGTAGGCACGACAAGGGTGGCAGAAGATAGGAGGGGCGGACACAGAAGTTGGCAGGCATAGATGGCAACTGGCGGGAGTAAGCATGGCAATGTACCACGATGAATGGGGGGATGGAGAGGTGAACGCTGGAAAGCACAAGGGGCGTGTGGCCCAAAAGGCCAATGGGGGTGGATAATGGGTGAGCTCATAGGAGATTATGGATGTGTGTATGTTGAACTTCTTTCGCACCGTACGTAGCCAACCGTGCTAATCGGAGGTGCGGCATCACCAAATAATTTGTCGTAGGCAGCAGTGGAATATTTAAATTACCCTGGCGACACCTGCCATTATCTCGTAGAGGACGCCTCACCTGGCACGTGCAGCCGGAGCCGTAGATGTCAGAGAAGCCGGATTTTTGGCCGCTGGAGAGCGTGTTCCAGGGGCGGATGAAGTTGCACAGGGTCACGTAGATCATCCCGGACCAGATACGTCCTGCCAGCAGCAATGGTGGGGAACGGGAGCCAATGATTAATAGCCAAAAGCAGTTATTGGTGTGCCTGAAAACTTATACATCATCGGCTTTACTTGTACATGTACAGCTATTTTTGTCACGCATCTCATCGCAGTCTTAAGAAACTGAAACCTGGCCTCCTGAAGACTCAATATCCTGTTACCTAGTCTCCTGATGACTCAAGATCCTGAAACCCAGTCTCTTGAAGCTAAAATCTCAAGATCCTGAGACCTGGTCTCCTCGAGTCTCAAGAGGCCAAAGTTCAGCAAAGTATTTTGCTGCACCGCTCTGTGCTGCCCACCGCATAGCGCAGGCCACCTACGAACACCCTGGCATGCACGGTGGTCACTCATCCCAATCAAGCGCTTTCCGGCTCGAGCTTTTGCCTCGGGCTTCCGAGATCTGCCGTGCTGAGAGCGTGGGCGCATTTCACGGGTTTTGCTCACTGCTTTGGCCATATTAACGGCGAGTAAAGTCTCGCGCTGTCAACCCGGGGGGGGGGGGGGGTGGGGGGGTATTCTTTCTAGCCTCACCTGTCAAAATGTAGTGGCGTTTGTGCGGCTGGATGTCGAGAGCACAGCTCGGCTCTCCTACGGGCGAGTAGATGTAGCCCGTTCGCGTCAGCTCCTCTTGGCCTTTGAACGTCTGCGGCAAAGCAAACAAAAAAAATTAAATGACACGCGAGCGTGAAGCTCGTGATGTCACCGGCTCCGCCGGTTAGCTACCCGCTTCGCCGCACCTTCTTTTGCGCTTATGGTTGCCTGTCGCGCGAATGTTGCAACCACGGTCGGGGACGCAAGCACGGAAATTCGAATTGGCACGTGTGCGCCGTGCGGCTAAAGCATCGTGATCGCTTGCGACAAGCAGGCCCTCTGACGAAACGACGCGACCTCATGGCTCCCACGTCGCGAATCTCGCGTCGTGTTTGAGTATATATATGTCGGCGATCGCCATGCACAGCCGACGTACCTTGATAACGTTCACTTTGTACCGGGTCAGCTGCGCCATGGCGCTCTCATTGTCGCCGTTGCTGACTGCCATCATTTCCGTCGTCTTTTCAAGCAGTTGCACCTTCATGGCTGCAAAGAAATTCACAAAAATTCCGCGTGTGAGTGAATTACTTTTATTAGACTATTTCTATTTCATTTTAATATTATTATTTTTTACAACGTCACGCACAGCAGAATGGGAGCGTGATTTAGAAGTCGCGAGCTATTTCGTGTTAGCGGCGCGTCAAGGAGCCGCCCCGGGAAATTCGATAAAATCTGCCGCACGGAGGAGAGCAATCAGCCAACGCAATCAGCAGGCTGTACGGGGCCCGCTCGCAGTAATTGGTCTCTTGTCAGGAGTGGCAGCGCCTCGTTACTCGACGACATTCCCAAAATTGGTGCAAAACCATCGCCAGGGACGGGAGGAACCTCTTCCGATGCGTTTTCGGTGCCGTACCACGTGCCCTTCGGAATGCTGTCTGACGTTTTGCTGCAAGGGGTGGGAGCTCCTTCAGTAACGGAACGACGGTGCAGCTCGTGCTCTTGTGTGGTTGAAGGTGAACACGAGGCTGCTCCGTTGTTCCGTTACTGAAGAAGCTCCCAGCGCGTGGAGAGAAACATCGGGCCCATCAATCCTAACGACGCGGTACAACCAAAACGTGCGCCGGAGAGCCGTACGGCGTAACCACAAAAACCGACGCGTCAAGAATAGTACAATAATAATAATAAACTCAGCATTGGCGGACGATGGATTTCTTTACCAAATTTTTTTTTTTCTACAAAGTGAAGACTCTTACCAACATCTGACCCGCAGAAGGCTTGCTGTGGGTGTGGTTCTCCGGCGCAGGAGCATGCCTGGGACAGCGCGCACAGCCACCCAGACAGCGCCACTGCCACGACAGCCAAGGGCAGCACGACAGAATTCCGCGAAGGCAGCATCTTCGTGTCTCGTCAGCTGGAACGTCGTCGGTCTCCTGGAGGCTCTCACCGATTGTCACACGAGCGACGCTGCTGCAAGTGGCTGTTTGAAGGCTGCCTCGCTGGCATTTATATCGGAGGGGAATGTTGTTATTTGTCTTTTTTTTGTTGCGCCACGCCTTTCATGAGTGTCCTAATCCACCGAACGAGGAAGTGGTAGTGAGTCGTGACGGAATGCGATAAGCGAGTGATGCAGCACTCGGTCGTCCGAACACCGTTATTTCCCAGAAACTATATTCGTGACCTGTCCGTCTAAGTATGCTCGAAGCGTGGGAATATTATTTTCCAAGTTTCCTGCACGTAATTGCCTTATTAGTCATTTATTAAGTTTACAAGGGTGCTTTTATTCAGACCCAACACGGTGTTGCCCGCCAATACTAACACGTGGGTGTGTCTTGCGAAATGTAAGCAGTTTTGGTAACTGTGAACAAGAATTTAAACGTCTATGCCAGTCCTGTATTGCTTCATTTCAATTTACAATGAACGCAATGGCAGTTCACCATTCGCCAAGTAAAGACCAAGGTACTTTATTTGCATAGCAACGATGCCACGATGCGTCTGAAGATATTCTGTTACTTGGGAAGCTTTGGCGCAGTTGTTGGTGCATTGCGCTATGACACCCGGCAACTCTGAGCTTAATTTCTGGCCACGGCTAGCATCAGTGGCGAGTGATGTTAAAACCGGTCTTTTTTTAACGTGGGGGTGGAAATCCGAGTGTATCTGGAAAAACTCAGACACAGTAGGAGTCAACACTAAAGCACCGCACAGATAGGTTATTGGCCAAAACACTAACCCTAGTGCTCATGCATGCATGGTTCGCGTCTCATCCTCATGATGTGGTGGACTTCAAATGATTGCGAGTGTCTGCCACCATTCTCTCTTTTTGTGTGTTCACCAATGTTTGAACTCTTGACATGATCACCTTCATCAACCCTGATCTACCCACTGCTGAATGAAGTCCTCCCCCATGTCATCGCCATCTCCCCCAGCGTCTGATCCCCATCAGCCATGAGCGAAGGCCTCCCCAAGGCCTCGCCAAGCTGCCATCTCACAGTCTTGTGACATGACAATCTACCGAGCTCCCTGCACACAAGCTCATTTTATCGCTCCATTTCCACAGTGGATGCCCTCTCATGCCCATTCCCTCCTTTGGCTGCCGATCAGTGATTAGTCCTGACCACCGGTCTTCATCCTTTCTTTACTTTGAACTCGCTAACGTGTACCTGTGCAGCCATTTTTATTTTGTCAATTAACTGCTGGAGGAGAGCTTCCCTACTACGCCTTATGTGCCCTGAGGGATATTTGACCATACTTCACCACGCTGGTTAGTACGAACTGGTGAAGGTGCAGGGAGGTGGGGGGGGGGGCATGGGAGTGCAGAACAACAATGGGATTGTGGTGCACTGCCCTCTACTGTCCGCAATGCCTACTACACCTGTGTCTCGCTCGTGGTGGTCGTTGATCACCCATCCAACTCCTCGCCAGGCTCAAACCTACTTAGCCTCCGAGATATTTACGAGATTGGGAGCACTGTGGCTGATTTGTTCATAGGGTTGTGCTTATGCTACGGTTGAGAGATGTTAACTATCTGGCCCGGTATGGAGGAGGCCGTGGGTTCAATCCCGACCATGACGCCTGCTGCTGTATATTGGGGATTTGCATGTTCTCCCCGTGTTCGTGTGGATTTTTCTCTGGGTCCTCCGGTTGTTCCCTCCACATTTAGAAACATGCGTTTAAAGTATTTTGTCTCTATAATTGTCGACATTACAAGCCAATGTGGCCTGGTAAATTCTGAAAAAAGAGCTATATAGCTCAGAGGGCCTTACGGTGTAAAAATGGTAGTTTACTCATATAATAGGCTGTAATTATCAGAGCTGACCTAGCCCCACCTAGATATTATTTATAGATCCCTTGCTCATTTCGGTACATGCCATAATGCATCGTTATACCTTAGCCGTGAAAATACTAGGGTCAGGGTTCACAGGTTCGTTCGATCAACACTTGCATTTGATTAATTCCGAGTAGCTCTTACATTGCATTTCCGTGCGCCGTATGTGCAGCGGTGAGCTTATTTTGCCGGGATGTTGGCCCGGCCCCGGCGGGATGTGCGTTTGCCGCAGAGGCTCGCGGTTCAATTCCGGCAGGCCACCCCGGTTAATACTGTGGGTGCGTTAACAGTATTAATAATAATAAGTTCCGTCTTCTTCACAGTTGCCGTTAAATATCCCACGACGCCATTCGAGAAAGAGTGGGTCATGGCCCCCCAGTGTTGTGGTCCACATTTTGCCAAATTTAGAAAAATGACACTGGAAAATTGCCCAATTGGGAATTACACTTGTCGGCCATCGTTGCCCCCCCTATCCGCAGACCAATGCCCACTTGCAGGCCGGTGCTGCGTTCAACGCCTGCGGCACAGGGACAGCCGCCACTGGGGGGGGGGGGGTTTGGGGGGTTTGGGGGGTCCCCTTTTAATGGTTCAGATGAGACGTGATGTAAAGTGGTTTTGAGTTGCAGAGGCATTTTAGTGCCGTATAATGCAAATGATTATTCTGAGGTTATAGCGCGCGGATCGAGGATTCTTCTTCTTTCCTCCCAAAAAACATGCAGCCACATCTTAGTCGTGGGGGAATGCTGCCGTGGTGTTGCGGTCAGCACACTGCACGTGCGATCCCACAGGTCACCGGTTCGATGGAGGATTCTTCTTTCCTCCCAAAAAACATGCAGCCACATCTTAGTCGTGGGGGTATGCTGCCGTGGTGTTGCGGTCAGCACACTGCAAGTGCGATCCCACAGGTCACCGGTTCGACCTCCCGCCGTGGCAGTTAAAAGAATGGAGCGTGTTTCTTCGATCCCCCTGCCTCTGTCCACCGAGCGGTAGAATCCAAATCAGCATCTTTTTTGAGACTCGAGGAATCTGATGGGCTATGAAGCTCTCTTTCACAGATGTCCAGTAAAAACTGAAATTGGTATGCCACAGTCGAAATGTGTAGGCCACAGTTAATCCATCGGTAGGTCATGCGTGGTTGGATAAAATGTGGGTACTCTCAACTCTTCCAAAATGTCTGAACCACATGGATAACGAGGCCAAATACCCTCTAGAGGGGCTCCCTACAGCTCCCTCTTGTGGGGTCCCTTCCACCAGCAGTAAAGTTAGCAAGAAATTGTAGGACTGCACTTTAACCTTTCTATAATCATCACCCATTGCCAATCCACTGCTGGATGAAGGCCTCTCCACCTCATCGCCATCCTTCATGAGCCAGAATTGCTTCCGCCCCACCTCACTCCTGCACATGAACGGACCTCATCACCTGACCTCCGCGGTGCTCATTCTCTCCACTTCGTCAACGCCTGCGCAACCACATCAGTCACATCAGTCACATCAATCATCACATCAATCACGTCAATCACGTCAATCTGGAGGGTGGCGATCGCCGCGTGACCTTTGACCCGAGAAGGGCCGCGTACGCAAATTCTCGGAATGATTCTGTGTGGGCGGCTCGGTGGTTGAACCCGCGGTCAAGCAAAATGAAATGAGGACCTTATTTCGTTTTGTTCTCGCAGTTAATCAATAAGTGAATGCGTTGTTAAGGCATTCGTGATGAAGCGTACGAGGGCGGCACCAACAGGATGTGGTAACTCCTGCACGCGGGACTTTCGCAAGCGAGTTTTTTGCCAAGTTCACGGAGACACTTACAATAACAAAATATATATATAGTTCGATTTGCGAGCTCATTGAATTCTCATCACCAGTTGTACACAAGGAGTCGGTGGCTGCCCGGTCAATGTCGAACGTCGGGCCGACGTTGAGCCAACGGTTTCAACCGCATTCCAACGTTGGCCCGACTTTGGATGTTTACCAGGTGTTGACGTCAAACCGGGGCTTGGAGCATCTTTAGTCCACTTGCAAACTCTGCCTTCAAAGAGGTGATCCGCACGTAATATTGAGGAGCCACGAAGTGAGAGTGATCAAAAAAACTAAAATAATGCATTCAGCGTGGTTTTTAATTTTCTACGGCTTTTCACAATTTTATGAATATTGTTCTGCCGCCAATATGTCATGAGACAAAATGTCAATTTAAAAACTCTTTCACTCACTCAGAGCAGTGCAACTCTCCACATTCGAGAACTGCCCACAAAAGGGTAGATCCCATGCCAGGCGAGGGAGTTAACATCTCGCCACCGCATCTCATCAATGTTCAAGTGGAAAGCCCTTTTTGTTGGCAATCGCATCACGTCAGCACTCGCTGGCAGTGCAGCGAAGCAAGCTTGTTTCATTTTCTGACAAAGCCGGGCTTAAAGCTGTCTCCGTAAACAAAAGAGAAAAAGAAACGGAATTAATGAAATGTCAGATCATGAATGAGCAGGTTTCTCTAATCCTCCCGCCTCTTATCCACGCTGAAGTATAAATAGGGACACCGCAGTTAGTCGACCGACAGGTTGTATGCGGTGGGGCAAGGGGTGGGGGACTGCTCGCCTCTTCCAAGACGCCAGGCCAGCGTGGAAGAGTCGGCCAAATAAACCCTCTGGAGGGGCTCCCTCAAGGCTCCCTCGAGGCTCCCTCGAGGCTCCCTCGAGGCTCACTCGAGACTCCCGAGAGGCTCCCGAGAGGCTCCATAGAAACTCCCTAGATGCTTCCTAGAGTCTTCCTAGAAACTTCCTAGAGTCTTCCTAGAATCTTCCTAGAAGCTCCCTAGAGTCTTCCTAGAGGCTTCCTAGAGGCTCTCTAGAGGCTTCCTAGAGGCTTCCTAGAGGCTCCCTAGAAGCTCCCTAGAGGCTTCCTAGAGGCTCTCTAGAGGCTTCCTAGAGGCTTCCTAGAGGCTTCCTAGAGGCTCCCTAGAAGCTCCCTAGAGGCTTCCTAGAGGCTCCCTAGAGGCTTCCTAGAGGCTCCCTAGAGGCTTCCTAGAGGCTCCCTAGAGGCTTCCTAGAGGCTCCCAAGAGGCTCCCTAGAGGCTTCCTAGAGTCTTCCTAGAGGCTCCCTAGAGGCTCCCTAGAGGCTTCCTAGACGCTTCCTAGAGGCTCCCTAGAGGCTCCCTAGAATCTCCCTAGAAGCTCCCTAGAGGCTCCCTAGAGGCTTCCTAGAGGCTTCCTAGAGGCTCCCTAGAGGATCCCTAGAGTCTCACTAGAGGCTCCCTAGAGGCTTCCTAGACGCTTCCTAGAGGCTCCCTAGAGGCTCCCTAGAGGCTCCCTAGAATCTCCCTAGAGGCTCCCTAGAGGCTCCCTAGAGTCTCCCTAGAGGCTTCCTAGAGGCTCCCTAGAGGCTCCCTAGAGTCTCCCTAGAGGCTCCCTAGAGACTCCCTAGAGGCTCCCTAGAATCTCCCTAGAGGCTCCCTGGAAGCTCCCTAGAGGCTCCCTAGAATCTCCCTAGAGTCTTCCTAGAGGCTCCCTAGAGGCTTCCTAGAGGCTCCCTAGAGGCTCCCTAGAATCTCCTAGAGGCTCCCTAGAGGCTTCCTAGAGGCTCCCTAGAGGCTCCCTAGAGGCTCCCTAGAGGCTCCCTAGAATCTCCCTAGAGGCTCCCTAGAGGCTCCCTAGAATCTCCCTAGAGGCTCCCTAGAGGCTCCCTAGAGACTCCCTAGAGGCTTCCTAGAGGCTTCCTAGAGGATCCCTAGAGGCTCCCTAGAGGCTCCCTAGAGGCTCCCTAGAATCTCCCTAGAGACTCCCTAGAGGCTCCCTAGAGGCTCCCTAGAATCTCCCTAGAGGCTCCGTAGAGGCTCCCTAGAATCTCCCTAGAGACTCCCTAGAGGCTCCCTAGAATCTCCCTAGAGGCTCCCTAGAGGATCCCTAGAGGCTCCCTAGAGGCTCCCTAGAGGCTCCCTAGAATCTCCCTAGAGACTCCCTAGAGGCTCCCTAGAGGCTCCCTAGAGGTTCCCTAGAAGCTCCCTAGAGGCTCCCTAGAATCTCCCTAGAGGCTCCGTAGAGGCTCCCTAGAGACTCCCTAGAGGCTCCCTAGAATCGACCTAGAGACTCCCTAGAGACTCCCTAGAGGCTTCCTAGAGAATCCCTCGAATGGAAGCCCTTCTGCCAGCAGTGATGTGAGCAAGAAGTTGCAGATTTCAGTGCCCTCACCAATTTGAATTCCAGAATATTTATTTTATTTAACATTAATTCATATTTATGCAGTTTTTTTTCATCTCCTGCCATGCGGTTCTTTTTGCCCCGATTTCCTTATTTTTTTCATTTTTACTGCTTTTATGATGTTGGTGACCCCACCAAGGGCACTCTTGCAAATGAGACTCCACTTGCCCACTCACGTCGAGTTCTCACCCGCTCAGACACCTCTAGCTACTTAACCTTTGCGGCCTTTTTTTTCCTAACCAGATTGCGAACAGCCGAATAAAAGTTGTTGTTGTTGTTGTTGTTACGGTCGTTTTTATGTTTGTTTGTTTCGGGGCGGGGCCGCACGCGCGCGCGCTCGCCCGTGCAGTGAGTGTGCGCGTGCCCGTGGCGGGTTCACGCTTCCTCCGTAGGCGGCCCAGCCAGCCAGCGGTTTTTCTTTTTTCTCCCCAGCAAAATTTTGTTTTGTGTTCGCGTGCCGCAGGAATTAACCCCTCGGAGCGGCGGTGACGATGCAAACCACAAAAAAAAAACAGCCCGGAAGGGTGAGGGGGGAGGGGTGGCGGCGGCGGCACGGCGCACTTCAAGTTTTCGAAAGTTATGAAAGCGGGGGGTGGAGGGGGGGGGGGACCCCCTTTTGCGTCAGCGGTGCTTAGAGCGATTGAGCAGAGGGGGTAAGGGACAAAGCCAGGGTCGTGGGGTCAAGGGCCTGGACGCTCGGCGTTGCGCACCCGCAGGAATTTTCCACGATACAGGACCCCCCTCCCCCCCCACCGTGTGAATTCGATCCGAAGCGGCAGCTTCCGTGTGATCGAGTGACGGTGGTGCACGTCCGCCTAGTCCCGGCGATGATGTTCTGGACCCTGTCTCTCGGCGACCTGACACCCCACGCTTCTACTTCATCATCGTGAGCAGCCATGGTCAAACCACTGCGACGCCCTGAGCGTGTCGGAAAGGTTAGCCGCGGCCCCCGTGCTGTGTTAAAACGGGATCCCAGAGGTGGTTCTGTGATATCCACTTCCTCGGTCCATTCTCCAGCACGGATGTGCGCACTGCTGCGAGGGAGTTCTGAATGGATCCACGTCTCGTGACGTGTGCGCATGATTGTACGAACCGTTTGGGAGAGGGGAAAAAAGAGCAGAGCGTGACAACAACGAGAGAAAAAAACAGACGTGGTTCAGGGCCTGTCAAACAAGACGGCAATGATATTTACTTTCGGACATCACTGCTAGGCAATCCGCTGTCATCGATTGCGTCGAAGCACAAAGCAGCCGTTTGTAGGCAGTTGAATTTAATTAACTGTTCAGCATCCAATTTATGTGGGGCATTATTGAGTTTATGTCCGGCCTATGATGTATTTTCTCAATATATATGAGGGTTTAACATTCACAACCAGGAGAATGGGTAGGTATTTTATTTGTCCCGAACCGATTAAAGTTCATGTCTTCAAACTTTATATTTATGTCCAGGCTCAAGATGCCAATGGACCGCACTGAGTAGTGAAATAGAGGATAATCTCATCATTATCAACATCCTTGCTCAATCCACTAATGAAGGCATTCACAAGCCACCCCCCATAACCTTTCACGACCCTGCAGTCGTATAAACCAGCGGTCCCCAACCTTTTTGGCACCAGGGACCGGTATCGTGGAAGACAATTTTTTTCACGGACTGGGGGGGGGGGGGTTCATCATTGGGTCTTTCCCCCTTTTCAAAGAAGCTCTCCAGGGACGTTTGTTTCTTACTCATTTTGGCTAGGGGTTAGCTTGTGGGCTTTATACCAAAACCGTGACTGAGACAAGTGCGCAGTGCGGGAAAGAGGCGCGGACAGAAGTGGTAAATAATAAAATAATGGGGCGGGCCACGCACGGACTCACCGCTCACCTGCTGCTGTGCGGCCCGGTTCCTAACAGGCCACGGACCGGTATCGGTCCGCGGCCCGGGGGCTGGGGACCCCTGGTATCAAGCACCCGGCACCTTCTGCACACAAACCGATTTCGTCGCTTCATCTCCCCCAGTGGACGTCCTCTCGGTCGCCTTCCATTCCTTGGCTGCCACTCCGTTATTGTCCTTGGCCATTGGCCATCGTCCCCTTCCAGCGATGTAGCATCCTGCTCAAATATATCACCTTTACTCTATTCACAATTCTGTCAAAATCGCTCGATGAAGCCGGCTGCAATTGCCAGCGAAACATCGTACTCAAATTGTAAATGTTGTGGGTTACTCTCCAATGCACCGGTGGCGCTGAAGTAGTAACTAATTGACACTTTTTGTTTACGTGACAAACCCTTAGACATTGGCTGCGTTGGGTAGTGGTGAGTTAACGACACATTCACGTGATCTAACCCAATGTTTGGTTATTATGAATATACATTGAGAATAGGTTTTCCCCTTTTTTTCTGGCAACAAAACAGGTGTTGAGATGTTAAAACACCAAACGGAAAGCTTTACCAAGGAATCATGTGCGCATTAACCACAATACTTGTGGTCTAACACCGTTTTGAGACTAGGCTCAAAAGAAAGCTGTCTCTGGTGTGGACCAATACGTTTCAAAGACAATGCATATATTATCAGAGTTTGTTTTTTGTTTGCATTCTGACCACAAGCATTGTGGTTAATGCAGACACGATTCCTTGTAAAAGGTTTCAGTTTGGTGTTTTAACATCTTAACACAGCTGTTTTGTTGCCAGAAAAAAGGGGGAAACTTATTCTCATATTTTGGTACTGGCAAAGGAGGTCCCATGATGAATATACATTATTTATTTTATTTTTATTTCCACGTGACTTTACCGAAAGAACCAAAGAGTAATTCCTGCAGTCACGAAAGCTTCAAATCAAGTATGAATATACATTTTACGCTTATTTTTGTGTGAGCAATGCGTACCTGCGACACGTAACATTCGTGTGGCACGTGCTTTTAATGTGGTTCATTCATTTATCATTAAGCTTGTAGCTGACCTCGCGGGGGGCAAGCTTGAGCGAAGCAAACGCTCGCTCGGCACGCAACCCGACCTGGGAAACAGCGCACTGAGATCATGGGGCATCCGAGGACAACTTTGCGCGTCGAATTGACGAAAAGCGGTCGAGTGGATTTTGATATCGACACTACGATAGCGAAACGCGAGCAAGATAAACCCTCGAAATCTCCCACAGTTGAGGACGCCTGCTGCAAGCACTGAGGAGCACGCCGGGACTTTTCGATCGCTTGCGCCTCTGCCTCCGCCTGTGACACTAACGGTCGCTCCGCGCGATGTTTTGCTGTTGTCTCACTCAGCTGACGACGCCGACATTCCCGGTCGTGGTGAAGATCGGGCACGCGCACGCTGGCGTGGGCAAGGTGGGTGTGGCCACGGGGGTTGCGGCGCGCTCTCCAACACCAGGACGCCACCGCGGTGGCGAGATGTTAACCACCACGCTAGGTCTACAGCAGGTCGTGGGTTCAATCACGATCCTTGACGCCTGCTGTATATTTGGAGTTTGTGGTGTGTCTCTCTCTCTCCCCGTGGTCGCGTGGATTTTTCTCCGGGTCCTCCCGGTTTTTCCCTCCACATTTTGAATCGACATCACGCGTTCAGAGTATTTGGCTGCTATTCATTTCCACATCATAAGCCACTTTGTTTAGCTATTATTTGTGGCCAGGTCGCTTCTGAAAAAGAACTAGAAAGCTCAGTAGGCTTTACGTGGTGAAACTCCACGGCGGTTCAAACAAATATTGGCTGCCCCCAAATATATAAAAAAATATATCTGGCCAATGTTTGCTCCGTGTGGACAACTGGGATGGAAACAACCAATCAAATTACTGACAGAGGTCTCATGACGGTCTAAGGTTGTGTGGCTCCTTACAGCAAACACTGCTCATCAAACACTTTCCAACAAACTCTGTTTCCATTGGCTTGATAGAACTGCATCACTGTATGCCATCACCTTCTCAGTTTTCCATCGCTGCTCACGGCTTAAAAGCACTGCCCATGACAATTTTTGGGGAAATGCCGATTGCCCCATAAAGTCCCAAAAGGTGTCATGGCAATTAGATCCTTGTCATACACAGACACACAGATCCAACCGTAACACGGTAACACGGGTGACAACACATTCGTGGCGATGGCGATGTGTTCGCAAAGGTTGTGAGGCGGCACGGCTTGTCTTGCCAACTCGCCGTGGTGCCACTGCAGTGTGACGCACGCCACCTTTGCTGTGGTTTTGAAATCACAGCTGAGTTGCGGGTTAAGGATGTGACACGGTTAGTAAGGAAGGCGTCGACCGCGTACACGGCGTGGTTTAGAAAACTCAAGGCTGATTGGAACATTGTGTAGGGGTCGTAGCCTTCTCCTTGCATCTGGTTGTGACGCATCGAGGTTAGACGTAATGAGCTATGAGTGGTGATGACAAGGGGAAGTGGGGGGCATGACTTGATGCTGCATGATGCAGAAAGGCTCGTCACAGTTTGACAAGGGACTGATAATTGAAGTTAAACGTGGGCACTTAAGCTCACCTATATTCAGCCCCTTGGCAAAACCACTGCTCCACTGAAGCCTCCCCGTCTCGTGTCCGGTCATGGGGGTTTTATTTTTTACCATACTTCACCACGCTGGTCTTCTTCTTCCGTATGGCTAATGCAGAGCAACAACTACAACTTCACATTCAGGTGGTCGAGCCAGATAACCGCGTCAGGGGCAGCGGAGTGCATCGCCGTTGATGTCTCCTCCGTGTTTGTGGATCGGGCAGTGCGTCGTCGTTATACATTGTACGGTCTGTTCTGGATGACCGCAGTCGCACACTGCTGGAGAGTTTTAGATTTTCCACCTGGTCAGTTTAGGTCATTGAAAGAGGTGCCCCAAATTTAATCATGAAATAATAACTGCTTCCTCAATTACTTTAAAATCGTAAAATCAGGTAATATGACAGCTAATTAAAGTGTCATGACCTGAGAAAGGATTTGAACTAAAAACATAGGCTGAGAATTCATTTGAACATTCATGAAATTTCAGGACCACCGTGTTTCATATCGCAATAGCTTAAATATGTGAGAATGTACAAGTGTTTTTAATCATCGCCATTCATGTCTGAGTTGAACAATAGTGAAATCGGAAAAAAATCCAGAGATATCTAGAGAAAGATTGTGCAAAATCTATAGAAATATTGAGAGATATCCGAGAAAATCCAGAGCTCTCTTAAGCAAAAATCGGAGGGTGGAGAAATCTTGTGAAATCTTGAAATCTTGAAAATCCGGAAATCTTAAAATCCAGAAATCTTGAAAATCCAGAGCACTCTTCAGCAACAATCGGAGGCGCAGGGTAGAAATCTTGCTAAACTGACAATTTACAGAGTGAATAAAATGCTGAAAAATCTGGAAAAACCCAAATTGCAACCGGCTCCAAGTGCCTGTCGCATGCTCCAGAGTTACAGATGCACTTTCGTGGAAGTTGCTTTGAGAGTGACAATGAAGCAACGTGTTTTGTAAGCGAGTGCTTTGAGGGGTGAGACTAAGCAAAACTTCTCCTCGGCATGCATGACGAGTGGCTGCTTTGGGCATTCAAAGCAGCCACTCGTGATGCAAATCCGAGAGGTGGCAAACGTTATTTTATCTCAGCGTTTTACAGACGAACGCAGAATGGGTTATAACTGGAGGATTACTTTTACACTCCACCGATGTCTGCGTTTGCCCACGGCGCATTGGGGATTGAGGGCCCCAATGAATTCTTTGGCACCTCGGGGTCTGTGCCACCCACGCTATGCCCCCCGGTCTGACCGTTGGCCGCGGCGTGGCTTACGAGTCAACTAGCACTGCATTACCGCTCCTCCTTCTCACATTTCTCCTCCTCGTTCCTCCTCCCCCCTCCTCCCGTCGCTCGGCGCGCGCTCCAGGTGAAGGTGGACAACCACTACGACTTCCAGGACGTGGCGAGCGTCGTGGCGCTTACCAAGACGTACGCCACCGTGGAGCCGTACGTGGACTCCAAATACGACATCCGCATCCAGAAGATCGGCGCCAACTACAAGGCCTACATGTGAGGGCGATCCAAAGGGTCGCGTATCCGTACACACGAGGGGTGGGGAGCCTGCGGTCCGTGGGCCAGCATGCCCATTGCAATGTCACCGTTGAGAATGTTGTTGGAATCGTTGGATCAGGGTTAGGCCAACATTCATTGGCAGCAGCCTACCGCTAACCGTCATCAATCGTCATCAATGTAATCGTCTCTCTGTCCCCCAGGAGAACCTCCATATCAGGAAACTGGAAGGCGAACACGGGTTCTGCCATGCTGGAACAAATTGCAATGACAGACAGGTGAGTGGTCACAAAGTGGCGTTGAAAAGGGGGGGGGGGACCTTTTAAGTAAAACATATCCTACACCCCCTCGGACACGAGGTCACATTCTAAGGATCGGTGGCTTAAAGATTGACTCTTGTTTTAATGAAGCCAGGAGAGGAAATTTCAGACTATTGTACAGCTCAAAATTAGCTTTTTTATCCCAATTGTGCTAGCAGTGTCATTATGAGCCCCAAAAAAAATTCGAAACTCTCACAGAGCAGGGAACCCCTCTATGTTGGAGAAGAAGCCCACGGAAGTGGATATCACAGAACTTTTTCTGAGACCCCTTCAAGTGACCTTTCACCCCCCACCCCCAAACTCTAGAGGGCACACTTTCCTACCCTCCAACGACACAGACAAAAGGCAAGTGCGGAAACAACATTTAATGCAACATTTATTTTACAATCATCAGGTGGCCAGGCCGAGACCATCAACCCACGGCTCTTGAGAAATTGGTTCAGTCACCGATGGCTGTCTGGATTTGAACCCAGGATCGCAGTGGTACCAGCACAGCTCCATGACCTCTAAACCACACGGCGACCTCCACGGAGCTTATTCTTTATTTGTATGAAAAGGAGCTTTCAATGATATTGTTGTATATGTGTATACTGTACACAATTGATACTTTCGTAAAAAATATATACACCAGATTAGAATTTAATGCTTTAAACGGTGGCGGCTGTTCCTGTGTTTATTGCGCTGTGATCGTGGGAGGCATCACTAATTTACAAGGCGAACGGATAAATAACGTTGGGGTGTGGGGGTAAGGGGTCGCGGGTGTGGGGGTGGGAGGACAATAGGGTGGAGGGTGGGGGGCTGAAGGAGTGCTAAACAAAAATGCTTTCCAAATGTAAGCTTCGTTTCAGTTATGGATAACCGTCCCAGATTAGATTAATGATCATCTCTTCCTTGGACACGGATAATTTTCAAATTGATTTATCGTACGAGCTGAAGACCTCAGATCTCCTTTTACTTCCCCCACCCCCCATCGCCATCCCCCCCCCCCCCCCACCCGGTTGCTTGTGCCACTGAAACCAGTTTTTGTCGTGCGTTGCCAAGCGGGAATAAATGTGAATTTTGTAGCACCGAAAATAATTGGTTCGGCGACCTGTTTTCCAAAATAAGCCGGTTGTATAATGCAACTTGGATTTACAAAAGAATCTAAAAGCCACCCAATATCAAAATGCTGTGCTATAAAGGGGGTGGGTGCATACAGATGAGCACTTGGAAGAGAGGAGATAATTTATTTTTGGGAATGAGATTTTTTTGGAGGCTGCAGGCCAGAGAATGGAAGGGGTCCATGGCTTATTTTGTCTGGGCCAGCAACTCCATAAAAAATATTTATGCATCCTGAACACCACCTCCAGTACACCTATCACTATTGCGGTGGCTACGACTAGTTACGTGAATACGACTCCAGTCAACCAGCACCATGGAAAATATTCAGTGAGAAATTAAGCCCCAAAGGAGATGATGGTCACATCTAGGATTCCCACCTGTGCTGATTTTTCCCGAATCTTCCCCTATTTCCTGGGAAATCTGCGAGTCTACCCAGGGCATTGGGAATCCCGGTTTTCGTCAGTTGCGTAACAATACAGCGCTCAAGACAACCACGTTTAAATGCACGTGCTCCCCTCTTCCGACATTGCGAGATCTTCTTCTGCCCAGGATATGTTCCCGTTTTTTTTATTGTTGTTGTATCTCAGAGGTTTGCAACCCTCGTCACGACAGTCTCAGCAAAAAGATGGTAAAATCCACCGTTCCCGAATGGGCCCCTTGCGAAAGAGGCAACGTTTGTGCGTGTCTCAACGCCCCTGTATTTCACCTCTTGGTGACACAGAGAGAGGGGATATTTGCCCTTGCTCTGCTTTGGCATCGCTGATCGGCCCAATCACTGTCCCTTGGATCCACATCTGCACACACCACCCCCCTCCAGGTACCGGATGTGGATCGACACTTGCGCTGAGCTCTTTGGCGGCCTCGATGTCTGCGGCGTGAAGGCGGTGCACGGCAAGGACGGTCGTGACTACATCATCGAGGTGTCGACCTCTCCCATTTTTCTCATTTTCATTTTTTTAAATACTCTTTTTTGTTTTTTTTTTTAACTGCCTGTTGTTCCGTTTAGTTTGTTTGTCCTGATTAGCATGGTTGGCTACGTACGGTGTGAAAGAAGTTCAACGTACATCCGCTACCCTTCCCCTCCCCTCCATCACTATCATCGCTCGAAAAGCGGCTGAACCCGTTGCATCACTTCCTCCGAATCAAATGAGAGTTCAGCACATAATAATAATAATATACATTGCACACACCACCTTCGACGTTCCACTGCTGGATGAGAGTTTGCCGTGGGTATTTTTATTATTATTATTATTTGACTATTCTATACCACGGAGATGAGTGCAGGTTGGTGAATACAGAGAGCACAGGCAGGGGAGGATAGTACAGTACAACAATGGATTTCGCTGCACTGCTCTCTGATAGGCCTACAGCAGCCTACAGCAACCAGTTTTGCGGAAGGTGGTCGCACCAACCACGCACTATCCAGGCTCAAAAATCTGCTTCGCTTCTGATGTCCATCCATATGATTCCGGCAAAAGCAAAAAATAATAATACTGTGGTGCCATTTATTTCCCCATGGAAAGCCTAAACCGAATTCCACGACCTAAATTCAGACGGGTCCTAAATTCATACGGGTCCTAAATTCATACGGGTCCTAAATTCAGACGGGTCCCAATTGATGGGTATTTAGTTTGGTGAGGGAGGCAACTGGAGGACCCCGCAGGAAAATCCCACCACGCATCCGCAGGCATAGATTCAATCCACCGCTGTACTGCCATCTCCTGTTCCCCGGCACAGCCTAAGGTTACAGCAGCACCCGTGGCATTCCCAGGCAGTCTCCTATCAAAGCATTAACCAGGCTCAACCGCCGCTTAGCACCCAAGATCCAAAGATGTCAGGCTAATTCAGGGTGATGTCGTTGCAGAACCCATCTGTACTTTGTAATAAAATAATATTTTGAAAGGGCACGTGTTTGCATTCAAACAAGTTACTGTCGATTTGTTTTTTTTTCTCACATACACCAAACGTGATATTGGAAAGGAGATGCGAGTGGTTTTTGTTTTTAAAAAAATCGAGGTGAAAAATCAAAGAGTGTTTTAAACAACTCCATTGGCAGTCCTTCACAGGCGCGCATGTAAACAAATACATTGCACACAGGTGATTAACACTACCATCCTGTTACAAGGCAGTGTTAATGAATGTTTACTCACAAGTAGATTTACAATCACACGTGGCCCTGAGCCAGTGTTGGAAATTCCACTTTCCTATGCCGGGATCCTGTTTTTTCATAGAACAACCACTGTTGGCTTCTCACAATGTCGTGCTCATTTGACAAACCGTGGGAAGAGGTGACGGGAGGGCTGAGTCGACTCACAACCACGATTTTAATTCTCACCGATCACAGCTTGAAATTAGTGTCTAAGTGGGGCAGCACGGGGAGTACAGTGCTAACATTTGTGCCTCATAGCAAGACGGGCTCGGTTCGATTCCTGACCTGGGCGCCTTTCTGTGTGGAGTTTGTGTGTTTCTTCCCCTGTGCTGCAGTTTGTGAGTGCGAGTGGCGTTTGTATATTCCCCCCTATAAACTATTTTTATTTTACCAGGTAAGGCCCACTGAGCTCTATCGCTCTTTTTAAATAAGCGATCTGGCCACAAATGATGGCTCAACGAAGTGGCTTATCATGTGCAAATGACTTGCAGCCAAATACTCTAAACCAGTGGTTCTTAACCTGGGTTCGATCGAACCCCAGGGGTTCGGTGAGTCGATCTCAGGGGTTCGGCAGAGCCCCCGCCACGGAGGTCCGGACACACTTGAATTATTGTGTAAATTTGTGATGACACACACGGCCCGCTTGGCCATCACTGGCTGCAGATGATCATGCTACACTGCTTGGCCAATCAGCGCTGCGGGGAATTTAGTGCGTACTCAGTAGTCAACGTGTGACTGTTGTTGTCGTACGTCGTGTGATTTCTTTAATATTTTATCCATACTAACTATGTCGAGCAAAAGAAGAAAGTGGTCGGACGAATATGTACAACATGGATTCTCATGTATCACGGAACGTGATGGGAGTGAGCGTCCTATCTGCATGATTTGCAACGCCAAGTTGAGCAACTCTAGTCTTGCACCGGCAAAACTAAAGGAACACTTCTTGAAGCTGCATGGAGACGGGGAATACAAGAACACAACACTTGCTGAATTCAGGGTGAAGAGAGCCAGATTCGATGAAAGGGCCACTCTGCCTGCTCTTGGATTTGTACCTGTTAACAAACCGATCCTGACAGCATCGTACGAAGTTGCTTACCTGATCGCAAAGCAGGGCAAGCCACACACCATTGGTGAAACACTTGTGAAACCAGCTGCATTAAAGATGGCGAATCTGATACTCGGAACAGCGGCCGAAGGTAAATTATCCCAAATTCCCCTTTCAAATGACACCGTCAGTGACAGAATAGAAGACATGAGTAAAGACATCTTGGCTCAAGTAGTCGCGGATCTGATTTCAAGCCCGGCAAAATTCAGCCTTCAACTCGACGAAACCACAGACGCTTCTGATCGAAGCCATCTTGCTGTTTTTGTACGCTATGTGAAAGACGACATGATAAAAGAAGAGTTTTTATTTTGTAAGCCTCTTACAACAACAACGAAGGCAGCCGATGTGAAGAAGCTTGTGGATGACTTCTTCAGAGACAACAATCTTTCATGGGATATGGTTTCTGCAGTTTGTACGGACGGAGCTCCAGTCATGCTGGGAAGAAAGTCTGGTTTTGGTGCGCTAGTAAAGGCCGATGCACCACACATCATTGTGACGCATTGTATTCTGCACAGGCATGCGTTGGCAACAAAAACCTTACCTCCAAAAATGGCAGAAGTATTAAAAACTGTGGTGGAATGTGTGAACTATGTGCGAAAAAGTGCTCTGAGGCACCGCATCTTCAGTGAGCTGTGTAAAGAAATGGGCTCTGAATTTGAGGTACTTCTGCTCCATTCTAATATTCGGTGGTTATCCCGGGGACAGGTGCTGAATCGTGTTTTTGCCATGCGTGTGGAATTAGCCCTGTTTTTGCAAGAGCACCAACACTGCCATGCAGATTGCTTCAAAAATCCTGAGTTCATTCTCATTTTAGCGTACATGGCTGATATATTCGCAGCTCTCAATCATCTCAATCAGCAGATGCAGGGTGGTGGAGTCAATATCATGGAAGCGGAAGAACACCTGAAGGCTTTTCAAAAAAAGCTACCGTTATGGAAACGACGAACAGAGAACAATAACTTCGCAAACTTCCCGCTTCTGGACGACTGTGCAAGTAAGATCGAAGATGTGTCTGGAATCGGAGATATTTCTGTATCCACGGAACTGAAGCAAACAATTGCCACGCACTTAGATGAGCTTGCAAAGTCTCTCGACGGATATTTCCCTACAAGAGAGTCATATCCAGCATGGGTGAGACAGCCGTTCACGTTTGCTGTTGAAACAGCAGATGTCAATGATGAATTCCTCGACGAAATCATTGAAATTCAGCAGAGCCAGGTTCAACAGCAACTCTTCAGAACAACAACGCTCTCAACGTTTTGGTGTCGACAAATGAACAAGTATCCAGTTATTGCTAAGAAAGCCCTGGATTTTTTTATACCATTTGTTACAACATATCTTTGTGAGCAATCCTTTTCGAGGATGCTGGACATAAAAACGAAGAAAAGGAACAGACTTTGCTGTGAAAATGACATGAGAGTGGCACTTGCCAAGGTGAAGCCACGCATATCTGAACTGATCTCTCAAAGGCAACAGCAGAAGTCACATTGATTTCCAGGTATGTAATTTGTTGTGAGTTTATGCATTGTGTTGGTTTTATTCTTTGAACAAGGTAATGTTCATGCACGGCTCATTTTGTGTACCAGTAAAAAACATATCTATGTCTTGAATTTGAAAAAAATCACATTTTATTTTTCACTAAAGAGGGGTTCGGTGAATGCGCATATGAAACTGGTGGGGTTCGGTACCTCCAACAAGGTTAAGAACCACTGCTCTAAACGCACGTTTCTAAATGTGGAAGGAAAAATCGGAGGACCCAGAGAAATATCCACCACCCGACCACGGGAAGAGAGACACGCAAACTCCAAATATACAGCAGGCGTCAGAGTTGGGATCAAACCCACGACCTCCTGCGTACCAAGCGAGGTAGCTAACATTTCACCGCCTTGGCGCCCACTGTCCTGCATGGGTTTTTTTTCCGAGTTTTCAGATTTCATCCCATAGCTAAACTAAAAACCTATAAAACGTCCACTGGTATTGGCTGCAACGTTACCTGTAAATGACCCATTTGGGATTAGATGCAGCAGCAACATCGCCCACTGTTGTGTAAACTTGGCGGAAGAATTACTTGAGACCCGGCGGGGCTTGTCCGGAAAAATAGGCGTGATAAATATAAAGTAAGTACAAAAAATCAACTTGCATCTCAAAACAAACGAAGTGATGATACTTGTAAATCAGAGAAGAAATATCTTGTGAAGCCTACCACATTTTAAATATATAAATATAAATACAGCTGACTCATTTTGTATGAGGCTGGGTGGTGTCATACCATAAACTCACATGCTACCTTCGTGAATTTGATCTCTCTATAATTAATATTGATAATTATCATGAATTAACCTATGCAATTATTGTATCATCCAACGACGAGCCCTCTGAATTCCCCCACTATATTTGGCAGCCGGCGCCTTCTGCACCGATGAACGGCCAAATACTGCGATGGTACAATCCGCACGCATCATTGACACCTGTCCCTTATCCCCCCACCCCCCTATTTTGGTGACAAGATAATGGACTCCTCCATGCCGCTGCTCGGGGAGCATCAGGACGAGGACCGCGCGCTCATCGTGGATCTGGTGGTCGCGCGCATGAACCAAGTTCTGCCGCGCACGCCTGCGCCCTCCCCACAGGTTCGTCGTGAGAGGGGTGTGCACGGGAGACACGATGGGGCTTAGTGGCACTGCCGAGATCCGGGGTGCAAATCCAGGTATCGGCCAGAATCAGAATATGTATTTATGCTGGAGGAATCGGATGAGCTATAAAGCTCTTGATTTGAAACTTTCGTGACTGCAGGAATCCATACTCTTTGGTTCTTTCGGTAAAGTCACGTGGGTAGAAAATCAACACAAGCAATCGTCATCAGGTGAGACTTTACCGAAAGAACCAAAGAGTATAAAGCTCTTTTTCCACAGATGTCCAGTAGTAAAAACACGTTAGGAGTACAAAGTATAGGAAAGGTAAACAAATCATTTTAAAAATATATAAAAATAAAACTTAACTATTTGTTTATCTTACCAGGTAAGGTCCACTGAGCCATTCGCTTCTTAAAGGTTTTTTGACTCTTCCCCCACGAGCCACCTGGCCTGATGACGACCGCTCGTGTTGCGATCGAAACGTCGTCGTTTTTTGTTCTTTTCTTTGAACCTATCTACGTGGCTTTACCGAAAGACCCAAAGAATATTCGCATGTTTTTTTTAGAAGCGACCTGCCTCACAAACGAGAGCTCAAAAAAGTGGCCAATCAAACGGAAATTTATAGCAGCAAAACAATCTAAATAACCTAAATGCACGTTTCTAAATGTGCAGGGGCAAAAACCGGAGGACCCGGAGAAAAACCCCACGCGACCACGGGGAGAGAGAGAGAGAGACATGCAAACTCCAAAAATACAGACGTCAGGGTTGATTAACCCAGGCCCTCTGACATAGTGAGTTGGTGGTGTCAGCCCGGTAACCGATGACTGCGCAACGGAGCATCGTATTGAGTGGTGGTTGGCTGGGTACAGAGGTCAGATTGCTGAGGTGGCATCGCGAAGAATCCTAGGATCAAATCCAGGTTTCAGCCGCCCGTGATTTAAACCGGGTTCTCAAGTCTGGTAACTTGATTGTCTCATCCAAGTCACCAAGTGCAACTCTGTGGTCACACACAATGGATCTCCCTTATGAAATAGCCAGGGAACTGGCAAAACGGGATCAACCTTTTCAATAATCAATACATTCAAATTTTGTGAATTTAATTTATTTGGTTTGATTTACGAGGTAAAGTTTAATTGTTTCACCGCTCAAGTGCTCATGAAGCAGTGCTCATGTTTGTCAATGGTCCTGACCCAGTTGGAGAATAGTGATCGATTTTAAAGATCATTGTACAGTTATGAAATCACGCGTGTATCCATCAATATCTTTTCATTTGTACATGTTGCATGTAATGGGGTCACGTGATCCCTGCAGCCACTTAGTGGCCTGCTACTTTCATCACAATGTAAAAAAAAAATTGCATTCAATTGAATCGTGAACTTTAATTACGATAAATCATCAAATTGCCAGTAACGGGGTGGGGTAACCAATAATTATACCTCCATGAGCCAGTGGCGGGAATTCCACATTCCTGTGTTTGACTCATCATCATCATCATCCGTGAATCATTCTTGTAAAACAGCTTACGTTTGAGTGTTTCTTACCGGCATCAAAATATAGCAGCAGCAGCAGCCCTAATCCATCCACTGCTGAATGAAGGCCTCCCCAAGGCTTTTCCATCTCCCACGGCCTCGCAAAGCGACTAAACGCCTGCACACGAGCTGATTTCATCGCTGCGTGGAGTCTTTGAGCGCGAGACTACAACGTGTCATTATTTTTTTCCACTGCCACCCTCAAGCCTGGGCAGCAGAGGGGAGGGCAACCGTCTCCAGGGCAGCAGCGGAGCAGCCCGACACCGAGTCCCCAGCCGGGGCAGGTGGCTGGGGCCCAGGCCCGTCCACCACCTCAAGGTGAGGCCTCCGGCCACCTCCCCCCACCGTTCTCCATCTGTCCTTCTGTATGTACGCTAAACTCCTTTCGCACCGTACGTAGCCAACCCTGCTAATCGGAGGTGCGGAGGAAGGACAACAAACTAAACACAAAAAGCAGTTGTAAAGAAATGAGATTTCAATCTTAAATGATTTAAAGGTGTACAGCTCCAGTGGCTCCTAATATCGGAAGAGCATTCCAGACGGCCGCAAAAGCGCATCCCAATGTGCACGATCCAGTGACCTTCTTTGTTCGATGGCTTGCCAAATGGCTCGCTATCAGTGGCGCAGCTATCAAGTGCACAGGTGGTGCAATTCTACTCCCCCCCCCCCCCCCCCCCCGGCCGTGCTGTAACACCACACAACTACTTCTGGAGTCACCTCAATGTCCTTAATTCTATTCTTGGTTCTTTCGATAAAGTCACGTAAAAGGGAAACAATGAAATAATAAAAAATATACAAACACAGAGACAATTTCAACCGAGAAGATGGATTCTGGCTTAGCAATCATTGGAATGATTTGATAAACCATTTCGGGTCTTAATTGATTGTTCACGCTTACGGTGGCTTTCAGACCACATCCATTATTTTCGTCTCCCCCCTCCTCTTTTCCGAACATAGATGGACTTGTCCATCTGAATAACTGCCAAATCGCTCTCCGTGGTGCTAACGTAAAAAAACGCCACTTTTTCAAATTTTCTTCACACCTGATGATGATTGCTTGTGTTGCAGTTGAAACGTCGTGAGAATTTAATTGTTTTATATTTTTATTATTTTATTGTTTCCCTTCTACGTGACTTTACTGAAAGAACCAAGAATATGAATCCCTGCAGTCACGAAAGCTTTAAATCAAAATCCTTAATTCTGTTTAACACATAGGCTTTCGCGACCAATATCATCCATAATAGAGTTTTTTTTGGGTTAGATCGCGTAAATATATGAATGTCGTTAAACCCGCCACCACCCAACACAGCCAACTAGTAAGGGTTGTCACGTAAACAGAACTTGCCAATTCGTCACTAGTACAGCAACACCGGTCTGTTGGAGAGCCAAGCCACAACATTTACAATCTGAGTAGACGTTTCGCCAGTAATTACAACCAGCTTCATCAGGCGACAGCCAGATTTGTGGAGATGTCCACCTGTTTCGATCTTTATGCCCCAGGGCCCATGCCAACCAAGGCCACGCCGCTGCTTTCCACCCCCGCACTCATCCCCCACTCCCCTTCTCAGCTCCTTCTCCCCGTGTGCTCACAATCATCACAATCATCATCGTTCATGATCAATCCAACAGTGGATGAAAGCCTCGCCAAGCCGTCACCATTTTGCGCGATCCTCCGGTGAAATGATAAACCTATAGCACCCACACACGAACTTGATTGCATTGCTCCATCTCCTCAACCGCATCATACTCTAAATCAGGTTCTGGAAAAGACATATGAAGTTGAATTTCCATTGTGCCTGGCATTTGTAGACTGTGAAACAAATATTGACATCCACTTTCCCATTTAAAAAATATTTACAACCACACTGATATTCAATGGGAAGTAAGACAAGAGAGTTATTTAAGTGCTTGCCCTCTACTGCATGGGTCAGAGGTCACTTGAAGGAATCTCAGAGGTTGCTCTGCGACATCGGCTTCAGTGGGCCTTTGTCTGACAAGGTGGCTTGCAGTTCCGTGCAGGAGTTCCGAACAGATCCTTCGTCTCTTACGTGATGCCAAAAGCATTGGTGAAAATTAACAAATAGAAAATTAACAAATAGAGAGAGACGTCTACAGTGAGGGAAAAAAAGTATTTGATCCCCTGCTGATTTTGTACGTTTGCCCACTGACGAAGAAATGATCAGTCTGTCATTTTAATGGTAGGTTTATTTGAACAGTGAGAGACAGAATAATAACAAGAAAATCCAGAAAAACGCATGTCAAAAATGTTATAAATTGCTATGCATTTTAACGAGGGAAATAAGTATTTGACCCCTCTGCAAAACATGACTTAGTACTTGGTGGCAAAACCCTTGTTGGCAATCACAGGGTCAGACGTTTCTTGTAGTTGGCCACCAGGTTTGCACACATCTCAGGAGGGATTCTGTCCCACTCCTCTTTGCAGATCTTCTCCAAGTCATTAAGGTTTCGAGGCTGACGTTTGGCAACTCGAACCTTCAGCTCCCTCCACAGATTTTCTATGGGATTAAGGTCTGGAGACTGGCTAGGCCACTCCAGGACCTTAATGTGCTTCTTCTTGAGCCACTCCTTTGTTGCTTACCCTGGGGATTAATTTAGTTGTTTCCGCTTCGGCCTGCCGACACTCTGCCGTGCGTCAATAGCACGCTGCACGTGTAAATTAGAGCCGCAAAGTCACTCGGGACATCTGCTGCTGCAATGGGCTCGGGGGAACGCAGCGGCAAAGATCCGCGCACGGCGGAGTTCACGCTACATATTTTTTACATGTTATTTTCTACGCCTCTTTACCCGTCAAAAGCCACACCGAGTCTCAAGACTTTTTCAGGAGGATCCTGCCAAAGTCTTCGCAGCAGGGGTGGGGCGGCTACGTTGCTACCGCGTAGTGATCCCAATGGAGTAATTTGCGGGTAATTTTTCTGTTTAGCATTGGGATGGTTAGCCAACTGCAGCCAAATTGTTATGGGGAATTTATTTTAGCTATGGAAGGAAAGCCAGAGAACCCCGTGCAGAACAGGGAGAAAACGTGTTTACTCTGCACAGGCAAGGCTCCCGATTTTACGAATCGAATTCACGTCCCTTCTTGATGTGATGCACAAATATTACCACTGCCCTCCCGCCCTGCCGCCCTCACGCCCTGCAAATAAGGGCAAATGTTGTCCAAAGCCAGTCCGAGCATGCCACCATGTGGTTAACCCCTATAAGTGCATTTATCTTGAGACGCGTAACACGATACGTGTACCCGAATCAGTCTCGCCTTTGGCAGCTCTCTGTTCGTCGACAATCGATTGCTGGACAAAGGCTGCACCGGTTTGTTTGACCATACTTCACCACTCTTGTTAGTGCGTGTTAGTGAAGTGGTGGGGTGGGGGGCAGGGGTGGGGTGGCCAGGACATGTTGAAACAAAAGCCAATTCAAACGCTTATCCTGATGTGTAGAGAGTCATCAGATGGCAATGCAGGCTGTGAGAATCAGAATATTTATTTATACCGGAGGAATCCGATTAACTATAAAGCTCTTTTTCACAGCTGTCCAGTAGGGGCGGGTCAGAAAGTTATAACAATACGAAAACACGATAGGAGTTCAAAGTATAGGAAAGGTAAGCAAATCACAAACAATTTTCAACATCTTTTTTATGTTACCAAGTAAAGCCCACTGAGCTATTGGTCGCTTCTCAAAAAGAGCCACATAGCTCAGTGTGCCTCACTTGGTTAAACAAAAATTATTGCATTTTTTTTTAGCTTACATGCCGACCGTACAACGCCACCGCCTCTCCCTTGACATGTTCACACCAAAACGATCGCTGCGTGCACTGCCCCCCCCCACCCCCCCCCCCCCCGCGTATTTGCGTCACCACAGGAGGCGGCCCTCAGCAGGGCACCGGGGCCCAACCTCAGCGACCCGGGGCCCCTCCGCTGGTGCAGCAGCAGCAGCAGCAGCAGAGGATGGGCCCTCCGGGCCAAACCTCCCAAGGGGGGCCGACCCCCGCGGGGGGCGGGCAACCCAACCAGCCGCCGCGTCCAGGGGTGGCCCCCCTCCAGCACGGAGGCGGTGGGGGTCCCCGGCCCGGCGGCGGAGGGGCGGCGGGGCCCCAAACGCAGCAGCCGCCGCGGTCGAGCGGAACGTCGCAGGCCCCGTCGGGGCAGCCGGGCCAGCCAGCGAGGCAGGGGCAGCCGGCGCCGCCGCAGAGGCAGTCGAGTCAGCAGCCCGCGGCGCAGCCGCACCCGCACCTCAAGTGAGCGCGCCCTGCTTCGCGCCCGCCGCCCATCGTCGTTTGCCGCCGCTTCTCTCTCTCGCGCTGTCTCTGTGTGCGTCGCATGCCGCCTCCCTGCGAGTGAGCGCCGCCGTGCCGTCGCCGTGCCATTGGTGTTGCGTACGTGGCGGCGCACAGATTCGCCCGTTGCGATTACAGTGCCCTGAGTGGACCGATGGTGTTGGTGGGTGGGGGGGGGTGCTGGAGGGTGCGGGGGACCCCACCTCCCTCCCACCTCCCTCCCACCTCCCTCCCACCCCCCCATCCACGACCCTCACTCTGCTAAAGGCTCAGCCCCCCTGCTTCATTCTTTTTGGTAAAGTAAAAAGTACGTTGGTGCAATCATTGAACACCAGTGGCGATGCAGCGATGGCATGCCCGCAGCCTTTCCTCTGGCAAAACCAGGTCGTGTCGTTCGCTACTCAATTCGATTCACAGTCATCATTTGTTAACTTTGTTTGACGTTGACCGGGATGGACCCCCCCCCCCCCCACGACTGAGCTCTTGAATGCCATCTCCCCTTTAAAGAAAGCCACGGCTTCAGGGCTGACCCTCAGTAAGAGACCGTTACATCGTGCCAGACTGCCCTTGGCTAAGATTTTCCGATGTATGTATTTGTTTCATGGGGCTTCTAATGGCACAGAACTGCTTCTGAGATCACGTCCATGTGGTAACATATAACGATATAAAAGACATTTTTAAACTCATTGATCGTAAACAATGTGGTTTCCAAGAGTAACCAGCGAGCCCAAACAAATTCCCTCATGCATGCAGGGGGTCCGTTGAATTGTAATTTTTTTTTATCCACTTGCAGTTACTTGCTAGTCCGGATACCTCACGAAATGGACAATTGGTAAAAAAATAAAATTGAAGTTCATTATTCATACATTCATTTCTCAGAAACATGTTGGGGTCAGGCAAGGGGGGTAACTTGGTTGAAACAAAATTGAACAAGGGGGGGGGGGTTCAGTAGCCAAGAAAGGTTGAGAACCAACTGCCCTAAGTCATACAGATCATTTCTACCAGAGCAGCTTAGTGTGGCCTTTATCAAGGGGTTCAGCATTTTGAACGATGCAATGAACTTATGCTGTTGTTATGTTTTTAGATGTGCGATGATGGGGGGGAAGAAAGGCTTGTACTGTGCATTTGTTATCGTGCTGTGGTTTTATTTGCTTGTCAAATCAATTGCCCTGTTGTTTACTGTATACCGTCTTAGCTTTCCGTAATGCATGTGCCGATTGCTGTGGATGTTGTGCACGTGCATTTGTTGATCTATCTTCTTTTCCCTTAAATGTCTTTTTTTTCCTTCACTCACTTTTAGAAAGTTTTAGCTGGAAATATTACTCAACAAGGTAATGAACCGGTGCTCATAAATTAAACAGCATTTCAGAGAAATCTCGTTTACAAAAAAATGTGTAACCGTTGTATTACCATTACTCGAAAACAAAATCGAAATTTCAAAAGAAATCTTCAACTTTCACCCTCTCAACTCTACCGTACCTCGTGTCTTTTTTTATATATATTTTATCTCCCCCACCACCGCCGCCTCCCCACCCCTCCCCTCCCCTCCCCCCACCCAAAACCTTTCGGCAGCAAATCTCAGTCACTGACAAACACGTTTAACATCCCCGAGCCCTCCCTGTCGCGCGGCTCGGCGCCCGGGACGGAAGACCAGGCCAAGGCAGAGACCATCCGGAACCTGCGCAAGTCCTTCGTCAGCCTCTTTTCTGACTGATCGCTGCCTCCGCCGCAACCGCCGCAACCGCCACAACCGTCACAACCGCCGCAACCGTCACAACCGCCACAACCGTCACAACCGCCACAACCGTCACAACCGCCGCAACCGCCAATCACTTTTTCCAACAAGCCATGCAGCGAGCGCCCAAGAAAGTCCGCCACCGCCGGCATCTGCGGCGGCGACTTGGCAGGCAGCGGAGGGGCATCGCTTACCGGTTGGGAGGGGAGGTTTTTGCTTTCACGCTGTTTAAAAAAAATGATTACGATAACGAATATGCTAAAATATTGTCGTAGATATCCCCCCCCCCCCCCCCCCCCCCCCGTTCAACGTCGTCGCTGCTGACCGCTACGAGTCAAGGCCCCTCTGCCCGGCTAAATGTGGTCACCTAACAAAATACATATAGAGCGAGGGAGCATAGGTAAATTAAATACACGCATATTTACACGCTTGTATGAAACGGTAGCGTTTTTTGAGAGTGACGTTTGAGTTGAAAATCCGATACCCTGTAATTGTGTTTGTGCTCGATGTTCAAGCCGACGCGGTTCTGGAATTGTGTACGTTGATCGGCGATTGCCACGATTTGTGTGCGTTGCCTGCACCCTTTGGTCCTACGCACCCTGGCATGTTGGCAATAACGGCGTGTTTGTGATGTCTCGTATTTTTTGCCTTCTCTAACGAGGAATGAGTAATTCGCACCGACGGCAGCGCTGGCCGAGAAATTACATGTTTCCGAGTAAAAAAGAAAAGTACGTGAATCGTGTTGCAACCCCAAACCTGCTTGCGTGCTCCACTCGCGTTCTAAATTTATTTTTGTTGAACGTTTTAAATGTTTCGCGCGTATTGTTTTGCGGTGCTCTGCTGCCCTCTGCGGGCATCTCGATGGCAGCTTTCGCATGCAGAGTGGATTCACCTTCAAAGTCAAAGACAGTCCATCTACTATCTGAATCCTTTATTTTCAATGCCAAGTTAGTCCATGGGCCCATTCCAAATATTTTACTTGTCGGTACCAACTGACTTATACCAACATATTTACATACCCAATCAAGTCAAAATCCAAAGTGAGTTCCTGTTTAAATGAGAATAGGTGGTGCTCATTTCCCATTTAAAGTGGTGGAAAATCCACATTCCTATGGTGGGGGCAAGTATATCCATAAAACAACCACTGTTGACTTCCCCACAAAGTGGTACTGATTTTATCAACCATGGAGGGATGATGAGCCAACCCCCAACCATAAAAGTGTCATTTAATAAGAACTAGAAACCGCGTGAACTTTGGATATGACCGTCTGGCCTTCCGTCCCTCCCAGGCAACTAGCAAAACGTTTAATTGCATACAGAGCCCTGTCTGTATGCAGCTTTCCCTGGCCTTCTCTGCATATCTCAATTCATCTCGATGCCATTGCTTTGTTTCTCTCGTTTTCCTCTATTTTCTGTCCCGTCTTCTACCTCTCCCTCCATATTCCTCTCCTACCTCCACTGCCTCTCAACCACTTCCCTCCCGCTACCGCTCTCCACGTCCGTCTCTCTTTCTCTCACCTCTCACCCTCACTATTCACTTTGCCAACTCTCCCTTTCCCGCCTCAACCTCTCTTGCCTCGACCTAAATGTCCCTTCCACTGCCGTCTTTGCTTTTTCTTCTCCATTCCATGTCCCTGCCCCTCTCCTTTCCGCTCCTCTCCGTCTCGACCTCCCTCCTCTATTTCCATCCCTTACCCCCCCCCCCCCTCCTCACCACCACATGCGCCATGCAGGCAGACATGAATCCAGGCAGGCAGGACGCCAGCCAGAACACTTTCCCCCCCGCCATATCTAGTGATGATGTAATCACGTAATCTTACGTTCATTTGCAGTTTACACAAATCGCTTGCCCTAAACGTTTGCCACCACCCGTGGTGCCGAATTCTGATCTGGCCCAGTGGATGACGATGACGCAGCAGGGACTCGCGGCCAATTTGTTGAAGAGGAATTGCTGCCGCGCGCGAGCGCGCGCAACCTGAAGTGGTATAGACGTGTTCCGTCGCGATTGCACGAGCTCTTTTTTCTTGTCTCGAAGGGCGTAAAGTCGATGGTTGGTCGCAAAGGCGAGCACAGCGGGCTCTCAACCTCGTCAAGGTGACGAAGGCCACGGCACACAGAGGGGTCACACGTCCACGCGTTGTTAGTACGGCATTTGTGTCCTGCTGTGTGTCGGTGTGTTCGCGCGTGAGGCATGTGTGTTCGCGCTGTGTATTCGTGTGTTTTAGTGTTGGTGATGCACGTGGGTTCACGTTGCGTATCGGTGAGTTCTGTGTACGTATAAGGCATTTGTGTATGATTGTTGCATTGTCTCCGCTACGTGGTGAATGCGTTCACCGTGCACCATTCAAAATTTATCCTGCACGGTATCCACGCCGCAGCCTGCACACCACCCACTGCCCCACCCCCTTCCCTGGAAATCAGGGGGCAACGCGACCCATGCGTTCAGAACTGCTGAGCTCATCTTATCTTCGCGTTTGCCGGAGATTGTAAGATTTCCCCCCCGGCCTTGAATGTTTTCGTCTTATGCATACGTGAATGTAACCCCACGGTGACCTTTTCACGATTGTCGCTCCCCGACGTCGCTCCCGAACTTTTGCGTCCGTGACCGCCGTGACCTGGCCGGGTCACCACCCCCACCCCGACCCCCCACCCCGACCCACCCCGACCCCCCACCCCGCGGCGCGACGTTCCGTTCTATGCAGGGCGTTCTCTCCTTGCTTCTCGTTTTGCCCGTTGCCGTTCGGCGATTCCGCGTCGGACGAATTTGTCTGCTCTCCCCCCACGAGGCGTTCGGCTTTCCCTCCCCCCACCCCCTCCCCGCCCGTTCGCAGAAATCGGGAATCCTCCTGCCGCGATTTTGGCGAAACGTGGGAATGACCGCGAGTCTCGTGCGGGCTCCCCCCCAGCCCCCCATTACCGAGTCGACCTTTCCGTGTCCTCCAGGGCGACTTTTAGCCGTTGGAGTGGGGGGGGGGGGGATTTAGAAAGTCGTAATTTTTAATTGCTGTGCTCATGACGACGTGCTGTTTCGCGTGTTGTTGCGTCTTTTACCTCGTGTGGTGTACACTCGGCGTGACTCCGCTGTTGCATGGGGAAAGCGGAAACCTGTGGCGTATTACCGCAGTGTGGATTTTTACCATGATGTGTCTACCAACAGATGCCCCCCGCCCCGCTCGGCAACCTTTTTTTTTCATTCTGATAGCGGCGCATCTCCCCGTGCGTTACCCTCTGCGGCTGGCTTTCTGGTCCTTGGTTTGGTTTGTGTTTTTTGGGGTACCGCGTGACGGTCCCAAGTGCTGCAGTGCTTTTTCGCCCGGATCGGTGGTGAGATTCTAGAGGCCGCGTTGCTCGCTTCAGCAGGGCCACCCGTGCCTGGCGGGTGGCGGAGAGAAGGCGAATGGCGCAAATTAAGCCCCGGATCTCGCACTCAAAAAGAGGGCACCGCGACTAATGGGGGGGGGAGGCGGGGGAGACTGACCGCCCCCCCCACCCCCCCATGTGTCAATTCTGCTCCGGAGCCTCGGGGTTGTCCTTGCATATTCAGTGCATTCGTAGCTTCTACCGTACGTGTTTTAAATAGCTATAAGACATCAATTTAAAAAGAAATGCGTCTTAAATTACGCCGAATTATATATACATTACAATAGTGTATTTAGTGATACATATCTATAACATGTTGGTTCAGAGATCACATATACTACGTGAAACGTTGACCTTAGTGGATACAATTAATAGGTGGTTCTTTGCCAAATGCAATTTCAATTCAATATTCACGTTACACATATATACTGTACGTGTGACATCACACATCGACAGGTGTTGTATTTGCATTTTGAATGTCTGCAATGTATTTAGTTGGGTTAGACACCCCCAATTTAGCATATATTATCTAACGTCACACTTTCATTCTCAAAATAGCTTTCATACATCCATTCGTTCTCACATTGATATCTTGTAGAGGTGTAGTGACGCCTCGATTCAGCGATTGATATTGAATCTCTTCGCTAATGATACGTGCATTGAATCAAGTGTATGTATGTATGTTGAACTTCTTTCGCATCGTACGTAGCCAACCGTGTTAAACGGAGGTGCTAGGGAAGGACAACAAACTAAACAAAAAAAAGCTATTCTGAAAAAAATAGTTTTCAAGGATGGCATCCTTGAATAAGGATGACATGCTTTCCGAGTCATATACCCTGTGCGGCAGCGGATTACTGCTGGCTGTGGTGTAATTACATCACGGGCATTGGCTGTACTTCTATGCGCCCACGTCTGCTGTGCTGTGCTCACCACCTGCAACCCACTCGCACTGACCTAGCATGGCGAAGTACGGTCAAGTAGCCCCCACGACCTGCACGGCGTGGGGAGGCCCTCATCCAGCAGTGGATTAGATTTTACAAAAAAAAAGGCTGGATGCGTGATTCCTTGCCGTCACGCGTGGCCGCGTAATTCGTCACAACGCTGAGAAAATGATCGATCGTTGAGTCGCATTCATCGAATCGCCCTTAACGAAGGTGAATCGTTGCACCCTCGATATGATGCATACGCCTTCGTTACAAGCGTGTGACCGTGCAGAGCGTACGGCAGCTGGCGACGGCTGCCGAGCCCGTTGCCAACTCGCCGAGCGGGTCACAGGGTGCTCGCTCTCATTCTCCACACTTTGCTGCTCCCAGCGAGCAAACGTTGACCTCACCGAGCGCTTCATTATCACACCGCGGTTGCATATTGTTTGTGTCTAGTCGTGGTTAAATATTGAAAACTTGAAAGTGAATCGTATGATGTGGTCTCCCCACCCCCCCACCCCCCCCCGAAGTGTTTCTGTTATGCCTCTCCTTCACCCTAAATTGTAACCTACAGATGGCTTCTCAGTCTGTGCCGTACAAAGGTCTGCCTCGTCTCAAACGTCGCCCGCTAGTGCTTATAATTGAATGATCGTTCGCACTTGTGTATTTAAATATAGACAGAGTCATAATATGCACCTTCTGGGCGCACGGTGCAGAGTCAGCGGATAGCGGTGCGAGTGGTACAACTTGAAGTGACACTTCTGAAACGTGTAAGTTGCTGGGCCAAGGTTTGCTAGGACCGGGCCTATTCCGCGATGCCTCTCTTCTCTTGCGTGTTTCCCTGCCCTCACCCGAACTGCCACAGAACCCCCTTCTACCCTCACGGTGTTCTGAAATTCTTTCGCTAAGCTGTCTTTAAGATGCGATTGCACTTTCTTTCCTGCCATTTCCATTGAAATTGTTGGTTATTTTATCAATGACATAAAGCATGCATGCAGTTATTGGTGAGGCGTCATGTCACAGGTTAATGTTCCCGATTCATATATACCACTGATTGATTGTATAAGAGGAACCCCGGTATAATGGACCGACAGTGAGGATTCAGGGATGATGGTAATGCCACCTAATTTATTGTGTCTTTCTGTTTTATAATGTTTGCTCTTTTTCCGGGAGAGTTACATTCATGTCAGTGCTTTGCGAGCCAATGCAAAAATGTTATTGTGTGAGAGCCAGATGTTTGAGGCTGACTGACAGGAGAGGCCGTGCCCTATTCAGGTTTTCCAGCATAGTTTATTTAAATTGTACTGATTTGTTTCGCGTTATCCTGATGTGTTAAATCAAGAATGCCCGTTTTTGCAATGAAACACCGCCACTACAGTAACTTAAGAATCTCAGCACCATTAATTTTGCAAGGGGAAAAAAAATCTGGCCTTTTGCGTTGACTATTTTTAGCCGTTGACTGTCAATTATATTCTCTGACGCACATATGAAGAAGAAAAAATCGAGCTTTTGAAAGGATGGGTTAACTTTCATGTGTGATTTTTTTTGTGTTCAATTCATTAAATATTTCATACCTGATTCGACCGGTATTACGAAGGAAGCCAGCAAAAGTGATGAGCGACCATTGTCGCAAATGAAGGGGGATTTGTTCATTCGGCGATGCCATCGGTGTAGATGATACGTCAACCATGACGCATTGGTTCTTTCCGCATGGGCACAATATTGCAAGCCATGACAACCAAATAATAAAAGTGCGCTGTAAGTAAAGCGCTGCACTTTTGCCAAATGCAGCTTTGAACAAAATTATCGCTGTGCCCAACTGCTATACGGGTGTGAGATGTTTAAGCCGAATGTGACATTGTGTGCGGAGGAGATGTGGGCCGAGGTTTCCGGCGATGATATCGAGAGGTCGATATGGCATGGTGAAATTTTAGGGCAGTTGTTTGCAGAAATTGTCACCAGCAATTAATTTGCTTTGAGCGAACTATGGCAAACCTGGTACGGCAATGGCGTAGAGTGACGGAATTCTGTCTAGACAGTCAAAAACATAGTACGTTGAATGGTGTGTTTGACGAGCGATGATTGGTCTGCAGGGCCACACAGTCCTGGTCAATAACGTGAACTGCCTGTGGTCTGATTGTAAGTTGCTTTTCCAGTTGCCCACTAGGGGGAGCAGAGACCTGATTTATCCATGTTTGGGAGAGAAAAAAAACTTGATTTTTTTTTTATAATCATATATACAAGTGGTGTGGCAACAATTTCTCGCGACGATTGCTGTCGAGAATTGCCCTAAAATTCCCAGCCTGCATCGTGGCTTAAAAGGGATTCGACAAAAGCGGGGCAGGACACTGAAAAAACTCTGCAATGTAGGTACATCGTTTAAACCAACTGTGTCTACCAACCCAACCAATGTCGTGGGTCTTCCTCGAGTGACGATTTGATGTCATGTAGGGACAAGTCCGTATTGCGCTGTGCAAAATGTACAAAACAAATAATGACGTTTGCGGTACCCTACGATTGCTCCCACGCGCACGCATCGCCTCATTGGTCCATCGCCGAAATGCGTTTACCCGTGTGGCGTGTAAAACCGTGTCCGCTGGATCTTGACCGTGTGAACCCCATGGTCGCCTATAGAAATCCTCGCGTTGATCCTGCATAACTGTGCGTTGTACAGTGACTACTGGGATGGGCGCAAAGAGCGTGCATGTCTGTATCTGTGTGTTTTGCTGAACCTCTGAGCTTGATATTCCGGCCGTGACCATGTACTGCGAATTGGTGTCTGTGCATTTGCTTCGTAGTTGTTACTATTCAACCTACACTCACCTGGCATCCTTCCCGCACCTCTCACTTGTCTCTGTGTTCGATGATAACAGTATGTAACGCAATTTTTGTTCCTGGGTAGTAAGTGTTATTTCGTAATTGCGTATGCCTTAAAGGTATAGAAAATGGCTATTGTTCCCCACAAACTTTGCTTTTGTGATCAGGACAGTGATCTTTAGAAATTTACCTATTTTCAATGAGAACACGGGCGATTTTGTTTATTTTCGTTAACATAAAATTGTTTCATAAGGCCCAATTAGATGTGCAGTGGTGGCATCAGCACCTTCCGGGGGTCCACCAGTGGCTCCCACTTGACGTTGTTCCTCCCCACAGAGAACTCGGTCCACTGTGGCCAGTCCCGCCTGTGGCAGTGTGCCTTGGTGTCTAAATATTTTGAAGTCATTTTTGTATTACTTTAGTATAAATACATGTTCATTTTGATTAATACGTAGTTTTTTCTGACTTCATGTGAACGAAAAGACACAAATTATCCCGTATTAAATTTCGATTTAAAGCTTTCGTGACTGCAAGGATTCATCTTCTTTGATTCTTTCGGTAAAGTCACGTAGAATGAGAATAAAATAATAAATAAAATAAAATAACACAATTAAATTCTCACGACGTTTCGGCCACAACACAAGTGGCCTTCAGGTGAAAGGAACAGACCTATCGGGACGACAGAGCTTAAAATTGTTTCATATCCCGTATTCTTGGTTCTTTCTTACCGAAAGAACCAAAAATATGAATTCCTGCAGTCATTAAAGTTTTAAGACAAAATTCTCCCGTTTTCTCATCGAAAATAGGTACATTTCAAAATATCACTGTCCTGTTCACAAAAGCAAAGTTTGTGGGGAATAATAGCCATTTTCTGTACTTTTGAGGCATACGCAATTACGAAATAATGCTTACTACCCAGGAACAAAAAAAATGTGTTACACTGTAATCATACGTAGTGGCTCTTTGTACAAAATCCATGCAAACTTATCACTGAGTAATTGTAGATTAGATTTTCTTCGTGTCTGTGTAAATCCTTTTTCCGTTTGCCGTTATAGTTTTTCAGTTTATTTTTTAGAAACGTCCCCTCCCATAACCGCTTCTGGAGTAAGAAAAGAACAGTTGTGAATTTCGCTGCTATAAAAGTAGATGTCTGAAATATTTTTTTTTAAGTGCAAAAATTAGTGCAATTTTTGGTGGGACTGTGCGTTGTGTATCATTTGCTGGGTGATCATTATCGTGGCATTATACCTGTCTATAACAATAAAAAAGCATATCAAAATGTATTGTATTCCGTAGCACTTGTTCACTGATGTCTGTTATTCTCACTTTCAATTATAAAACACAACAATACACAAGGCACAGCGCACTTGTAATATCTTGATTATGCGATCGTAGGCAGGACTGCGCTATGGACTCCGTGACCCGTGTTCGATTGCCAGCATACAGCCAACATCAGCGGTGGGCGATTCGTGAACCGGTCATAGCGCCCACCCTCCACCAATCTAGTGCGCGTCAGCATCACCAAAGAATTTGACTTAGGGCTACAGGTTATGCATGAATTTTTAATTTGAGGTCTATTATTTAAAGCTGGCTTACCATAAATAAGGCTACGTCAAATGGTAAACAAAATTATACAATATGCAGCCCATTGCCAATTCACTGCCGGATAAAGGCCTCCCCACGCCTTATCATTCATCAGAGTTTATCGACAATTTTAGATGTTGCCATTGATATTCGCTGTGGCTGGGAATTGAACAAGGGTTTCCACCTTCAAAGTGCAAGCTGCTAACTTACTGCACCGCCGGTCCACCGAGGCAACAAATTGCGGTTCCCTAACTTCACTATATTATTTTGGAAGTTATATTACAAGAATAGCAAATAATGTTGTACTTATCTCATGGTTTTATCATGGATGGAAAGTTGAACAGGGGATCCAAATTGTACCATCATCTTCTCTGACCCAGATGTTCGAAATGGGCCATAATACACATCCAAATAAACCACAGTTTAATATTCTAGTTGTATATTCATGGATTTCTAAATCATGAAAAATAGTTAATTTTGCCATGGTAAAATTAACATGAGGATTTGGACCGATGGCTCAATGTTTAGCGTGCTAGGCTCTGAGGCTGGTGCCCTGGGTTCAATTCCTGGCCAATGCTGACATCAGTGGCGAGTGAGATCCGAACCGGTCCTGGCCCCCACCGCCCACACTGACCATCGTGCTGAAATATGGTCAAACAACTCCGGATGACCAAACACGGCGCAGTGGATTAAGATTGGATTGAAAATATAATATTTAAAATACATCAGTAAAAAATGTGCGGCCAATTTGTCCGTCTCCAATCAATCAGTAAGGTCGAATATGACTGATTGCCGAATGCCGCTCAATATGCAGCCCACTTGCACATTTTTACTGCAGTAATTTAATTGTTCCCGTTTACAATTACCATTCCTCAATAATAATTCAGATGTTGCCGTGGTGTAATGGTTTAGCCCACTGGACTTGTCATCCAAAAGTCGCCCGTTCGATGTCCCACCACAGCAGTTAAACAATGGACACATTTATTAAATCCCCCGGCCTCTGTCAATCCAGCGGTCTAAATGGGTTAATTACAGCCAATCGGCAGGTCGCGTCTGGTGGTGTAAAGTGTAGCTACTGCTGTCTCTTTCAAGACGCGGTTGAGATTCTTTTGCAAGCAGTGGCGAGATTAAGCACTTGCAGGGCTGTACTTTTACTTTGTAATAATACTATAATGCACTCAGGAAAGCCTCAGCACAGCTCCTATAGAATTACGGTATTGCACGTGACAGGAAGCTGGAGTTGTCCGGAGCACATACACAAGGATAACGAAGTCCTCACAAGTTATCATCTTCTGCCATGCCAAATCCCCTGCTGGATAAAGACCTTCACAAACATTCACCATCCCTCACAGCCCTGCGATACAACAACCGCCATTCGCCACTAAGTGGCGGTGACGTCGCCACTGTGCTTGTGCCAGGCTATGTGCACTTTAAGGCCACCTTGAAGTGTCGAACGCCCACTGGCAGGTCACAGGACAGACACAGGTGCCATGGGTTGATGGACTTAGATGAATGGCCGATGCACCACCTTGTGCCCCCTCCTGTGCAGCAAACCATCTACTACTTCCACCGGAGCCGATTTCATTGCTGAATCTCCAGGGTGAATGCACCCTCATCCATGTTTACCTCCCTTGGTCGCCACTCCGTTGTTGGGCTTGACGAGCGTCCTTTATACCACGTCCTGACCAAGCCCCACTTGAAAATGTAAACCTCTCCGAACCCTACTTGCTATGCTGCCCCCCCCCCCCCCCCCCATAGAGGTGCATCCCTTTTCCTTACAATTGGATACCTCGAGCAAGGTGGTGGCTCCATCTCTCCGTGATCCACCAACCCCATTTCCCAACTGTCCGTGCCATGGAACACACAAAAAGTCATGTCTGTTAAATGTTTTTTTCTTTCAAATATCAATTGTGTTGCTCTTGGGACACGTTGGTGAAGAAAGGAAATGTTTTTTTGAAAAGTGGATGTGAAACTTGGTCTAACGCAATCAGTCCCAGCACCCTAGTAAACATGCCAAGGTTGGGCTCAACGCTGACACGACGTTGGCATGTTTACTGACTGTCTTTCCAGATATTTTAATTAGCATCCTTTCACGCGCCTGATGATTGCTAACCATACAACAACCAGCGCATAACTTTTCATTTTAATTGCTCCCCTCTGTCGCATGGAACAACAACAACTGCCATTCGCCACTAAGTGGCGGTGACGTCACCACGACGCTTGTGCCAGGCCATGTGCACCTTGAGGCCACGTGAAGTGTCGAACGCCCGCTGGCAGAAGATCACGGGGCAGACCCAAGTGCCACGGGTCGACTGACTAAGATGACTGAGATGATGCACCACCTGTGCCCCCTATTGTGCCAACCTGCTGTGCTTTAGCCACCCGGCGCTCCGCTCGTTGTTGTGAGCGTCGCTCCTCCGCCCTCCGTTGTTGTTGGAGGGCAACTGCCTCCAACTGCCCAGTAGCGTCCTTCACGAGCCTTCTCCACAGAGGCCGATCTTGACACCACTGGTACCAGTCATTGGCAAGTCCACTCAGCTCCACGTCCTCCTGTACCACATCACTCCATCTCTTCTCTAGCCAGTGCCGCGCCCATTTAGCCCCCTAGATCCGGCCGAACAAAAGCTGTTTCGGCATGGGCATGCGGGCTACATGAGCCAGCCAACGCAGCCTTGCCTGCCGGAGGAGCTCACCGATGGGACCTTGCCCAGATCTTTCAAAGGTTTGTGAGCTCCTCACACAATCTAGCCTGGTTAAACCCAGGATGGATCGTAGGCAGGTTAGCCTAAATGTTTCTAACCGGCGAAGATGTTCCATTAGGGGGGGTCCACGTTTCGCAAGCGTAGAGAAGGTAGGGAATGACCGTGGCCGAGAAGACCTGAAGCTTAGTGCGGAGCGACAGACCAGGTAGCTTCCACACAGCGTTACGCAACCGATGAAAAGATATTGCCGCTCGACTGATTCGGAGTGAGACCTCTGCTGATAAACTGGAGCCGGTCATAAGCACACTGCCCAGGTATGGGAAACTCTCCACTCTCTCCACAACTGCCCCATCACCGATTGGGAGTTGTGGGGGTGGAGTGTCCGATGATACAAAATACCCAGGCAGGTGCTTAGTTTTGGTGGGGCTGATGGGAAGGCCCCATCTCTTATTGGCACGCTCCAGTCTCAACAGCAGCGTCTCCAACTCCTCCTCTGAATGAGCAGCTATTACCAAATCATCGGCATACATAACGTGGTTGAGCAATAGGGAGCCATCCCTTGACCGCACCCGGGCATCGATCAGCCTCCCATTATATCTGTACCAAATGGAGATTCCCCCGGTACAGCTATTGAAGGCTTCACGAACTACGTGGTCAAAATAGATGTTAAATAATGTGGGAGCCAGAGGACATCCCTGTCGCACCCCAAGGTGTACAGGGAATGGCTCTGACTCCCGGCCACGTAGTTTTACCCGGGCCCGCTCACCATCATGATGGTACTTAATGATCGTGAGCAAAGGGTCAGGAACTCCAAAAGCACGAAGAACAACCCAGAGCCCAGGCCTACTGATGGTATCATAGGCCTTGACCAGGTCAATAAAGCAGAGATGTAGGTCTTGTTGGAATTCCCTACACCTCTGCTGTAGCAGACGGACAGAAAATATGGCATCTGTGCAGGACCGCCCTTTCCTGAAACCGCATTGGGGCTCCACAAGCCTCTCCTCAGCGTGCCTGGCAAGGCGATGTTGAATAATCCTTGCTAGGACCTTTCCCGGCACACTGAGGAGTGAGATGCCCCTGTAGTTGTTACAGTCTATGCGGTCCCCCTTCTTAAAGAGGGGGACCACCAGGGCATCCTTCCAATCCTGCGGAACCCGTCCAGTGGTCCAGACTGTTGTTATGATGTCATATAGGGCAGTCTGGAACACACACGTGCACACACACACACCTCCTGCAACAACAGATGTCGAGCGAGTTATTTCGAATTGTTATCAATATGTCAAGTGTTTTAAATCATAAAACGTCCCTTTTGAATATTGGTCATGTCCATAAATATTGAACCAATGAAGACACCACCATCATCATCATCGATATTTCCGTTCAGACTTGTTTTAGTCTATGATCATCGATGTTTTCAATAATAAAAACAACCTATCGAATGCACACCTGTCAACCCCTTATCAGTGCTGCCTAACGTATTACCCAGACCAATTCAGACCTTGTCTGTCACCCTGTGCCCCTTATAAACCTCAACGTTCATCCCACAACGTCCAATCACAAGGACAGAAACACAACACAAATAGCCCGTATTGAAACGGCTGTACGCCATATGGACCTGAAAACTCAATTTCCCTGTACAAGAATACGGGGTAAACCGTATGGGTTGACACGGTATGCGAGTGTTCGCTATTGATACACACGGTCAAGATCGTCGCTGCTGTTTGTCTTTCGATGTCCCATCCCCTACTCCAGGTTGAGGAGGCGACACACTCCACCCCTGGGTTTTCAGTTCTCCGGGTGACAACGCGTGCAGGTGAAATTTGGTGGCGGTGGCTCAATAATCACAATCACCGGCATCGTCACTATCGCCACCAACAAACCAGCAACGAATTTCTCCAGCAGTCGACGCTTGCAGGCCGTCCACGCAGACTCCCAAGAAAAACCGGTCCGGTGGGCAACGAGGACAGTGGCAGCAGCAGCAGCGTCATCGCCATCATCATCATCACCACACGCAGCCGTTGCTTAATGCGTGAGTCTAATTGCCGGTCATGAAGTGTCAATGTACTTAACAATGGCACTGCATTAACACAGACAAGGGGGTGCCTCTCCACAATCAGTTGAGCAATCGGAATCAGCAAGGGGTGGGGGGTGTAGCAGGGGTGAGGTTGGCTGTGTGTGTGTGTGGAGGAGGGTGTAGGATAGTGGTGGCTACGATGCCCAAGAGACGCGCAGTCACTTGATTAACGTAAAGGCAATTAATTTACCAATTTTGACTTAAAGAGATGTGTCGAAACAGCAGCAGCGGACATCATTGTCGCGGCGTTTACACAACGACGAGGATGGTTTCACGCAAACGAGTGTGAGACCATTTACGTATTTAAGCGGGTGGATGGAGTGCCCCATTCATTGTCTTTTGAAGTCATCCCGGTGGAGGTATGATCCAGTTGTTACCGAGTGCTTTTGGGACTTTTGCTGATACAAAATTTACATTTCGATTCATGCCCATAATAATGAATAAACCATGCTGTCACCATAATGAAATGCAAATTGTTCTACCGGTTATTTGATGGGTTTAATGCTATGGGTTTTTACGTGCGTACTCTCAATTTGTGTATTGTACTGTCTTTTATGTTAGTATACTTCACCGTGTTTTACATTTCTTGATATTTAGTTTATTAAAGTACCCTATTGCCATACGTTTTTCGTATTATATGTTTTGTATCATTGCTGTGACCATGATAATGGTTGTAATGAATGTCCTGCTTGTTATACAATGTTATCACCATAGGTATACACATTGATGTCTTATCATACATTTGTACAGCGCCTTTAACCATGGCGCTGTTACAGTGAACTAACTTATCGTACAAGATGGTTTGGCGAGATGAAACTGGATGAGTGGATGGGATTTGTGTGTAAAATGTGGTGGTGACCAAGCGTGGAAGAAACGAAGGTGGACGAGTGGCTTGATGATGGGTGACCACGGGGAGTTCGGTATCGGGAAGGAGTTGGTGCGAGTGGCGAGGAACAAGGGAAGAAGGAAGGGCGGGCAATCGAGAATAATTAAGTGTTTTTTAAGAGAGGAGCGGAGGGTGGTGCTTGTTTGACGTGCAAGGAAAGGTGTGTTCCAGCGAAGAGGGGCGAGGTGAGACAATGAGCGACACTGAGCATGTGCGCACGGGAGGAGGAGGAACCTAAAGAGAGGGCAAAGATTTAGAACGCAGAGCAGGAACGTAAAGTGAGACGAGAGAAGAGCGACGAGGAGTAGCCAGGCCGTGAAGAGATGTATTGTAAAATAAGATCCGTAGTACCACTCGTAATGTAAGTGTAATCATCATCACTATTATCAGTTATCAATGTAAGAACGCATGGATTTAACAACCGCAATGTGTCTTTCACATTTTCTGTTTTACTATCTGATTATTTTTTTAAAGGTGTTCTTATTATAACCTCGTATTGTATTCCTGCCACTTTAAATGAAACTACAATTGTCATCTTGTTATATAAATGGCTTATTACAGTACAACACAGGCATCATGAACGCCCCACTCCTAAAACAGCATGTGCCACCATCGGCAAAGTAATACTAATGATATGATATGTGTATTCATTATAGGCTTACAAAGCTACTATCATTATTGCACTACACTTGTCATAAAAGTGGTGTTAAATTTATTAAATATAAGCCCATATCATTAATACCACTCGTACAAGTGTTTTATTAACCGTTTCAACGTTTGCTTTGTAATTATACTTTACAACATTGTTACCGCCACCGTTATTAAAGTTAACGTTTCATGGATGCAGTATTATTATTATGTTAATACCACGTATCTTATCGTCAAGCTCACGAAGTAATATTTTTATTTACTACTGTACGTTACACCGAAAGTGTTTATAAACATCACCATAACGTTATGAAATTCATGCCTTGCAAAATAACCCCATATCTTTCCTGCCACTGTTATAATACCAGTCTCACCATAAAGTAATTATCATTACTGTCCGTATAATTTGTAAATCTCGCTGTGCTATAACAATTTACGATTTGCAAACCTGGAGGTGTTGTCATTATCACGTTTAAAAGAGAAAAATCCTCTCTAGCACGACACTACTGCCACGCTCATTATAATACGTTACAAGTTTCACCATCCAATAAGATTTTTTGGGTTAGATCGCGTAAATATATAAATGTCTCGTTAAAACCCGCCACCACCCTACACGGCCAACTAGTAAGAGGTTGACACGTAAACAGAACGTGGCCAATTCGTCACTAGTACAGCACACCGGTGTGTTGGGGAGCCAAGCCACAACGTTTACAAACGGAGTACGACGTTTCGCCAGTAATTACAACTAGCTTCATCAGGCGACTGTTTCGTTTCTTATATAGATGCGTAGATGTGTTGACCACCCTTCTGCGCTCTTGCACAATGGATGTTATTGGTCACCAAAGCGTACGTGTTAAAGTTTCACCATATTTATCATCAGTATTGTAATCTCCAAAGCGCAGTCCAAACATTAATTTACTTTAATTCAAATTGCAGGTCTAAACGACAACTCAACGCATTTATCAACAACACTGCCCCAAAAAGTAAAAATGTACAATAGGTGATGTTTCGGGCCGTGGCCTTTTCCCATGAAAATTACAGGCATTGTCATTATCACCGTTTATCATCTCGACTGACGGTACGGCATTTTATGATAACGTGACATTGCCAACCAAATACACATGCAATTAAAGTCTAAATACATTCCCCTCCTTTTTAAAGCGCATGAAAACGATACAACAATACTACTACTGTTGTAAGTTGACATAATCATCATGGTCGTTATATAATAATAACAACAGTATCGAATTTTTGTTATCGCGATTTAAATCCGTGAGCATCTCCATAAAGTCTGTGTGCAAGCGAGCAAACAAAAGCGACACGTTCGGATGACCATATAAAAAAAAAACACACGATTTGAGCAGATTTAGGGATCCATGTAACAAACGGCCACAAGTGACATCTGCAGCACCCAAAGCCACACAGATGGGGGCGGCGTATCGTGTTAAATGATCGATGCGAGAACGTCGCTCCCGAAATAACGCGGTAATATGGTGACATTGACACGATAAATGTGTCACTCTCGCATTTAACAATGAGGGTGTTTCACCTAAGTATACAGCCTTAAAAAAAAAGCTATTCTTCTTTTCATTAATAACTGTGTTACCTGCGTCATTGTACTTCTCCATTAAAAGGTGTACAGTGAACCTGGGCGATCTCACCCTGTTGGCAAAGTAGAAAAAAAAGTCCCCCTAGATTGTTCCACTAGGTGGAGCATAATGTGATCAAAGATCGGTTTAAGACGTGGGCTGTCGCGACCAATATTTTTCACAATAGGTGTTTTTGGGTTGGATCGCGTAAACACCACCCGACACCGACAAATTGGTAAGGTTTGCCACGGAAATAAAACGTGTCAAATTCGTTACTAGTTCAGCACACCGGTTGCGTGTTGGAGGGTAACACCACAGCATTTACAATTCGAGGACGACGTTTCGCCGATAATTGATATACTGGTAGATGATGCTGGTTGTACTTATAACCGAAAAACCTCCTATGCAATCAAAGATGTTTACGCCCATGCAAAACTGAACATTAGAAAGACCCACTCGCTTTTTTGCCCCCTCCTTACCTATTTCCTGTTCTCCTTGAGGATTTAAATCCAACTTTGTGGAGTTCAACTGCAATCCGGTGACGACTGAATCGTGGGTGGGGAATGCTTGCAACTGGAACATATGGGGCCTTTTGGTGCTTAAACTGCAGCTAACGTCGCGTGTGCGGAGGTAGATTTTTGGATTAAAGGTGGGGGGAGGAGGGATTATCAGCAGGTGTGGGAAATAAGAAGAGGAAGATTTCGCTCTAATTCATGACAAGTTGAAGTTTCAATTGGTATATGACCATTGGGTGCAACTTTTTTTTTACTAAATGCCATTTTAGAGAACTAGTTTGTATTTTCCGTGCCTTATCGGTCGTATTCCTTTTTTGTGAAGGCCAATACACCCATTTCATAAAGATTGCTACAATTCGTACGGTTGTCACTATTGCAACTTAATGCTTGGATACAATTCACATGTCTTTGCACGTTCAGTTGACAAATATCTCGCTCCTCTTCCACTTTGCATTTACGCAAGGGCACGACTGGCCACGTGAGTTTTCTGCCATCTACTGGCAACATCTGTTAATAGATTTTTTTGCAAACGGTTTACCCAGGATCAAGCTCCGATATCCCCCCCTCCCCCCAAATTGTACTATGTGCTTGCAGAATGTATTTTTATGCATTGAAATGCCATCATTATTAAAATGTATTACTATAATAGCAAAACTACCCTTATGCGCCCAGCTGTCGCACATTACCTATGACATGCTCTTGATTTAATCCATTGGCCTTCCTATTATTTGCACTTCAATTATTGTTATCCAAGTAACTCAGACGTTACAAATTCAATTGCAACGTTGACCTGACTTACATTGACCCAGAATTTACCTTGGCGATGCTGTGTATAATTTGTAATACCTCCTTTTTATCCGCACTCAAATGTGTCCAAAGAGCAGCGACCTGCTGGAAAATTCATATTATCCGTGCATATCGAGAATTGACTCTGCATAGAACTATGTATACCTGTTATCCACATTTCGTTACGGATTATGATGCACAGCCCTTTGACGTTCCATTATTGGATGAAGCCCTCCTCCCACAGTGTCGCTCAATGGGAGTTGTTGGTCCATATTTCACCATGCTGGTCGGCGCAGGTTGGTGAAGGGGGTAAGGTGTGGGAGGTTGTGGGGGGGGGGGTGTTAGCCGTGGCCAGGAATCGCTCTCGGGGAAACTCAGGTTTGTAGCAGAATGCACAAACCACTGTCACCCACCACTGTGCCACTCCTCAAAGTGAATAGTACAGTATCATAAATTCGCCACAACTTTCGGATATGCCCCCCTCTTCTGTGCAAATTTATACCATTTAAAAAAAAGTGTAAAGACGAGAGTCTAGAGATTGAATCTAAAATGTAATAATGTGGAAGAGAGGTAAATGAATATCATCGCCATCAGTGACCTCACGCTTTGCTTATCCTTATGACACTCACCACCACAACTCGTATTGCACATGTATTAAATGTACCCCCCCTCCTTAGGAATTGCAGTACAATACATTTATATTAACACTGGTTTGCTTTGAGTGTCATCGGATGTCCGTACACGATGGCATCTTGAGTTGCAGCTTCATTTAGATGGGATGTGAATACAAGTTTTATATTCCAAGTGCATTCATCAATTAGGAGGGGGGTAAACTTAAATATTACCGCTACCAGTCCATTTCTATTTTACTTGAATTAAAACAAAGCTATTTGCAGTAATCTTGTTAATCCACTGCTGGATGATCTCCCCATGCCGTCCCAGTCCATGGGAGTTACCGATCATGCTGGTTGGTGCCACCTAGTGAATTTGGGACCCATTTTTAAATATACCATTGTTAGAACGACTCCGTAATTACAATAAAATGTCATTCTAAAAATCATAATTTCAATCTAGCACGCACACATTCTTCATTCCAACTTCACGCAGGCTCTAAAGACCAAGTTCCCCCGTATAGCCTTAGCAGACTGTTGGGGCAAGTGCTGTTAATGAGCACCTAATGAAGGCCGACACGGCACACGAGGAGGTGGGTGGCCAGCACCACACCCAGCCGCATTTGTCTTCCGAGGTGGAAATGTTTACCCATTCAACCAGATACTCGTTTGAAGCCGAGTCGATCTAGGGGAGGCCCAGGGCCGGTTCATGTCGATGGTGTTGGACGTGATCGGCTATCGGCGCAGTGCGCTAAACAATAGGCCACCCTCTCGCTTTCACACACACACACCATCATAATGGCACCGATGCTGTTGCATATGCATTAAATATTTTTCCCCTCTCCTTAAATATTGCAATCTTGCACTACACCAGTACGATTCGACTTTGTCAGCACAATCGGTCATCGTCACCATCGTGTTACGCACGCTCATAATTCAAACATCGTTCGCTCGCGCGCGCACACAGAACCGCAGGGCAACTAATGCTGTAACACACGTATCACCTGTATACACTCGTTGAATATAATTTGCTATTGTATTATCGTAATCGGCAATGTTCTATTCACTGCTAGATGATCGCACAGCATCATACCCCCCCCCACACACAAACCAGGGTGCTTCGTTAACAACTCGAATCTCACTCCTCCACAAAGGTGGTAGTCTCAGGCATGTTTCCTCTACCTTGTCATTCCATCACCAGACTTGTCCTTCTGTTATTGTTATCTCCCTAGCACACTCCTTTGTTATTATTCTACCATCTCTAATTTTCATGTGTCTCTAATTAACGTGTCCCCGCCTCCTCGATCTCACTTGTCTGTTTAAATTCAACAAATATCGCCATGCTTTTCAGCTTTTATATTTTGGACTTCTTTTGCACCGTACGTAGCCAACCGTGCTTATCGGAGGTACCAGATCCATTCCGATTCGTATATCACGCCAGGTAATATGCACCGATTTAAAACTTTCTTCCAAATTTTACTTTCCTTTTTTAGATCCTTACCTGCCTTTCAATAATTAGTAGCTAAGATATGCATACTGTGTTTTCCAGGTGTCTTCTTCCATTTGAACTTTTTGTATGATTTTTTTTATTTGCTCGTACCATATTTACATTTTGCCCTACTTTGCAGCCTTTGTGCTTCCAAACATTCCCTGCAGTTACTTTTTGCTTGTAATGAGAAGTTTAGATGGTTGATACGTTAAGCATTTTATATTCATGCCGTTGTTTTTCCTCCTCCAAACTAGTCTTTAGAAAACATCTTCCTGCGTCACAGTGGTGAGTGTATTTTCCAAAAATGTTAACATATAAACCATTGTCAAATGGTGTCACAATTCTTTATTTCAACAAATCCACACATACTACCATTCATTCCCTCAATTCATGCATTTGTGCATTCATTCATGCATCCATCCATTCGTGCATTTATTCATTACGTTCATCCATTAATGCATAACTTTATCCATTCATGATTTTTTTTACTGATACACATGGAGAGACAGGTACTGCAAGCACAGATACACATGGAGATTGGGGCACGGAAACGGACAAGCACCCGCTTCTCTTCAAAGATCAACTCCACATAAATGCAACTCTACTTATCCACGAAAGTCGTGGGTTAGCGGAGTCACGCCCTAAAGGCGTCCTCATATCTGCAGGTAATGAACTGGCCCCTTTCCCAGCATGCCACTGTGCGTCATTAGTTCTATTATTCACGTTTGTTTGTGGATAAGACGAGTTGCGTGGCAAATTAATCCTCTTATCTGCAGTTATCCATGATTGTTTTAATGTTTTACCCTGTGGATAAGGAGTAAAATCACTCCAGCGCTGTCCTCCAGACAGTCTCGTCCCTTCACCTGATGAAGGCCGCTTGTGTTGTGGCCGAAACGTCGTGATTTTTGTTATTTTATTTTTTACCTACGTAACTTTACCCAATAGAACCAAAGAGTATGGATCCTAGCAGTCACGAAAGCTTTAAATCTAAAAATCATACCTGTCAACCCGTACTGTTTATCCGTACGGCGTACAACCGTTTCAATACGTGCAAAAAAAAGTGTTTGTATTTCTCCCTTGTGGATGGGACTTTGTAGAATGAACGTTGAGATTTATAAAGGCACGGGGTGACCAATAAGGTCTGAATTGGTCTGTAATAAGATGGGCACTGAAAAAGGGTTGACGGGTATAAAAATCGCGGATGACCCCCATTTATCGCTGCAGATAAGCATTATGTACAGTGGTTTTGATTGCCCTTTTTCCAGTAAATGTACTGGAATATAACCATCATGATGCCACACTCAACACCTTTCACGCCACTCTTACTACTACACGGCTATTAAATGTTCCCTTCAAAATCCATCTATTCGTATCATTGTTCTTACTCTTCCAGGATTGTGACTGTCACAATACATGCACATTCCTATTTCCGACATCCACTAGCACAACCACTGCTATGCCAATTTGTGCTGCCACACATTTTAAATTAATCTTACTTGTTAATGTTAACACCATGTCAAACGCGCATTCCTAATCCCAACAACTTTGTGCCGTAGTGGTGAGATGTTAACTCCCTCGCCTTGTATTCGGGAGGTTGTGGGTTTGATCCCCGACCCCTGTCGCCTGTATATTTGGAGTTTTCACGTCCTCGCTCCCTGTGGTTGTGTGGATTTTTCTCCGGGTCCTCGCGGTTTTTCCCTCCTACGTATAAAAACATGCGTTTGGGTATTTGGCCGCTCTACATTTCCACATAAGCCACTTTTGTTGAGCTATCATTTGTGGCCAGGTAGCTTCTGAAAAAGAGCTAATTTACTTCCGGTGAGCCTTACCTGGTAAAATAAAACGTTCTTAGTTTAGTTTTAACATCAGTCTGGCTTCAAATTCAATCCTCGCATCTTCTGCTCGACTCATCACCAACACCATCTTGATCATTTCACGGATGCATTCCTCATCCGAACATCACCCTCCCATACAGACCACCACCGCGAATGTAACTTGTGGTGCCACCTACACATTCCATCCCATGACTGTATTTTAACATTTTATTGTAGTATTACTTTAACAGTGTAATGTCATTTACGTGCAGCGCGCACTCGTGATGTCAACCACTCGTTCCGAATCCCCAACATAACCACCACCGCCATCACTTGTGCACACGCACGCACACACACGCATTACATTCCATTGCTATTAAACCACCACGGTCTCACTTTAACAGTAATATTACTTTTTAAAGCCGTGTAATTATCGTGGGGATCACTAATTATGATATAACACAAGCAGTCTTAATCTCGGAAAAAACTCTACAACCACCAACAAAACGTGTACTGCCACACACGCATTGCATTCCATTACAATTTATACCACCGATGTTTTACTTTTTTTCTCCTGATGACGATTGATTTGTGTTGCGATCGAAACGTCGATGTGTTTTTATTCTAATTTTTATTATTTTGTTGTTCTATCTACGTAACTTTACCGAAAGACCCAAAGAATATTAATTCCTGCAGTCAGGAAAATTTTAATTCCGGGTTTTAACGGTCCTACTGCTTAATATTTACGTTGCTGTAATATCATCAAAAGCATCGCAATGATGATGTAACACGCAATTCTAATCCCAACAACATAACTCAACTTCCACACACGTTACCTTCCATCGTCAATTAACCACCACTGTTTTACTTTGAACAATAAGTTACTTTCGTGCTGATATTACCATGGCCATTACGATTATGTTAAAACGCACGCCGTCCCAATCACAACATTTTAAAGACACGCACAGACCGGACCACCAACAACCAGCATCGCCACAATTACCCCACCTCTCCCCTCTGCTACTACTCTCATCGCATGTCTTTCACCATCATCACAATGCCACTGGACTGTGCTGCCACACGACTCTCTCCCATCACGTGTATTCCCCCACCACCACCATCATCACAATGCCACAACACCACAGCACACCACTGCTGCCACACGACTCTCTCCCATCACGTGTATTCCACCATCACCACAATGTCACAATGCCACAACACCACAGCACCACAGCACACCACTGCTGCCACACGACTCTCTCCCATCGCGTGTATTCCACCACCGCGTCACGCATTGACGTCAGACTCGGAAGCCTGAACCCCTTCCTCGGCAGCAAGAGGCAGCAGCATCGGCGACATCAGCGGCGGCGGCGGCGGGCAGCGGCAGCGGCGGCGGGAGGAGAGAAGGAGGAGGAGGAGGCGGTGTCGGCCCAACCCCCCACCCACCCCCCACCCAGCGCCCGCTCCTCCCCACCAAGGCTCTGCCTCACAACCCTGCTGCCCCTATCCGCCACTCACACCGCGGCCATGGCGGCAGCCGAGCACAGGCTGCCCAGTCCGGACGCCTTCTTGGGCCAGCCTTGGTCGAGCTGGATCGATGCCGCCAAGCTTCCATCCACCGACAGTGAGCAACGGGTGGTGGTGGTGGTTGTTGGCGGTGGTGGTGGTGATGTGGTTTTGGTTTCTCCCTGGATTGTGGTGTCGGTGGTGGCGGTGGTTGTTGATGTTGACGATGATGTTTGTGGGTCCCGTCGCCGCTTCTTTCACGCCAGCTCTGCCTCCTCCTCCTGCCCGCGCGGCTGTTATTGGCGCCCCCCATTCGCGGCCTAGGAAAAAGCGGCACCAGCTGTGTGCCGGGCCCTCCCTCGTAGCAGCATCACCAGCAGCAGCAGCAGCGTACAACATCGACCCGCCACCGAACCATCAACACATCATCATCATCACCGCCATCATCTCCACCACCATCGTCATCTTTTTGAGGATGTTTCTCTCGGTCCCTCCGAATGTTGTTTGCTTTTTTTTTTGGGGGGGGGGGGCGCTTCAACGTCGCTGCTGTTGCTGCTGTTGCTGAATGCGACGTTTATGTAATTTCCTTGTAATTTTTTTGCGCGCGCGTTTTGTCTGTGTCCCGTGTGTGTCCAACCACTACCCCCGTGTCCCGTGTGTGTGTGTCTCTCGCCTTGTTATCTGTTGTACATGTGCCGTCGCTTCCTTAATGGGGTACGTTGGGTGGTGGGGTTTTTTATATATATACAAGCATCGCTGTTGGTATCGGCGGCATCATCCCGACGTAAGAGAGTGGTGTTTTTAAAAAGCTGGGTTTTGGGATGTCCATCTAACCCTTACTCCACCATGTCCCTGTGCACATCGAGGCGTTTTGCTCTGCTCGCAATGCATGCGTGTGTTTGTGTGTCTCTCGCTCTCCTCCTGCTGCTGTGTGCGTGGTTGTTGAACATGTGTGTCCGTCTCTGCCTTATTACATATTTTATTTTGTACCATGTCTATCTCTTCATTGCCCCATGCGGCCTTGCGTGTACTGTGTGTGTACTCTGTGTGTGTGTGTACTGTGTGATCTTGTCTGTTCTCTGCATCTTGACGCTGTCTTCTTTTTTCTTACGGTCCTCATCCGCAATCCCGTGTACAGCTTTTGGTTGTCATCTTGTGTGTGTGTCGTTATTTTGGACATTGTTACTTGCGATGGGGCTGTCTCTCTATACACATTTAAACATGTCTCCCTCCCAAAGCTCTGCTTGTCAATTCAAGTACTAAGTGTGTGTGTTTTTTGCATCTTGCCATAGTGTGTTTTGGTAAAAAAAAATTAATGGGTTTATTATCCGGTCCCATTTTATTTTTTGCAACTTGGGCCTGTTCTTGAGTGTTCATGTTCTTGTGTACAGTGTTCATGTTCTTGTGTACAGTGTGTATCTGTGTGGTATTGATTACGTTCATAGTAACGTGTCTTGCCTTTTATTTTTTTACCCAATGTAGCTGTTGTGTGTGTGCTTGTCCTTATCTCTCCGTGTATTTTTATTTTCCTATCCCGCGTACATCATCGTGTTCCATCGGTGTGCATGTGTGTCTTTGTCCTTACTGCACATGTAAGTCTTCCTCTTCCTTGTAACTCTTCTTGTAATTTCGTGTGGCCGTTCACGTATCCTGTTTAAACATATGAACTTGCCCCCCTGCAACTTGGCCTATCATTCCTTTACATGCTCTCGCGTGCAGCACACTGTTTGATCTAAGAACATTTTTGCATGTCTTTCTCGTCTTGTCCCACGCAGCTTTGCTTGCCATGGTGTCTTCTTGTTGCCTTAATGTCTTTGTGTGTCCTATGTTAAACATTATCCGTCTCTCTTACTGTCCAAGGCAGCATGGCCTATCACTAATGTGCATGTTCTTGTGTACAGTGTGTGTGTTAATGAACATTTTTGCGTGGTCTTGTCATTGTCCCATGCCGGGTTTAGATGGTCATTAACATGGATATTCTTGTGTATGTTGGCCTGTGGTGTATCTTGAACGTGTGTACATTATGTTAAATGTTTAACATAGACCTACCCTTTGCATTGTATACGTGTTGTTAAGTACAGTGTATATGCGAGGTCTAGGCACACTTTAGCGTGTCTTTCTTCCTGTACCTTTTGTGGTTTGGCCTGGTGTATGAACTCTAACGCTGTTTTCTGTGTCTGCTACCATGTGTTCATATAAAAATGTGTCTCGCCTCATGCCTTCCATCAGTTGGTACCTGCTGCACGTTCTGGGTGCATGTATTTCACAGCGGTATGTGTATTATTATGTGAACACTCCTCTGTGGTGCATATTGTTCAAATGGTAGGGGGTGCTCCAGTATTTAAGTTTTAGATGCATGAGAATGTGCAAATGCACACACGACTATTCGAGATGTGTATTCATGAATGTGTGTGTGTGTGCACTATTCGTCTTGCTCGCAGGGCTTCTGTCGAGCGATAGCGTCAAGGATACGGGGAAAAATCGTGAAGTGATGAGACTCAACAGAGACGGTGCGGATCTATTATTATACCATTGTGTCATTATATTAATGGTGTGTGTTTGTAAGTTGTTTGCTTTTGGTGCGTGCGTTTCATTTTTATGCAAAGTAAAGCGACGGTTGACGTCCTGCTGATCTTGTCCGCCGAGCCCAAACGCAGGTCCTATGTGACCACAACATTCTATATTCCGATTTGGGTTGCTAAATTGTGTCATTTTACCTTCAGCATTTTGGGATTGACAATTATGCATTCTCCCCTTGATACATTATCCCTGTATCTGCCTCCAATTCAGAGTAGACTGCTGTGCTGACTCGCGTTCGCCTGTTGATTGCTCAACTTGGAAAGATGGACTGCTTCTGACACCGCCGATGTCAAGAGTTGACTATCACTGCTCCTAATGAAGCTCTATTGTGCAATGCCTATCCATTTTTAATATTTTCCAGAGGTTGATGAACCCAGTAACTCCAGACATGCACCTCTGCTGCTTGCATACTTCTAAGCTTTTGTTAAATTTTCTCCTTTCAATGTCCATATTTCTTATATTTTGGCAGCTAAGGTACACCGCTTAACTTTCTTCCGTAGGCACAGTGAAATGTTTATTTTCATTATTAAGCAAAGTTTTCCAAAGCCTTTCAAACCTGCTTTCTCCCACATCCTTCGTAATTTTAATCCTGTTCTACGATGGGCGACATGATGGCATCATGATTGACTGTTCGGAAAAGTTGAGGGGGCATGGGCAGGACACGTTGCCAGAAGAGAATGGTCAAGACTAACAACGTAGTTGCAACCAAAGTAAGGAACGCTCCCTAAGAGTACAACCTCTTCAGAGATGAGGTGAAGAAATCAACTTTGTAGACTCCGTAGATTCTTGCATCGTGAGATGATGATGGCTTGGAGAGGTCTTGAATCCAGCAGTAGATAGATTTATGGGTGATGACCACCATATGAAACAATTTGTAATGGAATGAAGTTGCAGCAAATAATCTCGCAAGGGTTTTTCCTAACGCTTTGCAAGAAATGTTTGCAGCATCTCGAGCCATACCTTGTGCTTTTATGCGCGTGTGCGATGGCTGCTCTTGCTGTGAGGCGAGACGCTGCTGATGTAACAATTGTTGCTTCTGTCCGTGCAGATATGCATATATTTGGTTGCTGCCCGGCGCAAGACGAGTTCTATTTGGTGATGTGCAATCAATGCAAGCAGAATATCAAACCACAAGCCTTCCAGTCCCACTGCGGTACGTAGCAATGTCAGTTGTTTGAACACCACCACAGCCTGTGCTTCTTGACTGCTGGCCTGCAGTAACATCTGGTAATCGAGCAGTATTTGTTTAACAAGCCTGACTGCTGATGAGACCTTGAAGGGTAAAACCGGTCCAGCATTTGCTTGCTTGGGCAATGAAAAGTGAACAGGCTGAACTACAGAATAATTTGTTTTATTTGTATACGGAGAAATGATTGAGTTCTGCTTTTATATTTACAGGAAGCGGAGTTAATAATTTAGAAGTTTTTGTATACAATCCTATTCATAGGGGCAAGAACAATCCTTAAAGATTACATGTTTATTGTAATTTAAACTATTTAGTGATCGTGGTGAGGTGGAGTCATTTTCTTCGCATTGAAAGACCAAAATTAATGTCTTGCTCTACTATTGCTTATCGCATCCTTTTATTTATGTTTGGCGATATCCCAATGTTGAGACCTGAGTCTCCAAAGAAGATCGGTCCTGAAAATGTTAGTTTTTAAATGGCATAAACGGTCAAAACCATGTAAAGTGAAACAAAATACCCCTTTATCAATTCAATGGCTCCCCATGCCTCTCATGGTACGTTGTTTGACCATACTTCACCAAGCTGGTAATTGCGGCTTGGTTAAGGGGAAGGTCCCAGGACCTATTCAAATATTGTTTGCAGCGGATGTTGGCCATGCCTGAGAATCAAATTCAGGTTGCCAGGTTCTTGGTGCAGTGCACTAACCAAAGCGCCACTGCTCCACCCCTAGAAAGCAGCAATATATTTGGCAATTGTAAACAATCTTCTCAACTGCCGCATGTGGTGTTTTGCAGAGAGGAGACATGGTCTACCCAGGAGATCTTCCACGTCGCCCTCTGCACAGTCTCACCTTCAGACTCTGCCAAAGAAACACAAATCGAGTGGCGGCGGAAGCAACAGTAGCAGCAGTCAGAGGGGGGCGGATGGAAGTGTACGGCATCCCAAACCACACAGGGATAAACCCGGAGACCGGTCTTCAGCCAACACGACCTCCTCGCAGGAAAGGACGGTCGGGAAATGGTAAGCACACTTCAGGCTGGTCATGTTCCCCATCTTGTAGTTCACGCTGAACTCTGATTTTGCAGCGCGTACTCTTGTAAATGCGTGCAAAAGGCAGCTTTTAATGGTCTTGCCATGTGTGAAGATATTTAAATCAATACATTGATGCAACTGTGTTTTCGGATTAAGAATGATAGATATGGACATTTCAAAAAGAACTTGCGAATTTAAAATGAAACAAGATTTGTGTATAGCTGTAAGTAACAAAAAAAATGTCCACTTTTTTTTTCAAGCGTGCAAGCGTCCAGTCAAGAGCGGCTGACCAATCACACCAAGACGGAGAAGGGCCTGGGCCGGTCGAACTCGATGTTCACCGCTTCGTCCACATGTGGGAAGTCGGCGCCCTCGACCTCTCCGCAAAGGGCACCGTCGCCGGCGGCGTCTGGACACAACCCCGCCTCGCCAACCTCCAAAGCTCACTTATCTTCCGCGTGCTCGCGACACGGGCTGCTCTCTGCCGGCCTGTCCCACCCATCGCCGCAGCATAGGGCCGGCCTTGCCAACTCTTCCCCTCACCGCTCGTGCCAGTCGTCGGGGCAGCACAGGTTGCACGGTGCGCACCCGCAGGTGTCGCCGCAAAAACTCTCTCACTGCTCCCCGCAGCACAAGCCGAATTCGCAGGGCCCGACATCGTCGGCCCAGCACAAATCCCAGAGGCCCCTGCACCCATCCCCGCAGCAGCAACAACAACAACAGCAGCAGCAGCACAAAGCTGGCTTCAGCTCGGGCTTGTCGCAGTCCCAGCACAAGAGTGATAAGAGCAGCGCGGCTACGGCAGCAGCAACGACGACAGGCTTGCAGCAGAAGCAGCCGCAGTCGTCCCCGCAGCACAAGGCGAGTGGCCACTCCGGTGCCGGCGCCCCCGCGGGGCACGCTGCATCGCAGCCGAAGTCGTCGTCTGGCGGCTCCGGCTCTGCATCAACAGGACTGCTCAATTCGTCGCCGCAACGGCCGCCGCACAAACCCGGGTTGCCCAAGTCGCAAGTGCCGACCCACTCCTCTCCACAGAAACTCCCTCATCCATCTCCACAGCACAGCAAGCCCGTCCCAGGACTATCGGCCTCCACTCGGCAGCCGGCTCAAGCAAAGGGCTCTGCCGCCTCCGCCGCTGCTTCGCAAGCGCAAGCCGCGTCGAGTTGCGCGGCGGGACAGCAACAGGCGTCCCCGCACGACCGGCACGTGCCCCCCTCGCCGGGCCACCCGCACAGGCCGAGCTCTGCCTCGCTGAGCACTGCTCAGGAGTCTTCGAACTCTCTGGCACCACACAAAGCGGACGGGATTCCGGCGGCCCAGGGCCACTCGCACGCGCCCGGTTCCACGGCAGCGCCGGCCACGCCGGCGACCCGCTCGCCAGAGCACAAGCCGCCCTCCGGCAGCAAGAGCGGCGCCCTGGAGCCGAGCCAGAAGGCGAATGGAACGAAGAAGATCTCCACGTACAAGCGGCTGCAAGGTGAGGCCCTACCCCCCACGTCACCTTTTTATTTTAGGTGCTAGCTTTTGAACTTTGTCAAAATATATTACGAGATGGTCAGGTGTGGGGCAAAGTACTGTTAATAACTAGACTTGTTTTGATTTAATTATTTTGCTGCTTATTCAAGAATTCTGACCAAGCATTTGCTCAATTTTTATTAGCACTTCAAAAGTTGATTTTTTTAAATATTGATAATGGTATAGATATTATAGCTGTCACTGACTTATTGTTACAACAAAAAAAAAATGTGTAACGCTTGCTATTCATACAAGCTCGTTTCTGTTTTGTATATAATGCATAGCTTGACTCTATCCTTATGTTGCATTTTGAGAAGTTTTATTTTTTGTTTATTTAACAGATCGGGACTTTGATCCAAACAGCCATTGTGGAGTGTGGGATCCCCAGTCGGAGAGACAATGCACACGCTCTCTGACCTGCAAGGTAGGCGGCTGCATCCCAAGTCAAACATACCCCTCCGCGTAACCGATTTTTAGTGAACCTAAAGGTGCTTTCACTGATGGACCATCGACCTCCCGTTTTCAACGCAAGGCCGTGTGAAAGTATCGTGGGCTGTAGGTGTCCCCTGCCCACAGCCTCCTCGTCCAGCTTAACGGTGTTGCAAAAATATAATTGATGTAGCTGATATTAGAACAGGTGTTCCAGTCGATCTTTTCCTGTTATTTGTGTCTTCCCCACTTGGTGGTGGTGATGTTTAGTCATGGTTGGCCAAATAGTGAAATTGTTTATGAAATCCTTGCTCCTGGCTTTTATTACTTCTCGGATTTATTGCTGCCGCATCACATCTCTGACTCGGACAGCTTAGCTCACGAACTTCAGCCTTGACTTCCCACTCTCGCTTACAAAAGGGATTCTATTACCATCACATCAAGTCCTTCCACTGGCTTCATAAGCATCTGCACGTCAAACTACATTTTCACGTCGTGTTATCTTTAAAAAAATCCTTCATGATCCTGCTCGTTGCTCTGGTCAACGTCTTGAGATGCAGTTGCCTTTTGAGACACCATTTATAAATCCTGTCAGGTGGTAGGACAACAAATAGATTCTCAAATTATTATTCTTTTGAGTGTTATTCGCTTGTGTTTTGGTGCATTTGCGCCTGATATTCCAGTTTTTTTGCGCATGCAGACAAACACTCATTAATGGAACTGGCCAAACGTGTCGATGCAGGGACCCTCCTGAATCGATCTTGAGACTCAGTGAGGCATTCCTGGGTAAAATAAAAGGGTGTTCTTATTTATTACTGGTATAAAGGAGGCTCTGACTCTGATCGTGAGCAGGAAGACGACTCAATTTTTACGCTATCAAATGCAAAAACCATTACACCTGCCTGAAACGTAACAGTTATTGGAGCATATGTTCTTACAGGGGTTGCCGCAACACATCTGGGACCTCAAACCTAAATCTGTTTATAAAAGCCTTGGACCAAATCACCAATAAATGCACCTCGCCTTGGTCAAATCACCTGAAGCTAAGCAAGCTTGAGCTTGTTTGGTACTTAATTTGGGAGACTAACCACTGAGCCAGTGTCCCCCCCCCACCTTACTACAACTAATTTTGTATAAATAACCACAGTCTTAGGCAATTTCATGTATTTAATTGTAAACCCCAAAACTCTTTAAATAGCAATGCAAAGATTACACCCCTGGTATTAAACATTATTCATTGTTTTTCTTATTGGGTAATGTAAAATCGTACATTAAGTAATGTGACCCTGCATGACCAGCCGGCTTCCGTTGGACAATGTGAAATTTCCAACACTCAAATTTCTGCTGATGCTGCAGTTGGGAATATTGCTTATTATAGAACGCTTACCTCCCTTTATAATGTCTGTTCTTCCTTCTGGCTTGTTTTGCTTCTTATCTGTTGTACTATACATGGCCACAGCCGCCAAATGAGACTGGAACACAACACCGGGTCAGGGGTTTTCCGCTTCAGCTAAATACCACCGGAAAACATTGGTCCAAAAAGACCAACAGGGGCAACAGAGTAAAGTATTACTCCCGTTTTAGTGTGGTTTTTAGTAAACACTTGTTTGTGTTTTATTACCATATACTGTACTCCAGACATGTAATCCTTCCCCCCCACCCCCAGCAATTGCATCAGTCGTGACTCATTTTTCAACTTCATCACCGTTCTAGCAAAACCTGTGGCTGCATGTTTCTCGTGAACCCATTTACAATATGAACTTCACACACCCCCCCCCCCCACCAAATCGATCAATTGTCGCAATTCGAGGCCGTTATTTTGTCTCGTGTTTTATGGTCTCCTTTGTATTGTTTTTCATTTAGTAAAAATTTACTCCGTTAACCCTAATGTACCAATACTACCATATAGTCCACAAATGTATAAATAAACTCCTTAAACGTTGTTTTTAACAACGGTTTTATTAACAATTTCGTTTAACTCATGGTGCGAGAAGTTCGTCAATGGCGCCTGAGGCACGCGGCGCCTGCTTTTTGTGCGAACCGATTCCACAGTTTGGGGACCGCGGCGTTTTTGACCTTCACAAATATATATAATTAACAAGCCGTCCATACAAAAATTGTAATTGCTTGAAATGAGGCAATTAATTGATTGATTGATTTTGATACAGGCATGCATTTTCTCCGGATCTGAGTACATGTGCAACATTTGGAATTGATTGGACAACAGGAAGTAGACTAACTTTTGATTACAAAATTTTACCATGACAAACACAAGTGAAGTTGACTAAAACTGTTGAAAAAAACACTCTACAGACGGCTGAAATGTATGTATCGTAAGCCTCGAGTCGCTGAATCAATGCATCGTTAAACCCACCCACGTTTTGTTCGTGCATTGGTGTTAAGACTTTTAATTCTCATACATGCCTAGTTTTAGCACGTCTTTTGACAAATATCATTCATAATACAGGTTGTTTATTGGGTTTGATCGCATACATGTGTCGTTAAACCCGACACAACCAATTAGGAAGGTTTGTCACGTAAACAGAACATGCCAATGCGTTACTAGTACAACACCAGTGTGTTGGAGAGCAAATTTGACAACATTTACAATCTATATTATGGATTTATGCCTACTTTAAGTTTTTTTGGTCTTTTATCCGACTGCTATCAAATATCCATGTTATGAGACCCACGTTATATTGTGAACTTTTACAGAGCATTGCAGCCCCTTCATGTTACCAGACCGGCCCAAGGAAGTGGATGATGGAGCTACTTTGTTTTAAAATATCCCAAGTGACTTCTAATCCACACAGTAGGCTGCAGGAATTTTCGACCTACCCTGCCACAGAGTCCTGATCATCGCATGACCGTAACATTCAAATGGTTGGATCTCAGAGCTGGAATTCTGGCACTCATTGTTGACCAGGCTTAGACCATCAACTTGAACCTGGAATCGAACCTAGGGGTTAAATGTGCCAACTCGCCACTGACTTCTTGGCTATCTGTCCTCCAGCCTACTGTAAACTGCCTTATTCTTCCTCGCCGTAAAATCTGTCGAAGGCTAATCAACTGTTGCGGTGCCTTTTTATGTTCTTCCACTGCTACTTAAGAGCAAAAGCCATTTTTAAACGTGGCGATGCGCGATTTGTGTGTCGCTATGTAGACGCACTCTCTGAGCCAGCGACGGGCCGTGCCGGGGAGGAGAAAGCAGTTCGACACGCTGCTCGCCGAGCACCGGGCGCAGTCGCGGGAGCGCGAGCGTGAGAAGGAGCTGCAGCAGGCGCTGCGGGACTCCGCCGCCCAGCACGCGCCCCACAGGGCAGCGCAGACGCCCGCCTCCACCCTGTCTCCCGCACGCGCCAAGCCCAGCACCATCACCAGGTAGCCACGCTCGCGGTGCCTCCCCCTCCACCCCACCAGCTTTGATGCTGGGTGCATGTGTCTAGGACCTCGGGAAAGTACTCGTGTAGGTTTTTATGGTTGTGCTGTAATTCTGTCTTGGGGTTGTACCACTTGGTGATCGGCATGTCCTGAGGTTCGGACCACGTGCTGGGGGAGGAATTTGGTTCCTGAAGGAACTCCCAGCAATTTTAGTCGTATATTGGACATGCCAAGGGAGGTTGAGAGGATTGCGGGGTAAAGGTGTGGATAAACTCCTTGAGAAAGAGAGCAATAAGCAACTGAAAAGTGGAAGGTCTTCAGTTGCACAGGGGCTCCCCTCGTTCAAGTCCTTTTGCTGTCTGTAGTACAGACGGCTGAAGAAAGAGAAATCTTAGACAATGGAGGCAGCAGAGAATGCATCTGCCATTGAGCGAAGGTTAGCCAAGGGCTTTGACAGGGTACTTTTGTTGCTGGAGAGTAGAATTTCGATAAAATTGTAGCAGTAGGTGGATACGAGTCCATGGAGGATCTTGAAGACTGAGTTTGATCTTACAGTTGACATGGGAATGGATTGAGAGCAACTGAAGGCATCGGAGGATTGGCGTGAATGGGTTTTTTTTATGAGTGTGGGTGAAGTCTGGCAGAATCGTTTTGGATCGCCCTTGACTTTGGAAGAGGCATTTTGGGAGGTTAACAGGAGGAGAGTTGCAGTGGTCCATTCGAGGTTATGTAACGATGAAATGAGTCTTGATAGCAGATGCAAAGAAATGGACCGTGCAGGTGATGTTATGCAAAGTGGGGAGCGATGGGAAGTGACCGAAGGCTCATTCTATGCCGACCCTTAAAGTGTTCGGGCGCACTTTTTTTTTCCGGCTTCTCGTTCGCACCTTGGCGGCGTCTGCATGACCTCGCAGTCCTTTATTGAGCATACTGTCCACAAAATGCTACTTGGTTTATAAATCTGCTTTGAGAAAATGCCCCATTCCACAGACACGGGCACTGCTCAAGGTCACCATTGACATTCTTATGGGTATGAAAGAGGTGAGGGGGGAGTTGGAGAAATTACTACAGTAGTCGTCTTTGATTTGTTGGCAGTGTTTGATACTAGGCCACGGTGCACTATCGCAAACGCTGAACTTACAAGTTGAGTAATACGGTTTTTGGTTAAAAAATTATCTTGCTGACCTCAATTTGTGCATTGGGGAAAACATCTGAATGCAACAGATTGTTATTTTTGTGGTGGACTACCCAGAGCTTTGTCCTTGGCTCTACACGAATTCGGTGTTTATTTAGTACCACAACGTGAACAATCGGAATGTGCCCAATTTTGTCAGACCTTCCAGAGCCAAGCAGGCTCGAGCCTGGATAGCACTTGCATTAGTAACCACCGTGCAAAAAAATACCGATGGTAGAAGGTGTAGAGGGCAGTGCAGAAAAGTAAATTCTTCTGCACTCTGCCCCCCCCCCCCACCATTTTCACCAACCTGCACTGTTGAAGTATGGTCAAGTATAACCCGCAAGACTTTGAGACCCTCCTGCAGCAGTAGATATAGACTAAAGATTTTAGTCTGTATTCACATTTTCTGTTAATGGCATCCATTTGTATTTACTTGTTGATGCCAACTCATTCTTGACCAATATCACGTGAATGTCTGCACAGAGCTATGTAACATTTGGAATCTCGATGGCTTATGCGAAATAAAGCGATGCTTCACATCTTTTGGGATTGGTATGCGGTTTGCAGATATTAATATTCATACATGGGACCATTGCTGGCAATATATTTACTGCCATCCATATATCCAAATGCCTTGGAATCTGACTTCTGGCATTCCTTTGTAGGCTGTTAGTAATATTGTTAGTTTAACTTTGTATACAGCACGTTGCCGGAGTATCTTGCTCGTTTGCGCTAATCCTATTACAAAAATTATAACTCCTTGCTATTTTTTGACTCACATTATTGTTATTTGTTTGGGCTTCCAAACATACGCCCACCTTCAATCGGCGCAAAATTAAAATGCAGAGTTTTTTTAAATGATGATCCTTGAGCATGAAACTTCTCTGCTCTGAGATTTATGCTGGTTACCTGTTGAATATTCCAGACAGGTAGCTGCTGCACAATTTAGTAGACCTTCGCATTTGTCTACCTTCTTGCAGACAAACATCCCTGCACGTGCTCTTAATAATCTGCAAGCAGAGTTAATTTTGTCAATGTAATTACTGACAAATATTTGTTTATCTTTTTTTATTTTTGTCAATGATGACTGAGGTGGATTAAAATCCTCAAGGATAATGATGACTACTGCTACCCACAAGATCTAAGCCTGCCCGATTTATGACGATGAAGCTCGCTAGTCTGACCATGAAGACGCACGTTAAGAATTATTCGGTAACATTAGAATCTAAAGTGCACAAAGTAAGGTCAACCATTTACTACTCTAATGAGCCAAGAATGGCTGTCCCACGCATGACGTCACTCCACGTCGGCCCGCCCTCATTAAGAACCGTGAACAGGTGACGTCCTCCACATGGACCCCCCCTCATTAATAATCATGAGCCGGTAACGTCACTCCACTTCGAACAGCCCCCCATATTAATAATCATGAAGAGGTGACGTCTTCCAAATGGACACCCCCCCCCCCCCCCCATTAATAATAATTGGTGGCTAACGTCGGTCCACATGAGGGGGCGAGGCGCCTCCTCCCCCCTCCTCAGCGTCAACTTACAACCCTCACTACCAAGGCAGAACCCTCGCGTCACGCCACCTCCGTAACGCTATTGAGACATATAAGTAAAAAGGACGTCATGATGATCAAGGGATTATAACCTTTAAATGAAATGGGTCTCACTGCAGCCTTACAAATTGCACACGAATTGATGCAATGAATATCACGTCAGTCTGCTTTTCGTTTCCAAGTTTCAGATTGACTGACTGAAATACGCCCGTCCTTGGCCAAAAGGCTAGTAATACTATAATTGGCTATAGTGTCTATAAAAAGGTATACCGAGTTGACTGATTGGCTGACCTGATAATGCACCATTGTAATGAGCAAGAGTGTACTAAACCGTTGACTGCTTTAGTCGACTAGACCATAATAATTAACGGATTCTACTACATGTTTGGGAATTGACTAACTCCACGTTGTCGGCCAGGCTAACTGATCTGAAATTAAAATTTCCGGCTACAACATCAGCAATCACAGGTGCCACCATCAACACTGTGGAGTGTACTTTTGGTATAATGGGGCTGAAGTTCTAGACTGGTCCGCCTGACCCATATTCGGTGCATTTACAAACTCGGAAGTATTCAATAAAATACTGAACATTTAAAATTCTATATGGTCAGTGACTCTTGTGTGAATTATGACTAAGTGGGCATCTACCGAATGTTTATTGTGACATTGTATTTGTTGGTATAGTTTTTTTACTTTGTTACATTTTGTGGAAACTTAATTCGCATGTCCTTTTGTTTGAAAGCATTTTATACGCACTTGGTGATGTAACGACATGTGAAGTACGGAAACATTAAATAATGTTTTTATTTTTGTCAGCCCCTGCAGGGTGATGGGTTGAGTCGGTCACCACCTGGGATTTTAACTTGCAGCCTTTCTAGCTTGTGAACCATGTGCTCTAACTATTGCACCTCCTCCCCCCACACAAATACACGGACACATTTAATTAATCTAGTAACGCGAACTTAATGCACACTGCACTGACCACTGGGGACCTTGATGACCGTACGCTGGCATACGCTTGAATCGTTTGTCATGGCGAGCCTTCTTGTTAAGAGTAAGAGTACGCGCAAAAGGTTTTTGTTTTACAGCAAAAGGCGCTGTTGTGCTTACGATCGGTTTTCCCAGCATGCTTTTGGTGTCACGTGACCTCGCCTAATACTGCTTATGTATTGCACGTGGCCAACTGGAGAATTTTAGTTTAGCTGGATGGAGCATACAACTGTATTGCCAGTGTTATCCTTGTTAGGAATTCTCAACTAAAACATTTGGTATTGGCGCCATTCTTTTTATGGCACAAGGATTTCCATGCGGTGCTTCCTAGACGCGTGTGTTCTGCCAATAGGGGGCGACGTTTCTTTATAACTTTACACTCTCTCGTGATTTGCACTGTTAACAAGGGTGGCCCCCTGTACTCTGCACCGCTAAACGCTGCAAAGTCAACGGGGCAAAATGGGCAACCGCTCGGTCAGACTCGTGATTTTGTTCGGTTGAACCTTTTCCCACCTGCAGGCATTCGAACAGCCCGTCTTGCCCGGGCCCCCCAGAGCCGGCTCCAAGCCCACCTGGGTTCTCGGTGGACATCGGCAACCGAGTGTGGAGCGACGGAGAAGAGGAAGGGCCCAACGTGGAGCCGCCCGAGAAACTGGACTGCCAGTACTCGGGCAACCACCCTCGCCCGCACGGGGTAACGGCGCGAAACCACAAGCGTGCGTGCGTGCGTGCATGCACCGGTCCAATATGGCCATCCGGTTGTTGTGAGCCGCAGTACCGCTCGCATTAACATTTTTATTTTTTTCTGTGCAGCCAGCATGTGTTACCAGTCAGTTGCTTGCGTTGAAAGCAATGCAAAACTTTTCATTGGTAGCACGTGGACCATATTTTATTCACGGTCACATCCACAGATGTTAGGGGTTCATAACACCACAATGTCATGACGTCTGGAGACGTGACGTCACGTGGCCCTCCAGCACATGCCACTATGATTGTGGCAGTAAATATTGTTGGAGAAGCCTATGCGTTGCAAATATTGCAGTCTCGAATTCTCTCCCGCCCCCCCCTCATCGTAAGCACACACCACAGTTTCGTTACTGTGGTCGTGTTTAATGGCCACACTCTTCAAGATCCTCCATGAACTCGCCCTTGCCTGACGCTCCGCTCCCTCATCTATACCCCCTCTGTATGAACTCTCCTACTTCTCTCCTCGCTTTATTCTTCTTTATGATTCCTGATAGCTCTCACTTCTCATCTCTCTCTATTCCCCTCCATGCATTGTCCACTCCAGCAACGATGGCTTTTTGTCGAAGCCCACAGTCAACCCTTTGCTCAGTGGGAGGTCGCTCTGTCTCCTCTGCTGCCTCCATAATCTGGAACGCCATTCTTCCCAGGTATCTGCTGTCAACCAACTGCTTCTGGTCAAGTCCAAGCTCAAGACATTCCCTTTTTTTCCAATGAATGACCGCTTCTCTCCGAAATAATAAATATGGCCACCGTTTCCTTGCACTGTCGTGAGATGTGGTCACGTTTGTACGCTATGTAAATCCATATTTCATGATATTGTATTTGCTGTGCGGCAGCACTGCACGCTTGGGAGCCGCTGGATTCCGTGTCCGCATGGTGCCGCGTCATCTGGATTATTTCTCCTTGTGCCGCAGTACTGCACCTTCGGGAGCCGGAGGCTGGACAGCAGGTTTTACGCGTATGACCGGAGGTGGGATCGATGCAGAGGCGCCCTCACCTCCATGACGGAGAGGCTCCTCAACGCCCAGCTGTGGCGGTCAGTTCTCGCACTGCTGTCCCGTTTGCACTTATTCACACCCAATCGGACAATGGACAACTTTGTCAATGGCATGGGCCATCTAATGGTATAGGTGGTTCAACAGCAATGGGGCCCACGTGCTGTGGAATAGAGAGGTGTGGTGGGTAGATGGAAAAGAAGGCAGGTGGGGACAAGCACTCGCGTTGGGCTAGAGACATTGACAATACTGGCTTTAGGCATAGGCAACGCAGATGTTTGTCGAGGGTGGCAGATTGTTTTAAACTTGTGAAGCAGCAGTGTCCAGTTCTGCAGTGGGGGGGGGTGGCTGTGATTTGATAGGTGCGTTGCGTAAACTGCCCATGTGACACCCAAGAAGACAGCTTGGCCTGCGTCGTTGGACATGCGCGCTGGCGTTGCACGTCATTGGCACACGGGGGACCCGGGGGGAAGAGGAAGACGGTGGTAGAACACAGGGCCACGTTTCATTCCTTGCGCGAGGACCCATGCCAACTACGCTACTGGACCGTGTCCTTGTGCTCTTTCTAATGGTCTATTGTTATGCTCTTCGCATATTGTAATCATCTGTACGAGGTCACTTGAAATGTTTTCTCGGAAGCCACATAACCCTGGCACTTCAAATCGGCTGCGGTGAACTATGCCTACCAATCACACTATACTACAGATCTGTAGTTTTGGGGCAAGATTGGCAATGAAACTCTACCAAAAAGGCATTTTACTTTTGAAAAAACACAAATTAAAGTTACGTTGCAGAATTGGCACAATTAATGCTTGTTCATTAATCCGACGTTCGACTGTACGGCTTTCTTGCATGTATCTTGGTTGCATTCTGTTGCACATCATCGTGGGATAAACTGCAACTTAATTTCTTCTGTTTCACAATACGGACGAAATTGGAACTTGATCATATCCATTGTTGTGAGGATTGACCTTGGTTTAAAAAAATATTTACCCCAAATCTATTGCGATTGTGCCATTGGTGTTATGTCATGAGATGAAGTATCTCATTCGGATCTCTCCTAGCGTGGCGACCCCTTTTGTGAGAGCAGCCCACGAATGCGGAGGTTTACAGCTACCTCCGGATCCTTTTATTTTAAATAGTCTCTGCTTCACACAGTAGGGGGCACATTGTCTGCCTTCCCATCATCGCATGAGCGTCAATAGATCTCTTTGAATAAATCTGCACATTTTTAATTTTGCCAAATTTAAGCGCAGAAACCTGTTTAATTATGCCTTTTCTTTTGTGCAGTCAATGGTGACCCTGGGGCAGAGATCTGTCAACTTGCTACACTTGAGAACCCAATTTAATTGCAGGTGGCAGAAGCCTGGCATTGCACCCAGGCTCCCTGTAGTGCCAGCTCGGCACCCTGACCTCTGAGCCACTTAGGACACCTCCTTGATTGAATGCTTATTTAAACTAGTTGATTTCTACACTCTTTGGTTCTTTCGGTAAAGTCACGTTGGTAGAAAAAATAATGCGTTTTAAACGTCGCGATCTAACAACAAGCGACCGTCTTCAGGTGAAAGACTCTGACTGCTGTGGACGTGGAATTATATTGACCCAAGAGGGGAGGAAAGAGGGGGTTGCCGCATCGGGCAAGAGTCTGATTCTTTCACCTGAAGACGATCACTTGTTGCGATCGAAACGTTGTGATCTAATTTTTTTCTACCTGCGTGACTTTACCGAAAGAACCAAAGAGTGTGGATTCCTGCAGTCACGAAAGCTTCAAATCTAGATTGATGTTCACACCTCCAGTTTTTGTTGACAAGTTAGACATGTGGATTTGCTCATTTATCTTTACATGGCAGACCAAATAATTAAAGCACTTGTAGATCATGTACCTAGGGTTTGTCATGGGCTGTCTGCTCTAAGCTCTTGCGCTAGATGGCCACTTCCCCATCTTAATGTCTTCCTTTCTCTTCCAGGAAAATCCCTCCGGCGGCGGAATGCACCGTCTCGTCCCCCCCTCCTCCGGCACTGGGCTGCATGCTGCCCTCGGCGGGCTTCCCACAGCTCTCTTTCCCCCCCACGTACTTGCCGTCTGTCGCGGGCCACGCGCCCATGCTGCTCAGTCCACCTCCGGCCTTCCTGAGTCCCACCGAGCCCACGTTCGTCGGCGGACCCCCGTCGGTTTCCGGCGTGCCGTTCCCCGTCGGCGCACACGGCGCCACCTTTGGGTTCCTCGACCCCGCGCTGGGCACTGGCCTCAAGCCGCCCGCCGCCCACGCGCTGGCGCCGCCGCACTCCATCCCGGCGGCTAGCGGCGGCGCTCTGACGGGCCCCACGTCCCGGCCGACGAAGCACCGGCTCGGGAAGTCCGCAAAGCTTAAGGATGGCGGCGGCAGCGCGACCGAGAAGAAAGCGCGACACTCGTCGCCGTCGCGGTCGCCTGCCGAATCGCCGCGCCAACACTGTGCGGGGGCCGTCGGACCGGGGGGCAGCTCGACGGGCCTCTCCCCGGCCTCGCCGCCCTTCACCGGCCAGGGAGGCGGTGGTCACAGCACCAGCAATGGTGGTGGTAAGCCCGAGACGGCGGGCAGGACCGGGGTAGACTCAATTCGGCAGATGAGCGTGGTTGTAAGCAGCATCGACTCCTCCGCAGACGTGGCCGGCGCAACGGCACCGCCGGCGCTGTCGGCTGTGGGTCACCACCAGCCAGAGGACCTGAGGCGGCCTTCGCGGGTGGCCCGGCCACCGCCGCCGCCCACACCGCACCACCAGGCGGAGGAAAACCGGCGGCGCTCGTCCCAGCCCCCGCAGAGCTGCTACGGGGAGGACGGGAGGAGGACCGGGCAACCCCCGCAGCAGCGAGTGGAGGAGCGCAGGAGGACGACGGCTCACTCTCCGCCACCTGCACCTCCGCCGGCCACCGCCACCACCACGCAGCCTGCGGAGGGGAGGAAACGGAAAGCGCCCAGCAGCCCCAAGCCGAGCAAGGCTTGCAAGTCGTCGAGCCTGAACAGCGTGCACGGCAAGAGCCCGTCAATCTCGGGGATGCCCAACAATAGCATTGTCCAGCAGGTGCGTTCTTCTGCCACTCGCGTTGGCCGCCGCGTGCCGCTTTAGCGCTTCGAGGCAGTGCGACACGGTCCTTGACAATTTGGTTTTATGTTGCGACTCAATTAGAGTAGTTAATTAAAAGCGGTTTTCGAAGTCGTGGAATCTATAATCGAATCCGGTAAAAAAAAATTTGTAGCAATTATTTTTTTGTCCATTTGAAACGCGCGAATGGCCAAGCCGAAAGTGCGTTCCAGTGCGATTTGTGTCGGCTACACCACAGGCATCAAACGGGGGCACCCAGTTGCAGGTATCATCAGTCAGTCTGTGGTGTAATCCAACACAGACAAACGCACGGTGCTGAACTTTTATTGTTAGACCTTTTTTGTCATGTGCGGCACACGAATAGTCATGTTTTAATATATTTTTTTTCAAGAGATTCCCAAGAGTGCTAATAAACCAAAATTAACCAACCTAGACTCTGCTCTCCACCTAAGACTGTAGAAAATAGTGGGACATACTTCACACTTGGTCAACTAATTACAACTCGTCATTATTAGCTGAAATTTAATTTGCATTGCAATCGATTTTGTCATGAATGATGCAATTCCAATGGTAATTGACCCCAATTGTGATATGCGTCACAGGAAACATTGAAATGTGGAGGTTTTTTTGTGGAGATGCAAATTCTTGTATGAACTTCTTTCGCACCGTACGTAGTCAACCGTTCTAATCGGAGATGTGGGGTGTAAGGACACCAAACTGAACACACAAAGCAGTTCTAAACTAAATGAGTTTTCAATCCTTAGATTTAAAAGTGCATAGCTCCCAGTGGCTTCCTAATATTGGAAGGAAGAACCTTGACTTGGAGAGAGGAGTCGACAGCATTGGATGACTTGAGGGAGGGAATGCCAGGAGTATGGGGAGGCATGCAGCGTCAAAGGGACTAATCGACGGTGGGTTGTGAGAGAACCTTGGTTGCAGTGGAAAGCACGTGGGGGAGGGCGAGTGGAGCGAAGAGCGGTAGGAGGAGACAAGTACGTGGTGGATTGTGAAAACGATGAAGGTCATCCGTTAGTCGACTCTACACTGCATTGAAAGCTTGTGGGAGGGAATGGAGGATTTGGGTGATTGTGTGGTCTCGTTTTCCAGCTGTGGATTCAAATCCTGGTGAGGTGACCAAGGGAAAACCCAATTGCAACAGGAAAAAAATGTGTGCAGGCCGGAAAACAAAGTTTTTGTTTTTTTAACTCGCAAATGTGTGCACTGTGTAAAAGTGAAAAAAGCTACCAGCCTTTAAGTATTATGAAAGGCCACCAGTTCCTGACGAGCTGCATTGTGGTCATGTGGGCAAGGAGTTTTGCGGCAGTGTTTCGGATTTATTTCTAGTTTGTTTTTTTAAATGTGGGTTTTGGGGAGGCCGTAAAGGAAAGTTGCAATTGGTCAAGCCGACCTGGGATAGAGAAGGCATGGATGGAGAGTCTGCCATGGAAAGAGGCAAAGTGGCAGGTGTGGAAGCAGTTGCAAATATGGAAAGGTCTGCAAAGTTGAATGAGAGCTTGGGGATTAATGACAACTCCCGAGATTGCACACAACTCTGCCAAGGCTTTGGTTCAGTTTTGGTGATGTTTAGCTAGAGAAAATGTAGTGATCCGAGTATGAGACCACATCAAGATGGGTTTGCAAGTGGACAGTGAGGTTGGTGATATTGGAGTCGAAAGCAGCCTGGTAGGGTTAGGAGGCAAGAGTGATGCATGGTCATTGGCCGCAGGTAGGAGAGGAGTCTAGAATAACCTTGGTGCAAGCCAGATTGTACCCGGTCATGTAGACCATGGCGGGTAGAGGTGTGGGTGAAAGTTGGAGATGACCCTTTTTTTGGCCTTTTTGGAAGAGATTTTCAGTTATGTTGACTTAAAAAAAAATTAGGCTGGAATTAACTTTCCCATTCCGATGACGTCCTTGTAAGTCATCAGTTTTTCTTAATTCCTATGACGTACCTGTATGCCCTCCCACACTGGAGGGTGTGTGGCACAGTTTGACGACCGCTTTCCTCGAAGTGCGGTCGTGTCGTTGCGGCGAGTACAATTTCCTTTTTAAATTGGCGTCGTCATGCCTCTCCTAAATAGAATTTACGCGAAAACCGTTTGCTCGTTCCGAGATTTGGCAGTGAACGGGATCCACCCTGCAACTTGCAGACGTCTCGGAATGGTTAAACGGTTAACGTCATTAGTCTAGAAGACCAGAGGAACTGTAACCCAGAAGACGAGATGGAGACATTGGACTAAGCTGGTCGTGTATAGTGCTTGGGTGAATCGGCAGTATGTGGTTGGAGTTTGGTGGGAAGAGGATCGAGGATGACATTACCCTCGGCTTGGCTTGGAGATGACACTTGTGTTTGTCATTTGCGGTGACTGGTGGTAGAACTGTCACGGCGATTGTGATGAGGTGGTAGCGTGGGTGTCCGGAGAAACGAATGCGATGTCAAGATCGGGAAAGGCATTTTTGTTTTTCGAAATTCCGCAGCAATGGATTGTTTTGTGAGTTTTCACTTCAAACTAACTTGAAGCGTGCGTTCAAATTGGCTTAAGGTTCAAATTATCTTATGAAATAGGCTATTGCGAAAACAATATCAATGAACTTTAATCATCCTGTCATTTTATTCTTGGTTCTTTCGGTAAAGTCGCGTAGAAGGGAAACAAAATAATAAAAATATAAGACAATAAAATTCTCACGACGTTTCGACTGCAACACAAGCAATCGTCATCAAATTTTCTTGCTGTGGTTTTCACACATGATGATGATTACTTGTGTTGCAGTCGAAACGTCGTGAGAATTTTATTGTTTTATATTTTTATTATTTTATTGTTTCCCTTCTACGTGACTTTACCGAAAGAAGAACCAAGAATATGAATCCCTGCAGTCACGAAAGCTTTAAATAAAAATTAATCCTGTCATTGTAATCAAACCATCCCAAAGCGCAGATCCCATTTGGCAGCTGTCTCTGTGCAGCACGAGGTGGTGCAGCACGAGGTGACTCAACACTGAACTCGGCGAGGGCATTAGTTTGCGAGTAGGGAGGTGATGATTGCTACGCGAGTAAGTTGTGACTTTTTCAAAGAGAAAAATATCTTGATTGAACTGAGATTTACATTGTCTTTAATTATATGGGAACCTGGAGGATGCTCGTGAAGAGCAGGGGGAAAATGTACAAAGGCGCCCGAATTGGGAATCGATCCCAGGTTCTCCTTGCGCCCAGCCGCCCCCAACTAGAGCCACCTCCAAAGGGTGATGTGACAAAGCATGCTTGTTGCTACGTCCAACTTTCAATGGTTAGGCATGTGAAATCGTGAATCCATTGGTCAATTTTATTACCAAGTCTTATGATTTGTATGTTGACTCCGGCCTCGAATGACTGATTATTTCAATTGTATGTGACTCCGGCCACTAGAGGCCATGCTACATTCACCACTGGCAAAAATATATTTGATTTTTTTTTTTTTAAATCAAATTTTATGGCAAGTCGTCTCCATTTGTGACCCAAGTTGAATCGCTGTAAACCTCCGGTCAGCACGACTAACATCTGGAAGTATGTCCGAGTGTGTGGATTCAGCCTTCCATGCCTATCTGGGGTAGATAAATCAGTGCCACTTTGTAAAAGGTCACCAGTTTTTGTTCCTATTGAAACAACTCTTCCCCCATATATGGAATTTCCACATTTTGGCTCTGAGCATTAGAACGATCAGCACCACTCCACACTGCCTCCCAAAATTTTATTGGAAAAGCCACCAACTGCACTTTTTTTAACTCGCAGTTTACGTTGAACAGGCTTTGAGTTGTGAATTGACCTTTCGGCAGTCATGCGTACACACACACACGACCTATGACCCAGTCCCCCAGGAATGCTCCCGATCAGAAGCCAAGCAGGCTTGGCGCCTAGATAAGTGCACGTGCATCAGTGACCAATCTTGCACGCCAGGCAGTCGTAAGCGGCTCTGGGGCTCTGCCACGTGGTGTCCAGCAGAGGTCCCTGCATCACAATACATTGTACTCTACTTCTCTGCATCCACACGTACTCCTCTGCCCTTTTTACCTACCCGCACAGACCAGCATGGTAGTCAAATTAGCTCCCATAACCCAAAATGGATTGACAAGGGGTTGTACTGTATATGTATGTGCGAGGGGAAAGTGGGTATGCATAGGCATACTTTATTTGGGCTTGCAAAGTGGTCTCAAGACTTGAGGGAATTTTAAGGCATCCCACAATGGAAAGTGCTTTTTTTTTTTAGTTGGTGTCCACATCACAACGTTTGGGTTTATTTTGTATGTAGAGTGGCAGTCATTGTGGTGAAATGTAGTAGCCTCCTTTTGGAGAGGTGATGTGATTCCATTTTCAATGGGACCTCTAATCATTTTGTACATGCGCGATTCGATGCTTGTAACCGAATTTAATCGGTCGGTGAATCTAAAGACATCTCTAATCAAAACGTAAAATACATTGTATTCATGAATCAATAACATTTTATTTTTATATATAAAGAAAGTTAATTGAACGCCATGCATTGGCCTCCAAAATAGTGCTTGCAGATGTGTGTTCCGTGGCCCCGAAACCTAATTAATATTTATTACTCGCCAAGAAAATGTGGTAGAATATTAGTGCAGTGATGTGAATCGCTGCACTCTGAACCTGGCGATCTTAGTTTGATTCTTGACCACGGATGTCATTGGTGGCACAGCAGATGACATCTGAACTCATCCTGTTTCCACCACTCCCCCTTCCCAAAACCACACTATCCAGCATGGTGAAGTATTGTCAATCAACCCCCACGTCAAGGACAAATACTTCAAAACCATCCTTCAGGCTAATTACAGCACCTTTTGATTTCAACCCACTGAAATTTGTGGGAGTGACATTCCAATCGCGTAACTGGAATGTCATAAATATCCACTTGTAACTTAAAAGCCTGTTTAATCATTGCTTTTTCAGACGGCACCCCAAGTAATTGTCCATATGGGCTGTTGGATATTTTGGATTGCGTCTCTTATTTCTGGTCTTTTTTTTAAAGAGGTCCGTTGGCACCGGTCGGAGCACTCGGCCTATGTTTGAATCTGGATGTCGAATGAATGTTTATTTTTTTTTACATTCTGAAGTGTAGCAGTGGTCTCGGCCCAGTCGTCAATGACTGCATGTAATGCTCACTAAATAAAAATTTGGTTTAACTTTATTTGCCCAAATTCCAGCTTTGACCATTAAAAATATTGGTTTAACTTGCCCATGGTATGCTTTTGTTGTAGCAGAGCAATGTGGGAAAGTGCTGCCCCCTAGCGTGGCTGGTAATGGTCACTTGAGGGGCATCCTTTAAAAGTAGTTGTGTGATAGCTACTTCCACGAGCTGCTCATTTAATGCACAGCGCTGCGCTTGAGTTCCAAAACACCAACGTCGTCTCGTGACGCTGCTGATGGCACAATCGGGATGATAAAATACAAACGCCAGTTTTGTGCACAGTTTCATAGACTTTTAATTGGCTTGTTCTGAAAAAAGGTCTACTGATAATGCTGTTTATAGAGTGATTTTTAACTGCCGGGGTACATCTACTGAGTGGCAAATTTTTAGTGGTTGCCGTTTGGTTCTCCTACAGTGGCAAACAAACTTGGCATGTTTGTTTTTTAATACAATATGCTAAAGTGTGCTTGAATTGGCAGTCAATCTCGAGGGTGGGGGGGGGGAATGACGCCTTCTGTAAGGCGGTCACCTGGCACATGTTGACGTTTGTCATGCCACCTTACCATTGTTGGTAATCTTTCGCCTACGTTTTGGACATTGTTTATCAGGCCAAGGTCCATCGGTGAAGTGTACCGTGTGCCGGTTGGTCGTGTCACCGTGGAGGCCAGCGGCATTCGCCTGGGGGAGCGGCGGAGGGGCGCCTTCACATCCCGCCACCCCATCGGTGCCAGACAGGCGGTGCTGCCGACCGCCCCCCCCCCTCCCCCTAACATCCTGGACTCAAATCGGACGGTACGAGAGACGGTGCCAGAAAGCCCGGCCGGCTAGCCCCCTCGGCCGGTCGCACCACCGGCCAGCTCACCGCCTTCAGGGCATCCAAGCGGGAGAGACTCTGGTCTCGGGCTCGTCAGGGGCTACAAACCAAACGTGTGAGACAGCTCCCACCCGAGCGCCGGCTGCACTTTTGCTCTGGGGGGGGGGGGGGGGTGGTGGAGTGTCCGTGGACAATAAAGCAACAGTTCAGGAAGTGTTCCACTGGTTGTGTCAATATCCGCTCTATGCAGATTCTGGTGAGACCGGTCCGACCCACAACCGTAAGGGTGTCACGGGCTGGCCTCGAGGAGGGGATTGGTTTGGTGACGGCACTAAGCCTGACGGCGTGGCCGGCTGCGTGCGACGCCGTGCGGTTACGCTGTGATGCAGGATTGCGACGAAGATGGTGCAAGGGGGGGGAGGAGGTTACGCTACAGGTCGGTGGTAGGCGTATGCAGTAAAGTCAAGCGAGGATAAGTAATGAAATCATAAAGGGTTGCTAACACAGCTGCCTCTAAAGTCTCAATGTGGAACAAATCGTTGCCGTTAATGGTGCTGGCTGTTAGTACTGTTAGTGTCTCAACAGATTAGGTTTTTTTTTTTTTACAATAGATGCATTATTTTTGCATCCCTTAAATTTGAATTTAAATAATTTAATGGCAAATGACCATTTTAAACCCTAATTTATACGCAATAGTGTTTTGTCAAACGAAAATCTTAAGTACAGGGTTATAAACATGAATTACACTGCACAGTGTAGTCATTTGTAACGAATTTTTTCCCACTTTAAATGTTGCTGAAATTTACAAATTAGGCAAAGTCCCCAAGTTGTGAAGGCAATGAAATATATACATTCTCACGATGAAATACAACAATGCCATTATTTATAACTTTCTAAAAACATTAACTACCTTTTTTAGAACGACAGCCCTTTGATAAGTATAAATTTTTACGACTCCAAAACCCTGACGTTTTCAGTTTGGCGTTTGCAATAGGGGGCGGGAGGCAATGTTGACGACCCAGTGTCCGATATTTTTGTTTGTGTGTGGTGGAGGCAACGTGGTGTTGGCAACTCTGAATGATGGAGCGTTGGGGTTTTTTTGTTTTCACTGTAGCTCTGTCCCGACCCACAAGACCTTGTTTTCTCGTAATCCCGAGCGGCACTCTTGAGCTGAACGCAATCGCTTGTGGTGCTGAGAATGCTATGTCACAAGTAAGAACAATAACGTGGACTGCTTTTGCTTACTGCTGGACCTAGTGTTTGATTTTTTTTTGTTATGGGGGAGGGAGAATAATTTAAAATCAGGACAAGACAACACACACCCCCTTTTTTAAGTTTCTATTCGGTAGAAACTCCTTCGGGGTATTGTTACATTTTTCAACACTAAGTACATATCTGCCAGAACACCAATGCCAAACTGTGACATCACTTTGTAGTGTTTATGCTGTCATCAATCGAGCCTTAGCGTCACCTGGGATTGTGTAGTAAAAAAAATCAGGACCTTGCACAAGCCACTATTAAACTCCTACCCCAAGGTGGAAAATCGTCCACTACGGGTGCATTTTTTTCTTTTGAATAGAGTAGCAGGTGACCATGGATTCATTTTTAAGTGCCATATAGGATTCCTCTTAAATCGCTGGTTATCATTGCCGTCCAGTCCCAAATTTGCGCAAGTTTAACAGCAGCAACACTTTGTTTATCACTACAAGAATAGGCTGCCGTGAGGGCTGTTTTTTTTTACTGCGCTCCATTAACTTCTCTCATGCGCATGTTCTCTACTCTACCCTTGGTCAGTCACCGGACCCAGACACTCCCGATTTTGATGATGCCCTTTTAACCTGTCACAATTCTGAGCTCAAATCATTTTCGTCCCACCCACTTGCCAGGTCACAATGTGGCAGTATTCCACCATCTATTCACCTCCGTTCTCCTGTAAGTCCTATGCACCTTTTGAATACTGTGATGCCCATGATTTATACACATGCAAGGTGTTGATGGTGGTTATCAACTTCATGTATTTTTATTTCTGTGATATTTTTTTTAAGTGCACTTTTTCTAGAGATGCCATTGACTAACCAAAACCCAGAGCTGGACAATTGCCACCGATAGAGAAACATGACACAGTCGAAAATAGGGCAGCTACCTTCCCCATTCAAGTTGCAAACACCACCCATAAACGACAGTTGTCTGGCAAAACGTGGATTAGAAGGTGACACTTTTTTTGCTTGGGTTTTTCATTTCTCCGCCCTCCTTGACTGGATTACAAATGAAGCAGGCATGCTGTGCAACTGCTTAAATAAACAAAAAACAAAAAAAACAAAGTATTCATTTAAAACATTTTATTTTTTGCTGAATACATTAGGAATACATTTCTTTCATCGTATGATGTAAATGTTTATAATTTAAGTGCACACGTTTGCGCAAACAGTGTAAAGAAAAAATGATATTTTTAAATGTATTTTTGCACAGAGGGTTAACGTCATGATTTTTAGAATTCAAACCATGAAGAATCCTTTGATATGCTTTTTTTTTCCTCCTTGTATTTTTTATTATTATTTATTATCGGATTTTTTTTGAAAAGCGAGATTATACAGTGGAAAGTTTACACCACTGGATGTATAGGAGGAGTTGTACTGCGCCTATCCCATCCATGGATCTGGAAACTGCCGCTCGCGGGGGCTCTGACGGGTGCTCGCTCGCCGCTAGGCTCAGCGCAGACACCAGCCATGGACTCAAAAAAAAAACACAACGGTCCCTTAACTCAGCCATACATGGGTATATAGAATATACCTTGTCTGTTTTGTAATATAAATTAAAATTTAGGAAACTGTACCTTTTTTTATGTGTACATATAGCTGCATTTGAATTTGTAGAGAAACGAAATTTTGCCTACTTATAAGCACTATTTTAGCATTATCAGTTCTGTGCAAGTTTATGCCTTATTTAAATCATTGTGGCAGCGACCCATGACAACATGTACATACATATTAAAAAATTTGGGACTCTGCGGATACTGTACGTAAAGTGGAACATCCAAGCGGCAAATGCTTAAATAATTTTCAATGCTGACACTTTGACTTTTTTCGTAGTGCATGCTTTTTTTGTCAAATGCAGAACAATGGGAAGGTTTTTTTTGGGGGGGGAAGGGGGGGGATATATTATTTTCCATTCGGTAAATCTGTACAAAAATTGGTGCGATTTTGTTTTGCACCACCTTTGCTCGTTACAGAGTCGGGTGTCCAAGATTGATAATCTCATTGTGATATTTTCAAAAAAAACGGACGACGGATTAGGGGGGTGTTCATGGGTTTTTCACAATCTGTGTTGTATACTGTAATGCTTTTTTGGAACGGACGAACAAACTGGCTATATTCCTTAATGTCATGGGTCATACTATTGACTGAAAATACAATTTTGAGCTGTGAGATGTACAATTTAATGTTTTTGTAATGACCTTCTGCAAATAAAATTTATATGCCTATTTATAACTGACGCCGTTTTTGTCTCGTGCATTGTCACCATGCGTTTTACACTGGCGTTTATTTGCAGGTGTCTCTACATCACCCACATGTTTGAAAAACTTTTTTTCTTAACTAATTTGGGGGAAGGAGGGGAAGAAATTCCATCCAATTGTCGGTCATGGGGGTTTGTTCGCCATACTTCACCATGCTAATCAGTGCAAGGTGGGGGATGGGTCGGGAATGAGGATGACGGGTCGAGAGAGATCTCTCGCCGCTTCGCCAGGATTGGAACCGATCGTGAGGTCAATAGCCCAGTGCACGAACCACTGCACCACCCCTTCACCCCATCCGGTTTTTTAAAGCACATTTTACTGACCAATGGCTTTTCTTATTTAGACGCGAGATGTGTAACCAAGTTGCATTGATTGGTTTTGCGATTTTCGCGTTACATTCTTTGACCTGCCCCCAAAATATTCAAGTTGATTATTGTTTCACCTTCAGGCATTTGGTATGACTTTGCATCTTTTAAAAGTTGCAATGAAAAATAAGACTTTCACTTGCCAACACTTTCATGATACTTCCATGTTATAAATAGTGGGGGGGGGGGGGGGGGTTCAGATAAAATTAATACAATTTTGTAAAATAAAGTTTTCGATTTTTTTTTATCAACTACCAAATTTCTGATCAAATGAGAGTCATTTTTTCCTCACGAGCTGACATTTTACCAAACCTTTTTTTCTTTCCGAGTACTAAAAGCGCAACTTTTAGTTTCTGCAAATATCTTTAGGACTACATTTTCACGTCACTTTCACCACAGTTTATTGGCAACTGTTCATAATTACTTTGGCTTTTAGATAAAAAAAGAAAATACAAATTGCAATGTCCTTTTTATAGTGTTTCCAAAAGTCCTGTTTTGTTTATAACCGATGCAACATTTCCTTTAATGCGAGTCTCAAAAGAATCGAAATTCCCAAAACATTTTAATGTAAATTGCGTACCTAATAATTGTTGGTTAAAAAAACCCATCATCCACACACTTTGAAATAAAATAATGGAATACGTCCTAGAGGTAGGATCGCTCTCCTGTGAGATTATAGATCCATGTAATCGATGTTGCAGGTGCCTTGTGAATTTTTGCATCGTGGGAGCATGGCAGGTGGAAATTTGTTTCAAGAACTTCATCCAGCAGTGGAAGTAACTACGGCTGATTATGCCTTTTTTTTAGTATGAAATGCGTCCTTTAGAATAAACTGTCACGTCCCATTCATCCGCTCGCCAAAAACGTCTTGCTTTGTTCATCGAAGGTTGGTGTGTAATGTTTCTTCACCGTATGCTGTAATCCATCTCGGGTGTAATCTCACCATGTACAACATTACTTGACTTGTTTTACTTCTCTTTGAAGGTTCAAATGTGGCTCCAATATCACATTTTACTCGACCGATACTTTTTATCGAAGCCCGTTTGTGTTGCCACGCGCGTGTAGTTAATGCAGACTTTCGATGCCTTGCGTAGTAGGTGTCTTTTTTGTTGTTTTGAACACCTTAACACCTCCTGTAATGGTAAAAAAAAATTTGATAACGACAAAAGTCCCATAAATAAACCCGTAGCCTCGCTTTGCCACCACGAGGTGGCGCGCGCGTGCCACTTGAGTCCCACGGGCAAATCCATTCAGAAAACGGCCGGGGGGGGGGGTATGAGGAGTTTTCGAGCCAACGAGGCGCGTCCATTGCTCCGATGTGAACGTAACCATCCAGAATGCTACCAATTGAACTTCACTCGCTGCATGAGGCCCCTCCCCCCCCACCGTGCTGCGTGGCACGCGGGGGAGTTATTTGGCCATACTTCACCACGCTGGTGAAGGCGGGCGACTCTAGTCGTTTGAGCGAAGAAATACCGGGCCAGTAATACCCCCATTTACGTGTTCCCACACCCCCACCCCCCTTTTACGTCGTTTCGCGAATACGTCGTCGCTTTATGATAAACTCCGCTACCGGGTTTACGTCGCCTCAGCAACCCCACACACTCCCGTCGCTGACGGCTTCATCCTCTCTCGTTATCCGACGCCTACTGCCCTATTCGTTGGCTCTTTAGGTCAAGTCACGTAGATCGAAAAATATTTTTTTTAAATCACGACGTTTCAATCGCAACACAAGCAAATAGTATTTTTTTTTCCACCCGAAGACGATTGCTCGTGTTGCGATCGAAACGTCGTGATTTTTTTTATTATTATTTTTCTATCTACGTGACTTTACCGAAAGACCCAAAGAGTGTGAATTCCTGCAGTCACGAAAGCTTTAAGCCTACTGCCCCTGTACATTGCTTCGATTTACCTCGTTTCCATATTCGTCGGTGCACCTTCCCAGGAACGCATCCCCCAACGTAAACCGGGGCATCGCTGGTCATCATTGGCCATCTCCCGCACTGCCCTTTTCTCTGCTGTCCACGGCGTAGCCCAGCAGCAGCCCCATGACGCCTGTTGTGCAACGCTGCACGCCCATTCGAGCACTATCCAAGCTCGACGCCCGCTTAGCTTCCTCAGATCGACGAGGCTGATGTGGTAACCGTGTGCAGGTTGCGTATTTCGATGTTGATGTTATATTTTGTCACACCTGGGATTTGGTCGAACGTTGGTCTATCGTCACCAGGTGATTAGAGAGGTCATCTTGAAGGTTGTGTGTGCACTTGACATATTTTTCAATGTATTTCTCTCGATCGTGCAGGGTTGTACTTTGGAAATGATATTTTTCTGTTCAGGTTGTATATAACTCTTATCATTTCAGCGTTTTGCGAAAAGTATACTTTTTTTATTCCCCATATAAATTGTATTTTAGCGGACCCCACATGAGTGGGACCAAACGCGTAGAAGAAGATGATATGAATTGTATTTTAGAAATCAATTCAATGCCCATTAATCTTTCCCCCAGAAACTAATCACGCATGGGCATTGGTAGCTAGCGATCTTGTGGCGGATAGAAGTGTAGTGTCAGTGATTCGGCGACGAGGTTTGTAGAGGCACCTTCTTTATCGGGCACTCACGATCTCGCCTGCACGCACTCTCTACAGTCGCTGGCCTATACACAACACGAGCCGTCTAACACCGACGGAGACGGCCAACAGCTATCTAGCAGCGCAACATCGAGCGAAGACGGCACCGACGACGAGACGATCCAATCCCTGAACCGGCAGCCTCGAAGTCCCCGCTCTCGGCCCTTTGTATGCTACCAGCACTGCCTGGCTCCGCCCTGGCCGCGCCTCCCTTCTCGAACCCACTAGCAGGTTCCAGGGGCTTCCAGATAGGGCCCTCGATGACCCTTGTCCCAGTTTCTCCGCCCTGCCGACACACCCGCTCACATGCTCACCGGCGTGTGCACTGTCTGTCCACCACAGCTGCCGCTGCTGGTCGCTAGCCGGCGCTATTACACTACAGAAGTTTGATTTTGTGACCGTTAAAATTACTCGGAGAAAACGACAAAGATGTGGTCCTGGTTCTATTTTCTATCCTTGTGTGTGATGGCACGATGTTCGGGAGCTACATGTCAAAGCCGTGGTCCGTTTGCCACGCCGAGAGGGCTTCAGGAGAAAATCAGAATCTTTATTTATATTGGAAGAATCCGATTCACTTTAAAGCTCTTTTTTCACAGATTTCCAGTAGTACGTGTAGTTCCGTTGTTGAAAAGTTAAAAGGAGCGCAAACTAACATCAGTAGTGACAACTCGCATCATCAGGCGGACAGCCTACTGGCTAAACGTCCAGATTGTAAATTTAGTGGATTTGCTCTCCAACACACCGGTGTGCTGTACTCGTAACGAATTGGCACGTTCTGTTGACGTGACAAACCTTACTAATTGGCTGTGGCGGGTGGTGACGGGTTTAACGACACGTTTATATTTACACGATCTAACCCAAAAAAACTTATGAATGGTATTGCTCGCGAAAGCCTATGTATTATACAGTGGTTTACTTTAATAGTGCAGGTGGTAGTTCTGGTACTTGACATTCTGCTGCTGATTGTACTGCTGGTGGATGGATGGCTGCTGCTGCTCGTGCGTGAATGTGTGCTGGTGGTGGGTGGATGGGTGCTGCTGCTGGTGGGGAGTGGATGGGTGGATGGGTGCTGAAGATTGCTGCTGCTAGTGGTGAGTGGATGGGTGCTTCTGTTGGTGATGGGTGGATAGGTGGATGGGTACTCCTGCTGGTGGTGATGGGTGGATGGATGCTGGTGATGGGTGGGTGCTGCTGGTGGTGGTGAGTGGATGGGTGCTTCTGGTGGTGGTGGGTGGATGGGTGCTTATGGTAGTGGTGAGTGGATGGGTGCTTCTGGTGGTGGTGAGTGGATGGGTGCTCCTGCTGGTGAGTGGATGGGTGCTGTTGCTGCTGGTGGGTGGGTGGATGCTGCTGGTGGCGGGTGGATGGGTGCTAATAGCTGTGTAATGTGGAAGTAAGGGGATGGCACATACATGAAGCTGCTGCCCTTTCTGGGTTCGTCAAGATGTGGCCATGGCAACTCTGCACAAAGGGCCGTTGTGCGGGGGCATCTCTGTGAATAATTCCCTCTCATTGTTCGACCCGCGGTGTCCGAGGCGCAAGTGCTTGCATAGCTCCGCACTGCCTCCCTTCCCCATCCCACATTCCCACTCCCCCAGACACTGGCTCATGTCAGCCCATCAGCTCGCACGTGCCACCGACAAAGCTGCCACCAAACTTCCCGGTTCCGCCGAGGCAGCCCCAGCGGTTTCAGAAGGGCTGCCCCCTCCGTAGCCCAGTGTCCTCCCTGAAGTTGTTGGGTTTTTTTGTTAAAGTTCAAGATTTTGTCCCCAGTTTAAAATGTTCTGGCCCTCATGGTTCGCGGACAAAGGGCGCACAGACCTGACCCATAGGCAGGGCCTAAGGCTGTGTGGTTCTTAACCTGGGGTGCGAAATGCGCTTCCTGAAGGTGCGAGACATGGCAAGATTTTTGTTCGAAGGTAAATCATCGAAACACACTTTGTTTTTCTTCAAACCTATGTATTTATTCACATCATACATTG